CAAGATCCTATTTGTTTCGCTGGGGATTTCAACTTAGTTCGTAGCCATGATGAGTACTCAGGGGGCCGCCGCAGTCTAAACCTCATGACGGAATTTAATTCAGTTATCGATGCTTGTGGGCTTATGGAGCTACCGCTCAGGGGGAGTCTTTTCACTTGGAGCAGAGGAGGGGATAGCAATTGTCTCTCTCGGATTGATAGGGCTTTTGTTTCATCCAGCTTCGACTCTATGTTCTCAGACTGCTCTCTTACTGCGCTTGAGCGCATTGTCTCGGACCACAATCCTTTGCTTATCTCTTGGGGAGACGACCACAGGGTGCATAGGCCTTGGAAGTTTGAGAATATGTGGTTAGAAGATGCCAGGTTTTTCACTGGGATGAATAGTTGGTATGCTTCGCAGATTCAAGGCAGAGGGCTTGTATTTCGGTGGGCGCGGAGACTACAGGATCTTAAGAACAAAATTAAGGTGTGGAACAGGGAGGTGTTCGGGGATCAGAATAAGAGGCTTGTGGCTCTTATGGCTAAGGCCCAGGACCTAAATAAGCAAGAAGAGTTGAGGCCATTGACGATTGAGGAGGTGAGATCGAGGGAGCAATGTTTAACTGATATTGGCATCACCCTTGATCTACTTGAAGTTTCCTGGAGGCAAAAATCGAGGGAGCTGTGGCTTCATAAAGGAGACAGGAACTCAGGGTACTTTCATAGATTTGCGAATTATAGAAGGAAAGTTAATCACATAGGGCGTATCAAGATCAATGGCATTTCAATTGAAGGAAGAGAGGAGATTTCTGAAGGAGTTGTGAGCTTTTATGTGGGATTGTTTCAGGAAAGCATAAAATCTCGGCCCTTCCCTCTCTTCTACAACTGCAGCAGGGTTTCGGAGTCGGACTCGGGGATTCTTAACATGCCTTTCTCGGAGGGGGAGATCTGGGCTAGTATTGTTGATTGCGATGGTGGGAAAGCACCTGGGCCGGACGGTTTCACTTGGGAATTCTACAAGAAAAGCTGGAACTGGATCAGGATTGATGTCATTAAAGCCTTTGAAGAGTTTTTCGATACTGGTTTCTTGCCTGATAGCATTACTCACTCTTTTATTTGTCTTGTGCCTAAGATAGATGCAGTTGAAGACATCAAGGACTTGAGGCCAATTAGTCTCATGGGCAGCTTCAATAAGCTGGTTAGCAAAGTCCTGTCGCGCAGATTGGGGAGTGTTCTCCCGTATCTTGTTTCCCCTAACCAGCATGCCTCTGTGAAGGGTAGGCAGATTGGTGATGCGGGCCTTATTGCGTTTGAACTTGTTGATAGCAGGAAGAGAAGTAGGAAGCCGGGTCTGATGTTCAAGTTAGACATTGAGAAAGCTTTTGATAATGTCAACTGGGGCTGTTTGTTTCGAATTCTCTCTCGGATGGGGTTTTCTGAGAAATGGCACAAGTGGATAGAAGGGACCATGTGTCGTCCGAAGATCTCTGTTCTCATCAATGGGGAGTCGAAAGGTTTCTTTAATGCGCAGAAAGGTTTGAGACAAGGAGACCCCTTGTCCCCAGGCCTCTTCACCTTTATTATGGATGTCCTGTCCTTTATGATCTCTGGGATTAGGAGCAATGGGAAAATTTCCGGTTTCTTTATGAATGAGGAAAATGGTGGGGGAGAGGTGACTCACTTGTTGTTTGCAGACGACACGTTAATCTTTTGCGACGCGGAGTATAATCAGGTCCTTAATATTCTAGCTACTCTGGTTTGCTTCCAGGCGGTTACTGGCCTCAGGATTAACTTGGAGAAATCGGTGATGTTCACAGTTGGGGACGTCCCAAATCCTGAGTTTTTTGCTTCTATCTTTGGGTGCAATTGGAGTGGGGAGCCTTCCAAGTATCTGGGGTTCCCTCTTGGCGCAAATCCCAACGCTATCTCGGTGTGGGACTCAATTGTAGACAAATATCAGAAGAGGCTCGATGGTTGGAAAGGCAAATACCTTTCCTTTGGAGGCAGATTAACTTTGATAAAGGCTGTACTCTCGAGTCAACCGGTTTACTTCTTCTCCCTCCTTCGTGCTCCTTCTTCTGTGGTGAAAAGATTGGAGGGCGCTCAAAAAAGGTTTTTGTGGAGCGGTTCGGGTGATACTAAAAAATTTGCTTTGGTTAGATGGGATATCTGCAAAGCTCCTATCTCGCGGGGTGGCCTTGGGATCATTGATCTTGAGTCCTTTAATAGGGCTATGCTAGGGAAGTGGTTGTGGCGGTATGCCACTGAGAGTAATAGCTGGTGGAGGGAGTTGATTAGCATTAAGTTCCCTAACCAGCACTCTGTTTGGCGCACTGAGAGATGTAGTCAGGGCTTCTCAGGCTCAGTTTGGGAAAATATTTCCAAAGAGTATGACGCCTTTTGGAAGATGGCTAGTATTGATGCTGGTCATGGTGCTTGGGTTTCCTTCTGGCATGATAGCTGGATTCCAGAAGTGGTTCTCGCTGAGAATTTCCCGAGAGTTGCTGCTGCCTCTAGCTCTCCGAACGCCAGGGTCTCGCAAGCCGCGTCCCTCTCAGGTAACTCTGTTATTTGGAATGTTCCTTTGTCTATTGAACTTAGGGGAGGAGCGGATAGGGAGAGAGTGGAGCTTTTGAACCTGCTTAATTCGAGAGGAGTCAGTTGTGTGTCGAGTGGGCCTCCTAGGCCTACTTGGCTGCCCGACGTGGATGGATCTTTTTCTGTTCGTTCTATGTACAGGTACTTGGTGGATGACAAGTTCAGAGGAGTCTCGGAGTTCCCGGATGAGTCTGTGTGGAGGCAGATTGTTCGGACAAAAATCTGCTTCTTTGTTTGGCTCGTGGCGCATAAGAGAATTCTCACCATTGACAATTTGAAGGCCAGGGGCTGGCATCTTGCCAACAGATGTGAGCTCTGTGGAAAAGAGGAGGAGAACATCGATCACATTTTCTCCTATTGTGAGTTTACCAGGGACGTGTGGAGTGCTTCAAGAAGGGTCTGTGGTCTTTCTACAGGCTCAAGTAGAGACATTATATCCATGATTCGGGAGTGGCCCTCTTGCCCTGTTTCCAGTGTTAACAGTTGGGTTTGCTTCGGTCTTCTTCACTCTTTGTGCTGGCAGATTTGGTTGGAGAGAAATAGAAGAGTATTCAGAGATGCTCGTTTGCATGCTAGGATCGTTACTCGTAAGGTGCTGAGGGATGCTTTGGATTGGGTAATCGCTTTTGGGAAGGTGGATAAATCTCAAGGATTGCGGTGGGCTGAGGAGCATCTGCAGAACCTCTTGCCGCGCTCTCCTTCCTCCTGATGATCGTCTGAGTTCTTCCTTTGATCGGCTTTGTCGCCTCACTCTTGGGGTTGGTTTTGCGGTCTAGGATGCTTTCTGTTTCGGTTTTCTAGCAGGGTTGGCTTGGTCCAACTAGCTAGTTTTCTGGGGTTCTTTGTTTTCCTTTCCTCTTCCTTTTCTTTTTCTTTCGCTGTACTTTTTTCCGCAGCCTTTGCTGCTGTTTTGTTCCTGTTCCTCTTTTGTCTGCTGGGCTTTTTGGTTCACCTTTTAGTGAACCTTTGCCTCGCTATTTCTGTACTGCTTCATTTTCTTTTCTAATTTATCACCATTATCAAAAAAAAAAAAAAAAAATTCCCTTGGCCATTGATTTGCTACATACTCTTTCGTTACTTGTTAGTACTAGTCGTTGTACTTCACTTGTAACTAAATCTTGAGTTCCTTACTTTTGAAAGCGATCCACTGACTAAATTGAAAGAAAAACAAAGATTTGGTTCAATAAGGTTTGCAGTAGCAGCAACAAAGACTTTCTGGTCTTAGCAACAAGTGGAGAATAAAATGGCTAAGGCTATAGCAATGACCAATTAGATGCAATCCAAATGTTACAGATCGAAAAGTTCCAGCTCTGCGTTTCCATTATACTCAGGAATCGTTTGGATGGTATAATCTAGTGAGTCAATTGGCTCAATTGGCTCAAAATGAAGCATTTGGGTCACATTATCTCATTTGGCATCACAAAAAATGAATGGTGTAATTGGGCCCGGGTCAATTCAAGATTGGCTCAGTGGGGTGGGGGGGGGGGGGAACAATTCAATTGCCGTGTTTATTCCATTTTTTCCCCAGCCAGTTCCTTTCTTTGTAAACCCAAACGTGCCCCCTGGTCCCTTCACCTTTTCCTATCGTCTTCACTTTTCTTCTCATTTCCTTCTCTGCTGTTCTGAACTTTAGGGTTGAGCTGCCGATCAATAGTGGAGAAGAAGCTTGTGATTCGAGCGACGGTGACTTGATTGAAAAGCAAGCAACGCTATCTCTAGGCCAGGTAATTACCTCTTATCCTACTTGTGTTAATTAGGGTTCCCATCTTTTGAAAAGGGTTTTTGTCAATTAATCTCCTCGGCTGCTCAACTTTCACTCTTCACATGCTTTTGTTGGCGTATCCTTAAACTGTTGTACGGTAGTGTTCCCATTAAATATTTCTACTTTTGTGGTTTGTGTGCATGGTTACAGTAGTTGTGCCCATACAAAGGTATCTGGCGATTTTTTTATGGGTGATTAATGTTGTGGAAAATATACTAATTTGGTAAAGTGAAGCCGAATTATGGAGTGAGAGCTATCACTGTGTGCTTGGTGGTTGTTTCCCTCTTTACATAAGCAAGTTGGTTGTATTTGTTCTTTAATGAAAATCAACAATGATTTCACAAAAATAGAATTTATATCTAACTGTTATACTAATCACTAATTTGTATTGCATCTACCGTATTTTTAAGGATGTCTCGACTATCAAGTTTAGCTCCAGCTCGTAGGGGCCAGGTGGTTGCAGCTATTGGGTCGTTCTTCAATCTTATTATCATTTATGTTAGTTTAGGCATCAAGCTAGCTAACCTTGTAGAAATGAAAACCGCAGACCAAGACTTGCTAGCCAACCAATGGACACCTACCTAGATAGGCATTATGATAGAAATAGACACCTTAGAAATGCAACCGGAATGTGAGACATCGATACATTCGATCAAGTTAGGATGAGCCGCACACTATTCCGAAATTTCTGTCAACTTTTTGTTGCGGAAGGAGGGATGAAACCAACTAGGAATGTGGATATAGACGAGATGGTTTACACCTTTCTACGAACCATTTCACAGAATGAGAAAAATAGGAATTTAAGACTGAACTTGAGACGTTTTGAAGAGATCATATCTCGGTCAATTCATCGCGTATTGAAAGCTGTTCTTAGACTAAACAACATGCTGATGAAGAAGCCGATGCCCATTCCTGATAATTGTACCAACAGTAGATGGAAACATTTTAAGGTTAAACACTCAATTCTGTTAAACCCTCAATTCTTTATCTAATTCATTGCTGCCATTATTTTTATAATAACTCCGTAATTTTTTTTCCTTTGTCTTGTTATAAATGTCTTGGAGCCTTAGATGGGACTCATATTGATGTCCGACCATTGAAAGAGCATCGGACTAGTATCGAGATAGGAAGGGTCATCTTTCCATTAATGTGTTGGGTGTTTGCACACCCAACCTTGAATTCATTTACTGTTTGTCTGGATGGGAGGGTTCTGCCCATGATGGGAGGGTGCTACGCGATGCCCTTAGTAGACAGAATGTTCTTACTGTTTCGGCGGGATATTATTATCTATGTGATGGTGGGTATGCAAGTAGCCTTGGGGTTTTAACCCCATATCGTGGGCAACGTTATCATCTCAAAGAATGGGAGGCAAATCGTTGTGAAACAGCTGAGGAGCAATATGAAGCATGCTTCGGTTAGGAATGTCATAGAGCGTATTTTTGGCATTATGAAAATGAGATGGTCAATTCTGAGGGGGTCATCTTGGTTCACTCCACATGATATGACCCGTATTGTTGTAGCATGTTGCATTATCCATAATTATATCAAGAGGGAGGTAGGGGCTGATTCGAGTGAGATAACTTATCAAGACGAAGAACTAGAACAATATGAAACTACTCAAGTAGAGACGATTGAGGGATCAAGCAGTGCTTTGGCTCTTTTCTGCCCCTTTTGTGACCTCTTAATATGAATCAGTTTGGTTTGTTTTAATTATGAATCTGCAAATATTAATCTGTCATTATGAATCTGCGTAATATCTCTGTTATTAATTGTTGTTGTATGGTTTGTTATATATCAATGTCACAGGCATGGGGAAGAGAAGAAATGCGAATGATGCTCCTCGAACATACAACTTTGGGATTCCAATCATGATGGCCCATTTCTGCAGTGCTTGTTGGAGTTAACAGACAAGGGGCAGATTCAAGATGGCACTTGCAAGAATGGTGTGTTCAAGGAAATCGAGCTTATGATGGAAAATTTTGCCCCAGGTTGTGGGCTGAGGGCAAAGTGGTCTATTAAAAATAGGGTGAGAAAACTGAAACATTGGTACCATTCGACTGTTATGATGCGCCAACATAGTGGATTCGGTTGGGACGACGCGACGAAGTTCTATTTAGATGCGGAGGAAGATGTTTGGAACCGTTTTTTGCAGGTAAAAGTTATTTCAAACTCCCTATGTAAATGTACAGATCAGTTTGCATTTAATGTTTACATGGTTGGTTGTAGAATACAAGTAGTTTCCTTTGTAGTCATTGTAGGTGAGACAGATGTGAGCAATTAATGGTGTTTGTTCCCTCCTTTACTGCTTGTTTGCAGTCACATGCTGATTGCAAACTGTACAAGCGTGTCCCCTTCCTGCAATTCTTTGACTTAGGTAAGGTCTTTGGCAAAGGGCGTGCAACTGGTGAAACTAGCTTTTGAAGGGATGATCCATACATATCAGAAGGTGGAGATAGCAGCTCGGATGACGACTCTCCTCCTTACCCACTTGACCAGATGAACAGCCTGACAGTGGATGAAGCGATGCTGAACATCATTGATGATGCGGTGGAAGCTCGCATCAACAAGAAGCGGCCACCAACTTCTGAAGCAGGTCCATCTCATAAGAAGAAAAAGAAGAAGAATAGTGCTGCAAATGAGAGCAGTGTTGAGGTAGCTGAAGAACTGGGAGGACTGAGGCCACTCATCAAGGAGTCAGCTGACACCATTGCTAGGGCTTTAGGAGAAAGTGTGGAGTACACTATGATGCGTAGAGATCTGTTGCAGAACTTGGAGAAGATAGGTGGACTGACTAGATCACAGGTGATCCTTACAGTTATGAAGTTATCAGACTGTCTAGGACACTTAAAGGTATTCTATGACCTTGAGAAGGAAGAAGACAAGCTGACCCTTGTGCTCGAGCTCCTGAGCAAATGAACAAGGGGGTCGTTATCGTAGTTAGCAATTAGGTGTGGTTTATTTTGTCTAGGGTTATTATGTAGCAGCTGTTGGTTTGCAAAGAGGATGTTGTTCTTTTGTCTGCCATTGTATAACACAAGCAGTGACAGTCTTTGCAAACTTAGACAACCTACTATTTTGTAAAGTTGAGTGTTGCTAATTATAAGCTTCAACTTCAACGTAGACAATTACATTTGATAGGAAGGTAGTTTGTAAAGCGTGTATGGTAATGTTAAACTGCAGCAGATGTTAATGGATTGTTGAACTTATTAATTGTTGTTCACTATGCAGCTGCTGCAATTTTATCCTGTTGCCTTTGCTTACTGTTTTGAGATTGACAGTAGGTTATACTGACATCAGATTTAGAAGACTAACATTAACAAAAGCAGAACACATCATGTTCAAACATAATTAACACATAGGTATACAAACACAGTAAAGATCTCAAGTTAAATCATAACTCTGCATTTGATGCACTAGAATTAGAAGTTCTAGCTTCTCCAAGTTACATCATAACTCTACATCTGATAAAAATAAAACACAACTGATCCAACTCATATTACCATCACAAAATACATGCTTCATAAATCCAAATAAATACACAACTTAGATAACTTCCTCCACTAAATCTATCCCATCTATACAAGATTAACCTAAACAAGCCATGACTATTAGTTAATCACCACTCTACTAAAGCTTTCTCTCCACTGTAAGCAATCTCTGTTTCACCACTTGCAGCTCTTTAGTGGCGACATTATCACTGTGGTGGTCACAAGCAGGAGCTAAAGCCAACAACTTAGAAAGCCTCACATTCTCTTCTTGAACATCACAGACTTTGCTTTTCAAATTGGCAATCAAATTCAAGAGCCTTTGTTCCCTGTTTTCCACAGCTCGGACATCACACCAATCGAAGAAGCCACATCCGGGTTTTCTCTGTACACAAATCAAGTTACATATTAAAATTAGAAATTGTGAAACATGAATCCACTGATTGAAACAACCAACCGAACAAGGGGGAATCCACGTCTATACATATACATCACCTTAGACCTTTGATTGGTAACGAGAGCATTACCAGAATTTGCGATTAGGATTCTTGGAAGTTCTGGAAGTTCGTACAATAGCTTTCAGTTTACACTTGCAGTATACCCCTTCCTCCGTCGAATAGTCGGAGAAGAATCCAGAACCCATTTCAGATAAGAGAACGTCTTATAGGTGCCAGTGAGGTGGAGACCAACGTTGGGAAGTGGAGGTTGTCTGCTACCTTCGTTCTTCTTCTTTAGGGGATTGGGGAGAGAATGAGAGAAGGGAAAGTAATGAAGGGGGTTTGGTGGAGATTGTACATGGAGAAGAAGGAAATAAATGAAGGGTAATTTTGGATTTTACTCACCCCTCCCTAATAAGCCAAAAAACAATTGACTAACTATCAAAGAGTGAACCAAACAAGGTAATGTGCACAAAATGTATCAGCATAAAACATGGAGCAATTATAAATGAGTCATTCTCAGTGGCGGACCCACGTGTGTTTACCGAGACACCCCTAAATTTTGGGAAAACGATTGTACAAGCCCTGGTAGGAATTTACGAATGGTCAAAAAAATTATAATTGATAATCGGGGACACCCCTAAAATTTGAAAAAATAATTATTCTACTCTTATATTTTAGTTTGAGTATGAGAATATAAGTGGTAGTTTGGGTAATTCAAACATAGGACACTATTATTATTAATAAACATAATTTCCACTAGGCTACAACCCATATGTTGTTCGATTTAAACACTGTGTAATAGTAAAATGTCATTCCCTATTTCTAATTATTTTCAAAACTTAACAATTAAATAAATTTCAAGCTACCCTTAATTTATATTGATTTTATGGTTGTACGACAAGTGTTGAAAGAGTCTTTTCAACTTTGGATTACACTAAGAACAAGTTTAGAAATCGAATATGTGATCAGTTCCCCCACTTGTTTAATAATTATTTATTATTTAAGAATTATTTAATTTATTTTTATTTAATTTATTTTTTAAAATAGGACATCCCTATGTAAAATTTCTGGTTCCCCCACTTGTCATTCTCCCCAATTGACTCATTGCATAATTGTACCATCCAAACGACCCCTCAATAAGCAAAACTGTTGTTGTACAATATTTGAACCAGATCAAGCTACTGAAGATATACAGAGATACCCAATTTTGATCGAGAAGGAATTTCATGAAATGCAAATGTTCTACCAAGTGATAAACTTTTTCCTACATTAGAGACTGATAGCAAACAAACAACCGCTTGGCTGCTGATCGCCCACAAAGACGCTGCCCGCAGAAGGAGGGGAAGGAGGTTCAACCAGCACTCCCTTTTTCGCGTTGGCGATGACCAATTCCTTGTGCTTTTCCGCTGCCTTTTTCAGATCATCAACCGCCAGATACTTCTTCTTGTGGAGGGAGGAGAGCCTCACCTTTACAAGCCTCAGATCTTCCGTGGCTTTTTCCTTCTCCGCTATGGCCTCGCCGATCTCCGCCTCGATCCGTGCCACGTCATCGGCTTCGATCAGTGGCACAATCGCCGATCTTAGGCAGCAGCAGCTCGTCACTCCTTTTCTTGGTCTTCTCCAGATCTCCGACGGTCAGATTCTTGCTCGCGCTGAGATTTGCGAGCTTATTCTCCGCTGATCCCAGAGCCAGAGCTTCGGTCCCGAATTCGGCCGCCCACGTGACTTCGACGATCTCGCGGTTTATTGCTCGCAGCTTATCGTTTCGGTTCTCGACGGTCCTCAGCGCTACTTTAACGTCCATATCTTGAGCCATTACTGAAATCGACTGACAAAGAAAGTATACCGGGGATCTGAATTCCAGGAATGAAGCAAGAATCGCAGTATAATTACTATATTCTGACGGCGGAGTGTTCATACAGAGCATAACTACCTGAGGTAGGAGCCGCCGGCGCCGAGATTGCCTTGAGAAAGGGGGAGATACGGAACGGAGGATGGCTGGAAACGAATCAGAGATCAGAATTACAAGAATAAAGCAAGAATCACGTATAAATACAATATTCCGACGGCAGGGGAGTTCGCAGAGAGCCTAACTACCTGACGTAGGAGTCGCCGGCGACGGAATCGGCTGGGGGAAGCAGCTGGTGAAAGGGGGGAGTACGGAACGGAGGATAGCTGGAAACGAAGGTGAAGAGAGAAATCGCAGAGAAAATGGAATTAGCGAAGTAAGCGAAGGAAGGTGTTTGGGTATTTATAGGAGGCTGGGGAAGAATTCCCGGAATACCTTAAAAATTAAACATAATTTCTACAAATACTAAGATTTATAAAATTTTCCCAAACTATCCAAGTTTCAAAGGGTTCGAGTCCCATAAACTCGAACAATAAATCAGTTCGACGATGAAGAATTCGAATTAACACCACATCGAGTTCTTAAAACTCGATCAACAATAGTTCGATTTTGGAAAAATTGATCAAGGTAGATCGACGACAAAGGACTCGATCAAACTAGATCGACTTTAGACAACTCGATCCAGTAAGATCGATGCCAAAAAACTCGATCAAGTAAAACGACTTTCGAGGTCTCGATCCATATCTGCACTATATCGATGCTTTAAAACTCGAACAACATTAATCGATTCCTTTGGCCTCGAACCACTAATCAATTATACAAAGTCACTTTCCGTTGGAATGATCGAATTACACATTTTCATAATAGTATTGACTACGAAGATGGTGAATCAAGTACTGTCCGGATTGAGAGCATATTTACTTGGCAAGAACTCAGCCATATTTGTGCGGAACGATGTTGCATAGGAAGGCGAAGAGTATGCAAGATGACTTACCGTACGCCGGTTTACAAGGATTATGCACTTGTATATGAAGGATCAGTTCTGTCTGACGATGATGACATTAATATGATGGTGAGATTTATTGCAGAGAACAGATCTCCAACTGCTGAGGTGTATGTCGAGACAGAAGTTGTTGGCCAATATGGTGGCGGCGGTTATACCGAACAAGGTGAAGGATCGGGAGGGTTTTCCGGTTTAGGAGATTTCAGAGTTCTGCATGATGCACCATGGACAACATATGAGGATCGAACTGCAACTGGTCCATTGGTGGAACATGACGGACAGGAGTGGCCAGTATGGGTGAAGAATGGGTTAACATAAGGGCACCCAGACAGTCACCCAGACAAGCATCTACACCAGCATCTAACATCAACAATGATCCGTATGTGGATAAACCAAGTCCTCCGTACACTAGCGAGGCAAGCGACATGGAAGATGAAGAGTTAGAATCAATGAGTAGTTCAGATGGTGAAGATCTGAAAGTTGATGAAGGGGAATTTGAGCCCCCCACACCTCACTACACGATGGTGCCACAACATCCTCTCTATGATCACAACAACGATCCTGACCTCCCTCTTATACCTATCTAGACTCCTGATTCTGGATTCGTGATTGGCCAAACATTTGGAGGAAAGCCTCAGGTGGTCGATGCATTGAAAGAAACTGCTATGCGAAGAAGCTTTCAATATCGTGTCATCACTTCTGACACTAAACAAATTCATGTTCGTTGCGAGAACCATGGCGACGGATGCATGTGGCATGTTTGGGCGACATATGTTAAAAGAAATGGGGCTTGGTTCATTCGTAAGACAGACAACAACCAAACTTATAGGTCGTCACTGATTTCTCTAGATCACCGACAATTGAGTGCAAGGAGGTTGCACAAAAAATCAAACATCTGATTGATGCACAACCTGGGATCACCGTGAAGAGTGTCATCGCTGAAGTGAAGAATCGACATGGCTATACCATCAGGTACAAGAAAGCATGGCATGGGAAGCAAAAAGCTATGACGGAGGTGTATGGCGATTGGGAAGAGTCATTTGCAAACATGCCTCGTTTGATTCTTGCAATGGTGGACAATAATCCTGGGTCTGTTTTTGTGCCTAGTTACGAAGATTTCTATGGAGGTGCTAAACGGGTGTTTAAGAGACTATTTTGGGCATTCAAACCATGCATTGATGGTTTACCCATTGTTTGCCAATAATCCAAGTTGATGGCACCTTTCTGACCGGCAAATACAAGGGCACTCTACTCGTTGCCACTAGTGTTGATGGCAGTATGCAACTTTTCCCGCTTGCTTTTGCTATAGTCGAATCGGAGAACAACGTAAGTTGGGCATGGTTTTTTTCCCAACTATACACTCGTGTCACTCAACAGAAGGACATTGCCATACTTTCTGATCGACACCATGGAATTGCACATTCTTTCTGCGACTTGCACGAGGAGCTAGGGTGGAAGTGGCGCTGGTGCATACGACATTTCAAAAGCAATTACGGGAAGCACTTTGGTAGAACTTATGGACAACGTGCAGTTTGGCACGCTGGTAAGAACAAATAAGATGTTGTGATTAACTCAATTGGTTGAATGCGTATACTCCTTTACTAACCTTATTTTGCTTTATTGTAGCTATTGCTTTTCAGACTCGAAAGTTTGTAGACAAAATGAAGAGCATAAGGGAGGTCCACTCTGAAAGTGCAGATTGGCTAGAAACTCATCCTTTTGAGAGGTGGACGTTACATCAAGACGAAGGGTATAGGTAAGGAATAACAACAACGAACATGGGTAAGTGCCTCAATGGTTTGTATGTTGGTCTTCGTGCAATGTCTATCTCATCTATAGTCTTGCATACCTTCTTTCGTACGGTAACATGGTTCATTGAATGCTACCAAACAACATATCAGATGCTGAATGCTGGAATCTACATCCCAAAGAAGATTACGGATGAAATGAAACCATGGTCGGAAAGGGCAAAATGGCATAAGGTGACTTTATTTAGTCGAAGAGATTCCCGCTTCGCAGTAGTAAGAGGAAGTGGACCAGATAGTTCAAAGGGTGGTAATGCTCAACCAGTTATATTGGATGCAAGGAATGGAACAAGATAGTGTGCTTGTGGGAAGTTTCAAGGGAGACACCTGCCTTGCTCTCATGCATATGCAGCTGCGAGAAGCGTTAATATGAACCCTTTGATATTTGTTAGTCCATACTACAAGACTCCATACGTGGTCAGAGTTTGGGAAGGGTCGTTTATTCCCTTAGCTCATGAAGCATATTGGCCCCAGTATGATGGACCTGTAGTGTACCCTCCCGAGCACATGAAGCATACCAAAGGTCGACCTAGAGTTAACCGAATTGCAAATGAGATGGACAGATCAAGGACATAGCGACACCGCCCGAAGAAGTGCTCTGCATGTCTAGTTGAAGGGCATGATAGGCGCCAGTGTCCAGGGCCATCGACTGACAATTGAAAGTTTATGTTGTAATTTGAATTTTATGTTGTGATTTAAGAACTTTATGTTGTGATTTGAATTTTATGTTGTGATTTAAGAATTTTATGTTGTAATTTGAATTTTATGTTGTGAAATAGGACAACTTAACAACTCTAGAGAAATAGAACAACTTAACAACGTCATTAGAAATAGAACACCTTAACAACTCTAAAGAAATAGAACAACTTAACAACTCAAAGAACACCTCACTCTTGTGCACCACGTCCGCGTCCCCCTATTCGACGTCTATTCCTTGAACGAACTCCATATCTAATTCCAGTATTTCGTGGCATTGGAGGTGGGGTTGCAGTGGCTGGAGGACCATAATAAACATTTTTCATCAGAGGCTCGAAGCTTTACCGCAGGGTTTGGAATTGAGGACAATACGAGGGAGCATAGTTGGCTCCTCCTCCCCCTCCTTGAGCAGGACCTGATGATACCTCTCCGAATTCCCTTCTGGCGGCCGGGGGAATCCATACTCGTATGGGTCAGGAAGTGCCACATCTTCTCATACTTGCACAGGCAGTGGCGGATTCAGAAAATTTTCACAGGGGTGTCCTCTTCAAAAATTAAATTTAATTATATAATAAATTAAATAATTCGTATATTAAAAATATCATACTTGTACAATTTGTATAATTTTTTAATTAAATAATAAATTAAAATTCATATTTTGAAAAAATAATATAAATAAACTCCGTGTCTGCACTCTTCAAAAAAATCTACATATCCTACTAGACAATACTTCACGAACTTATCACATATTCGATTTCTAACCTTGTTCTTAATGTAGCTCAAAGTAGAAAAGACTCTTTCAACACTTGCCGTGTAACTATAAAATCAAGTCAAAGTTAAGGGTAGCATGTACGTAGTTTAATTATTAGGTATTGAAAATAGTTGGGGATAAAGAAATAGCGTTTTACTGTTGCATGATGTTTAAAATAGAATAACAAATGAGTAGCAACATAATTAGAATATGTTTGATAATAGTAGTGTCCTAGGTTGGAATAACACGGACTACCACTTATATTTTGTTAATCATAAGCAAACTATTATCGAGGATAGGATAATCATTTTTCCAAATGTTAGGGTGTCCCGAATTACCAATTATATATTGTATACTCATACGAAACTACTACCGGAGGTTGGATAATCGTTTCCCCAAATTTTAAGGGTGTCCCGGGACACCCCTAGAGGCCCATGTATCCGCCCCTGTGCACAGGGACTGTAACTGCCTCTTGCCGACGTTTACTCCTCCTTGGTGGCGATGGCCGGAGGGATTCAACTTCAATGGCGTGGGAGGAAGGACGTGGCGGTGCAGGTGCAGGAGGATATGCAATGACATCCCTTCGGATTTCTCGCGAACATGACAAGAGATTCTTGAAGAGCTTCTTCAAGAGTGAAATTTTCTCAGGTGACATATTCTTTGATGACATTCTGTTTATAGTCCATCATGGGAGGAGAATTTGGTCCATTTTTTTATACAATGCATTTGGTCCACTTGCAACAGGTATTTGAGATATTGCAGAAGCACCAATTCTTTGTGAAGGCATCGAAGTATGGCTCTGGTGTGCAGGAATTGGATTATTTTGGGCATATTATTTCGGTGAATGGTGTGAGTGTGGACCCGTCCATGATACGGGCTATGGTGGACGTGTCAGTGCCGAGGACAGTAACGGAGCTGCGAGGATTCCTGGGGATGATCGGGTACTACTAAAAATTTGCATAGATATATAGCTCGATAGCAGGACCGTTGACAAAGTTATTGAAGAAGTGAGGGTCCAGATGGAACCCTAAGGTCGAGAAGGCCTTCTGTGACCTGATGACCTCATCGACCACGACTATGGTGCTGTCACTTCATGATTTCTCCCAGTTTTTTGATATCGCGATAGATGCATTAGGAAAGGGTATTGGAGTAGTGTTGTCACAATAAGGGTGCCCTATTGTATTCATGATTCACACGCTATTATTGGCCAAGGAGACATGGCCGACATATCAGAAGGAGATGTATGTTATTACCACGGCGATGCAGGTCTGGAGGCCCTACCTAATAGCCTAGAAGTTGTGCATCTACCTCAAGTACTTGCTAGACCAAAATGTCTCTATCCAGATTAGCACAAGTGGGTGGTTAACCTGATGGGTGACTCATGCTATCACTACTCTTAATCCCATCTAAAGGTCAAATGCAACCTATAGAGGGTGTAGGATAGGGTAAGTATTTCAATATCAACCCGGGCGGTCTATATACCCTTTAATTGTTAACAAGTTATCTAACGATTGGATTATGGTTAAAGCTAAGGAAACTATAATTAAAACAAGCAAGCAAGTAAACTTTGGTGAGTTCGATTTGAGAAAGCATCACTCGGACATTGCTCCCCCTAGTCTCGTGTCAAGATACAATGAATGAAAATCTAGTGTGATAGGGATGATCATAAACCGTGAGGAGTTTGCAAATAGCTAGGTAACCCCCTAGACCTTTCAATTGATCTATTAAGGATTGCCACTATTAGCTGGGGACCCCCTAGACCTCTTAATCTATCAACCAAGGTTCGCAAACAAATACCTAGAACTTTAGTTAGGAATAGCGAAAAGTAACCAATCAATACGATATCATGACACTAATTCGATGAATGAGGAATGACCCAAATTTCCCTAAGGAAGGTTACCCAAATTGTGGGCTACAAGGAGATTTCCTTATTCTAGGTCAATTGTCCCACAATTGTCCCACAATTGAGATATGAACAATCAACACGGAAATTTCATGAATAATACCTCAAATTAATGGAACGCAGTGACACCGTTAGTCAAATTAATGGAACACTTACCTGGCTGCCAACTCACCCTCTCTTTCGTTTCCGCCTCAGCCTGCGATGGCAGGTGGATGATGAAACGTCATTTATACCTTCGGTGACATTGTTAGACAAATTAATAGAACGCTTACTTGGCTGCCAACTCATCCTCTCTTTTGTTTCTACCTCAGCCCTCGATGACATGACAGGTAGATGACACATCATTTATAATTATAATTTTTTTTTTTTAAATCCTACCTAAATCAGTACCCTAGCTTCGTATCTCGATTGGTGATGATATATCATAACCAGAGCTCCACTCGTTCAATGGAAGTTCCCCAACCCTAGCCTCTCTGAAAATCTTCATCTTCCTCCTCCATAGAAACAATAGTTCATCTAGGGTCCTCGCCGTCGAATTTACCTTCAATAACTTCCAGGAATCTGTCCCGGAAGGGAAGAAGAGAGGATTAGGGAATTCGTCGAAATCGAGCGGAGGCGCGAGGAGGGGATCGACATCGGAGATTGGCAGAGGAGGAGGGTGCAACCCTCTCCCCATTCTTCCAACCAGTAGAAGCAACCCACCTCGATCGTCGGCTTCTGCCCAAGTCCCCACGGTGGCTTGATTCCTCCGTAGACGAGATCTTCTACAATAAACAGATCAGGAAGACACTCAAACCCACAAAAATAAATCTCCCAGAACCCATAACCCTTCTTTACTATTTCAGTCGACCAAGAAGATCCCCAAACCCAAATCTCGGTGGTTGCACAGAGAGCAACTCAGGGGGGGGGGGGGGGGGGGGGGGGGGGGGGGGGAGAAAGAAGACAAGTAATCGTGGGCATATAGAAGCAATTTCTATCGGGGATTAGAGAGAAGAGGGTGGGGATGACTGAAGATGATGTGCCAGTGAAGTCGAAGCTAGAGCTGGTGTTGGTGGAGGCAGGCAGAGACGATTGATGGTGGCGGAGGCAGAGATGATTTTGGACGGAAGGCGATAACAGTTAGTGATGGCAAAGGGTCGGGACGGGTACCTCAATACCCATGTCCCGCCCCACGCTACTACGGGTCAGGGCGGGTAATACCCACGCAGGTACGGGGCGGGGCCGATCGACTACTTTTTAAATGTTATTTGAAAAAAATACACGCAAAATTTTACTTTTTACGATACGAAGGGGAAAATGCTTCATGAATGAATAACATTGATAATATAATGGGTAATTGAGTTTATATAGTCGAAAGATCAAGTTTAATTAGTTGAAGAAAAGCCAAAATAGGAGATATATGTATGGATGGCGTAAGAAATTGACCCAGAACGCACCAAAAATGGGGCGGGACAGGTCGAAAGTTGGTACCCATGTCTCGCCCCACGCTACTATGGATCGGATAATACCCCGACCATCGCGGGTCAGGTCGGGTAATACCCTACAGGACGGGCTCAAATTGCCATCCCTAACGGCGATTGTGGTCTTGGTGGTGGGAGGATTTGTCGTCGGAGAAGAGCTCTTCAACATAATAGAGAGAATGGGAAAGTGAGAAGGGACTTATTTTTGGTTTTGTATTTTTTGGTTAAATCACGTGAGTAATATGTACGAGACAAAAATCGCTAGAACAATCGATCCATTAGTCCAGTCAATACGTTAACTTACACCGTCAAAAAATTGGACGAAAGTGACAGTGACTAGTTTTAGTATTTCGATAAAAGTGATTATATTTGATCAAACCTTCAAAATTTTGGCTACACAAGTCTATTTTGCCGAATTCAAATATTCTGCTACGCCCACTTAACACACGAACCCAGCCCAGAAAACAACCTATATGTGCGGCCCAATATCAACAATTTGTTCATCGCGCCAGACAAAAACAAACGACATCATAAGTCATATTCTTAACCCCGCGGTGCACATTTGATTAGCTTTGGAAGATTTTTTTTTTTTTTTTTTTTTTTTGCTTACATGTTCCGAAGTAGCAGTTAGTACAACAGGCGGTCAAGCTTTTCAAGCGATGGTGACAACACACTCACCTCAATCACTTCGTTTGCTGGTGCCACTGCCGGAGTTTTGCTCGGATAGAGCCTTGAGAACAGTGACCAGCGCCTGCAGACGATCCCATATGTTCAGCGCATATAATGCTTCCACAAGCGACTCCTGGAACTCGAAACCACCCTCCGAAACTGGATACTGCAATTTCCATGGCAAAAAAGCATAATAGTTACATTGTTATTCGAATTACTCTAGAAAACAGAGACACATACACAGCCTTTAGCTTAACACGTGGTTGAAGTGGGTACCTGAATTGGCTTGGGTATCTTGGTTTTAACGTACGGCCACCATCTATCCTCAACAACCGACTTCACCAGACAGCAGGCTCGCAACCCTTCGATTCCGGCAAATCGTCCGAATCCACTGTCTTTCACACCGCCGAACGGCAAGGACTGAAATGGAGACAATGCATCAGTTCATTGATTTTAGGAGCTCGTGCAAAAATCAAGTGAATACGAAAGAAAGTATTGCCTGGCACATGTAGGAGGAAGCGAAGTCATTGACAGCCGCGACTCCAGTGTGTATCTGTGAAGCTATCTCCCTGGCGCGTCGCTGACTGCCCGAGAACACAGCGCAACCAAGCCCGTATCTCGAGTCGTTCGCAAGCTTGATCGCCTCTTGGTCAGTGCTGAACTTCATGATCGGCAGGATCGGTCCAAACGCCTGCGCCAAAAATAGAGTTATCTGTGAAACTGCCTTTGACAAGTGCACTCGGGCTGCGGAAGCAGAGTGGCAGCTTTTTTTTTTTTTATACCCAACTGGTGAATCCGTCCTGAAATCAACCCGTTGAAATTACCGGCTAGCTATCATGAGCTAACCCGTCTGATTGGTCCACTATCCATGATTAACTAGCCTATATAGAGTTATTTGCGAAATTGCCTTTGACAAGTGGAGTCCGGCTGCGGAAGCAGAGTGGCAGTTTTGTTTTACCCAACTGGTGAACCCGTCCTAAACCCAACCCGTTAAAATAACCAGCTAGCTATCATGAGCCGACCGGTCTGATCGGTCCCACTATCCATGATTAACTAACCTACTGATCCACCACCCATTATGAACGAAGCTGACCAGTTTGTCATCTCAATGTGGGCTTATATTAGAGAGGATGAATCATACCTCCTCTTGCATTAACTTCATGGTGTGGTCGACATTTACGATCACCGTTGGGGGGAAGAACTGATCGACAGCACCTTCGCCAAGGTGACCGAAACTCCCTCTAGCAACGATTTCTGCACCTTTTTCCAGAGCATCGTTTACGAGGTTCTGAAGCCTCTCGGAATGCTCTTGCATGCATAGCGCTCCCATGTCATACCTTCCAGTAAGTGGCGGGCCCTTCAACAATGGTAAGAAGTAGATTGAGAGAGACGATTCAAGAATTGAAGAATGTCTGTGTGATGGAATCTTTTGGCAAAATAACAATTACTTACGGCGGAAACAGATTTTACAATCTGGGAAACTTGGGTGACAAATGAAGCGTATACATCTCTGTGAACGTAAAACCTCTCGGCCCCAGCACAGTTCTGTCCAGATGATTGGAGGGCGGCCCTAACAGCCACTTGTGCGACCTAGGATTGGGCGAAGAGGAATGAGAATGCATTTACTCAAACCTTGTGGAGGAGATGGATACATAAGAGAAGGATATACTTACATGAGGCACATCCACATCTTCACACACAATGAATGCATCCTTTCCTCCGAGCTCGAGCGTAACTGGGACAAGATTTTTGGCCGCATTTCTCATTATCTGCAATAATATGTGGTAAATACACCAGCTCTGAGCGAAGTTGAGGCAGTGAAAGGCACACAGAATTGCTTAGACTATTAAGAGAAGGGGCAAGGCCAACTAAAGCAGCCAATTGGAAATCAACACCAGATGTGTAATTAGCTCCACATTAAGATATGATTGTCTAAGTCTTTCTTCTTTGCACATTACACTACTTGGAAGCTCTCTTTGTTACCCAAAACGCACCTAATTAGCAAGTCATCAGGAAGTTTATACATGGTTTCTAGGATTTTCGTAGTCTTCAAATGGTTTTCGAAGGTTTTTCAATCATTCCACATTTACATCATGTATAAGGGAAGCAAGTGAGCAAACGAGAATGGAACATTCAACAGGTGAAATGAGAGGTGCCTGGTAAGCCTTTTTAGCAGCTACGGTTATGAATCAGCAATAACGGAAACTTACCTTCTTACCAACACCAGGAGATCCAACAAATATGACTTTATCAACTGAAGACACCAAGGCTTCTCCTGTTTCAGCAAACCTACAATCCACAGAACCAGATTGAGCAAACCACTTGAACATGACGAATAATTTAAACGAGTGGCATGAGCACAAAGCATGTAATATACCCTGTTATTACGTCAACCAGATTATCAGGAGCACCAACAGCAGCAAGAGCAGCTTGGATTATCCTGAAGTAGAAACAGCCTGACCAGCTTGCATGTTCTGAGACCTACATTTTCAAGCAAAGAATCAACTGCGATTTAACAAAAAAGAAGCCTCTTAACGATATTGTTTTTTCTAGCACAAATATAGTTGAAAGAGAAAAGCAAGCGCGGAAATAACATCACCTTAATCACAATGCCATTGCCTGAAAAGAGTGCTGCCAGCATTGGATTAAATACATTGTGAAAGGGGTAGTTCCACGAAACAATGGCACCAATAACGCCAAGGGGGTGGAACTCAACCTTAGCTTTCTTGTGAATCATTGATCTCCCAGATGATCTGTGTGTTTAAGAATAGTTTAGACAGAAAGAAATCGGTATTTACAGCAAACTTAGGATAGGCATCTTTTAGTAAATAGAAGACAGCGAACAGGATGTCATTAAGAACAACCTGTATTCAGGCTTTAGCCACCGCTCACCCTCTGAGAGTAGCCAAGTAATCTTCTCACATGTGGTCATTATTTCTCCTAAAGATGCATCGACCATTGTCTTTCCAGTATCACGAGAAGAAACTCTGATCAAAATAACATAAATCACAATTCAGACTAATATATAGACAACCGTACAGACAACACAATGGTAAAGAACATAATTCATTTGAGTAGACTATTAGCTGCGATCAGACGCAGCCACATCCTGGTGTTCTAACCATATTCTTAAATCTCATGGCAGTTGTTGTTTCAGAAACAACCACACATACGTCTCTCATCTGTCCTATCTACCATAACAGTCCTAGATTTTGTTTTTGGCATAATTCATTATAAAAATACTGCATAAGATGGATTGTAAATGACTGCATAAAAAAAATCCATGGTCAATGGAGATAAAGGTCAAGCTGAGAGGATTTTTACTCGCAAATGAGCTGTTGGTGTTCGAGAATGTATTTCAGAAGAATCCTCAGAAACTGGCGTCGTTGCTTAAAGCTGCTTTTTGCCCACACTGTCTGAGCCTTCTTAGCCAGAGCAACTCGTTCCTCGACCTTGTAGCAGATAGCAAAGCACTCAGCCGAATTTGGAGAACCAAAACAGAAAGTTTCTAAGATCTGATAACTCGCTCCAAACAGCAATTTACCTCAGAAGGAGACAAGGCAGGGAAGTATCCCAAGTATTTCATGGTAGCCGGTTCATAGCACTGAACTTTTGTTTCCGACTGCTGCGTCCTTCCTCTAGGCGGTATCTGAAGCATGTACCACACCCCCAACGATCAAATCACAGAATAAACCAGTTAGCGAAAGAAAGCTTCAATTTACAGCTACAGCATATAGAACCTTAGAACCATCAAATCACCTAGTAACGAGTTCATGAACGCAAGCTTCAATTAACAAAAGCACAACAGCTCGACTCAAAAGATTCCAGCCGTTCCAATCCAGTTCGTTTAAGATAAACACATTCTATTTCAATCAATAGCTAAAGCAAACACCACAATGACAATCAAAATCGCCGAGTAACCAGTTAAAGAACGGGAGGCTTCAATCTATCCCTAAGGCACTAGAACTTCAGTCCAACCGTTTCAGCTCAGTTTACTCCACGAACGAGCCATCCGTTCAATTCCAGTCCGCATACATTTTCAGAGAATCACACAATTTAGAGAAACCGGAACCATTGATTCTCGCTAGATCTCCGGAAGAGAGATACTCAGTTCTCCACAGGACAGTTCGAAATCAACGCGAAGAAATGAATCGAAATTGTCTAAATCAAGTAAGCGATAGTAAGGAACTAGGAAGAGCTGAATCCAGAAGAACTTACGTAAATAAAGCTGTTCTCCTGCGCCTGATTCCCTTCCGTAACTGAACAGCAGAAACAAACGCCATAGCTCGAGTCAACAACACAGTAGAGTGGACAAGTATACTCGCTCTTTCAAGCAGAAATTGGGGAAATGCTACAACTCGGAACTGCGATAATGTCGACGAATCACGAAACGATTTACCGTCGGAGACGTCGACGTCGATCGAAGGCACATTGACGGGGATGAGCATGAACAGAAAGCGGCAGAGGCCGTAAGCGAGAGCTAGTACAATCAACGGCCACCAGAACGCCATTGCTAACAGTTCGCGCGCTCTAGGGTTTCCAAAGATTGCAGAACATGGAAGGCGGAGATCGGAGAGAGCAGTTACGGAGGGGAAATGCTTTGTTATGAACTTTTGATGATTCCGAGTGACGGGAGAGAGTTGTTTGGATTTTTCTACTTTGGAATAAGCCCACGGTAGAGTGAGTGAAGAAGACAGGCGAGTTGGGAATATAAAAAAGGGTGACGAGTGGAAGAAAGAACGAAAGAGGAAGCGGTAAATTACAATTTGCTACTGTGGAACTGTGGTAGTTGGATCGCAATTCTACATTTCGGTTTGGTCCCCCAGGCAGAGACAGGCTTCTGTGTTCAGCCTTAAATTCAACAAGTTACCACTTACCAGCAGTGAAATCTAACCAGAAAATTTTTAACATGTTACTTGGTAGTAGAGCTGTTAATCAACCAAGTTGTTCATGTACGATTCGGCGTTCAATTTGAGAAAAACTCGTTCGACGTTCAATTTATCTTAATCGAGCTGGCTCGCGAACAAACTTGTTAACTAAACGAGCCGGACTCGAGTCATACCATGTTCAGCTCAAAAGTTCGCGAACAAGCTCATTTAAATGGTTTGACATCATTAAGGATTGGATTTTATGGACTTTATGCATTGAAATGGGATAAATATTGTGTTTTATTTTGTTATAGACCTTGCTACAGGTTTGACTGTAATTTTGGGCTCGTTAAACTTATTTGAGCTCGATTTGGGCTCGTTAAACTTATTTGGCGAGTTGAGGTCAATTCAAGCTCGATTTTTCATTTTCATAAGTGAGTCGAGATCGAGCTTGCATATTAAAGCTCGTGACGAACTCGAACTTGAAAATATTTTAACGAATCGTACTCAAACTATGACAAAGTTCAACTAGGTTCGGATCATTAACAACCCTACTTGGTAGGTTGTCTCCGTTTAACCTTTAATTCAATAAGTTACCGGTTACCGGCAGTGAAATCCAATAAGAAATTCTTTACATGTTACCAACTACCTACATGTCTCAAAATTTCATCTTCCTCCTTGTTACTTTTTCGAATGGAGGACCCGGCCTCTCAAAAATAGGATCATTGTGATCGTTACCGCCAACATCACATCTCTCAGTCCGCTCATGTTGAGGGAGTCTAGATGCTCGAATAATATTTACAATATCACTCCATTAATCTGGTTCCCATATTGGTCAGCAAACGTCATTAGACTCCACAATGGGACATGCTTAGTAGAAACAATACGATAACCATGTTCTGCCATAGTAGTACCCCATCTCACACACTAGCGCCTGAATAACTACTTGCTTTGTAGATGACCGAGTAACAATCCCCTTCGTAGTTAGTACATGTATGCAACACCATCAAGAATATCCGCCCCTATCATACACACCTCCTGCAACACTGCCATAGTGGTGAGAAGATGTCTCGCCTCTACGATAGTCATAACTCATATAACTCTCTCCATCTACACCGACCTCGTTAGTGTCGTCACTGTACACCCATGCAAGCTCGGGCTTATTTTCTGCTAGGAGGTCCAACATCAAACCCTATCATTGTCAGATATGATAAGTTCTTCATACATCACACCGCCCCACTAGTGTTTGGACTCCGATAAGAAGTTTTACAAATTCACATCTAACTCCCCCGCCCCCACCCCCAATTTATACCCATTCAACACAAATGTCATAGAGTTCTTGTCACGTGAATCTGCTCTCAATATTCTTTCTAGTGGATTCACCACCTTCATAATCCATAACGATGTGAGAGTTTGTCATTTGACCATACCATCGAATAAGTAGCTGGAACTTTCGGAGTTTTCTATCCATACCTACAATTAAAATATATACTCATAGCTAGCCAATATATCTTAATCTTACAGACTACTTAAACACTAATATTCCATATGGTCTACTTGAACCCAAAACATAATTACTTAAATACAAGCATATTAAACAACTTTGTTCTTACCTATTGCACTGAGGTAATTGAGGGAATGAATATGAGAAAGTTTGTTGGGTGCAGTGGCGGACCCAGGATTTTAGAATAGGTGTGTCGGCTAATAAAAATAATTTAAAATCAACTTTTATTCATAAAGTTCACCAATTTCATTATTTTTTAAAGTGAACCACGGCGAGTTTTTATATTCTAACAAATTTCGTAATTACATTTGTCCATTAGGTTGCAATCAAATATTTTTATGTACATGATTAAACAATTATTCATAAACTAGTCACTCACCTTATACCAAAGATTGTTCTCGACTAAATTCATATATGGAAAATGCCATTTGTAGCTTGCAGTTGCAAGAGGTAAAGTCAACACTAATTTAAAATGGGAAAGCTAGTATGAGTATTTGGAAGGGTGGCCACAGGCGTCAATATGGAAGTTTGAATTAGGATGCCGCCGGCTCGACGCCGATAATTGGAGTGTGGCGACAGACGTCAACGTGGAAAGAAATAACTAAACTAGAAAGCAAGTTGAAAATTAACTTAAAAGAAAAATCTATGGAAGAAACTACGGGGAAATACAGTCTGGAACACTATCTAGTTAGTTGACTTTACCTAATATGAAGTTCAGTAACTCTATGGCTAAAGTGATCAGGTCTTTGACCAGTCAACCCACCCAAAGCCGCTGTCCATAACCCTATCCTCGTGGAGATATATGGTCGCGTTTGTCCAAAGCGATTAAGGTTGATTGCTTAAGTCAAACGAAGCAAATGTCGAACACTTAATTTACACAAGCATGATGATAGTTATGATCGTTGTGCCCATAAGGGATCTAAGGTTACATAATAGTTCCTCTCAAAATAGAAATGACGTAATTTTTTCGGTATAGCGCTACTCCAAACACCGGAAAACAATGACGGACTTTTTTAATCACATACGGACGTAACTGCCACATATGAGGCTTTAGTTTCTCTGAAGATAGCAGAAATGCAGAAGGGCTAGCCTCTTTTAGCTTGCATGACAAATTATCTTCCCGTGAATCTCGAGTCTACAGTCCTACCAAATTCCTGGTCGTCATTGGAAGCAATCAGTCTATACTCTTTACCTTTACTTCTCAACAAGCTATGCCCTCTGTCGACAATCCCACAATCAAACTTTTTTCACTCATTAAGCTCCATCGTCACACATCTCAACACACAAAAAAGAACATCCAACACTAAATATCTTCCCCTCTCCACAACACCAATTTCACGTTATTCGTTCCTTCTCCCCCAACCCATCTCCGATTCTCTTTCCTAGAAGTAGACGTGTGCAACGATCCATTTCGGTCCGAAAAAAACTAACGAACTAAACTCACAGATATCGTAATACGATAAAAAAAGATATTTCAGAGTCTAACGATCAGATCAATGTTGTTTTCAATCTTGAATATAATATTTTATTTCAAATATTAATTCGATTTATTTTATTTCAGGACTTATAAAAATCATGAAATTAACTGATCAAATACTAACTCACAATATATACACGATTCAGTATGATCCGATCCAAATATCGCGGTTAAATATCAAATAGTTGTCCACCCTTCTCAAAAGAAACTCGCGCCCTATATTTATACCACTCCCCGCTCTGCTAATAACTGATCACCGCGCAAACCAAAATGGCAGACCACTCCACGGCCGCCGCCGCCGGCTGCCGGAGGCAGCACGTGGCCATCGAAATCGAGCCGGCCGCCACCGACAGCAACCTCGTCACTTCCATCCTTCAACAGATGGAAACCGTCTCCTCCCTCCACTCCATCTGCCGGGCAAGCCCCACGCGCCGCGAGTCGAGCAAAAAATCCTACACCCCGCAGAAAGTCGCCATCGGCCCTTACCACCGCGACGGCGCGACGGCCGCCGAACCCCTCAGACCAATGGAGGATCACAAGTGGCGGTACGTCCACGCGCTGCTCGGCCGGCGGACCGACCTAGAGGCCAGCCTGAACGACTGCGTTTCGGCGCTCAGGGAACTGGAGCAGAGGTCGCGCGCCTGTTACGCCGGCGACGACGTGGATCTCCCCGCCGGCGACGAGTTCGTGAAGGTCATGTTTTTGGACGGATGCTTCATCATCGAATTGTTCTTGAAGTACTCGACCAAGGTGCTGCGACGTCGTAACGATCCGATTTTTGCGGTCCCCGGGATGCTGTACGACCTGCGGTGCGATTTGGCTCTGCTGGAGAATCAAATCCCGCTGTTCGTCCTTCAGCGGCTGTTTCAGGTCGTGCCGATTCCTAAACAGTGCGCCAATCTTTCTCTCGCCGAGCTCGCTTTCCGTTTCTTCAAGAACATGATTCCAGGTACGTAGGGATGGCGCGAAAATGTTGTGGGAGTAATTGCTTGATTAACTACATGATTTAGATAAACAAAACTAGAATTTATAAGGGTTAATAGTAATTTATATTGTTGTACTATTGTAATTTAACAAATATAGTTTTTTATATTTTCTTCACAAATGTATTCTATATTTATTGAAATCTAACAAACATACTCTTTCATCCAATTTTTTTGGCAATTGATCGTTTAAAAAGATTGAAGATGATCGAATTAGCCCTCACTTATTACATAAATTTAATATTTCTTGTTTTAAAAACAAGACTTAAAATATTTAATCAATTTAGTTTTTCGTACCTAATTTTAAAAATTTATTTTTCTTCTCCTTTTAGTTATTTTTTCCTGTTTTTTATTTCTTACAAAAAAAAGAGAAAATTTTTATATAATAATTAAGGGCAGTTTCGTCACATTTTGTTCCGTTAACAGTTAGTTAACATAATTTTGGATGCATGTAACGGAAGAATATGTTCGTTATATGCTCTGATAATATATGGATATATTTGTGCAAAAATATAATATAAAATATTATTAATTCAATTAATACATTGGTAAGTTTCCACCACTTATCACGTTGACTTGACGATGTCTGTTCTTATTAATTTATCGAATATTAATGTAAATCTGAGTAGTCGAAATTCCAGGCAAAATCTAACTTGTTCTCTTCATCTCTTATTCCAAACTTTAGGAGACATATTGATTCACAGGGAGAAGTTCACCCAAGAAGGAAATCATTTGCTCGACTTAATCTGTCACTGTCTGCTCCCAACTCTTCCAAGGCTCCCATCCTCCAAATCCCAAAAGCACCTACGTTCAGTGACGGATTTGCATAGTTCAGGAATCAAGATCAAGAGGGCCAAAACAGAGAACTTGCTCGACGTCAAGTTCGTTAATGGCATTCTGAAACTCCCACAAATTGAAGTCCATCAACACACGGAGTTGCTGTTCAGGAACCTCATCGCGCTCGAGCAGTGCTCGAACGTCCATGGCACCGTGCACCACGTTACATCGTACGTGGTGCTCGTTGCGAGCTTGATCGAGAGCGAGAGAGACGTCAAGTTTCTGAGGCAGAGGGGAATTCTGACGAGTTATGACGACGATGACAATGGTGGCGAGAAGGAAGCCGGGATCAGGAAGCTGTTTGGGAAGTTGTGTGAAGAAGTGGAGCTGAACGAATCGTACTACGATGGCTTGTGCGAGAGGGTGAATGGGCACAGAGGCAAGAATTTGCGAGCTTTGAAGAAGAAGTTGAAGCGGCGGCGTAACAATGGTAGTCGTCCCACGTTGCGGTTGGTGATGCTTTTTACCGTATTGGTGCTTTTGATTGCTATTGTTGGAACTTTGTTTTCGGTGCTCACTTTTGTTCATCACCACATTTGAGAAGATAGCTCAATCTTGGCACAAAGTTTTTCATTCGATCTGTTTATTTTTTTTTTATTTCTGAGTGATATCAATGAGAAATCATAGTTAAATTTACAATTTTACCCAGGACCCCTAAGAGACTCTAAAGAAGCCACTCCAAGAAATCAAAAGATTCTAGCTCTACAAGAGACAAAAGCAGTGTTTTACGCGCCACTCTATGGGCTGTTTACTTTATAAAGCACAAATGAAACGGTATATTGGGGCGTTAATTGTTATCCTCATATGCACGAGTCTAGTGATCAACATATGATTGCATACATGAATGTTTGGTGGTTGATGCCTGCCTAGTGCATGATTGAAGTACAAAAAAAGGATCCCTACTCCAAAAAGTGTGGTATGAATTCTAGAAAGTTTTCTGACTCATAAGGGTCTGATTTTCAGTTGAGTTTGGTTTAAAATTAGTCGTCATTAATCGATGCTAGCTCTTGAACTAGGGTTGGAATTTCATTTGTGATTTTGTGGTTGAACCATCATTGTGTGAGAATAGTTTAGTTTATGGTTAATCGCACAACATTTACCAATGTGTTTAAACGGTGACATGGTATTGGTTATTTTGCAGCTTAATCATAAATCGCATTGACTAAGCGAAAATCATACTATTTCATATCTGCTTCCATCTTCATTCGCACTGACATCTGTGTTCCATCTCAATCTTCTTCATTTGTTGCTACATTGTCTACATTTCATCCTCACCTCCCTCTTCCGACTTCTGCTATTCCATAGTTCGAGGAAGACTGCACGATTCTTTGATTTATTTCGTGATCAATCATACAGATTTCAAATCTCAAACGATGCATTATCAATTGCATGTTCCACTATAAAACAATTGTGATTGACCGACCAATTCAATAAAATTAACCACAATCACATCAAATCTTAACCTATACTCCCAACTAATTTTATTTTAGTGAAAATATTAGTCTATACAATTTGAATGAAAACCCTCGAAAGGATGAACTCTCATATTAGTCCAACACTTCCTTTCAAGTTTGTCAAAGACCAAGCAAAGATCCGGTGAATCAATTTTTCAATGTCTTAACATTAAGGGATTCTTTACCACTATGTTTGGGAAGGGGTGCAAATGGAAGGGGGTGCAAGTTTGGAGGGGTAAACACAAGTTCCAAGGTGTTTACCCCCGTTTGGTTATTTTGTAACAGTAGGGGGGTGCAAAACGTGAGCGTAAATTCACTGTTTCGGCTTACCCCCCAAATTGGGGTGCAAGGAAAGGAAGGAAGGGAGGGGGAAGGAGGAGGAGGGGAATTATGAATTTTTAATTAGATTATAATTACATAATAATTAATATTATTAATTTTTTCTTATATCTATATTAGTGTAGAAGTTGTTTGGGGTTGACCGTTTGACTAAGAGAGCAAGTTTGTCAATGTTCGCCTCGTCAAATCGATATCTCTTAGTTGACCCGAATTTGCATTGAAAATTAGAGATAAGAAGCATTTGTTGAAAAGATAGAGAGGAACAGTTTAGTTAACTCGATTTACTTTAATAAGTAGTTAAAACTTACAGATTCGAACGTGTTTGACTAAGTTTGACCATATTCAATTTAAAGTTAGGCACGAGAACCCCCTTAGGATGACCAGTTACGAGTTGGATTTCGAGTTTCGAGGTTGCTCGACCAATGATTATTATTGTTGTTATAAATAATTATATTTGAGCATTATTATATAATAATTATTTTTATTAAAATTATTTTTTTTATTATTATATATTGAATTTTCATGTTATTATTTTGTGATAATATTTTATAAATTGATAAATCTATTTTATAATAATATAATTACTTACTTTTTACTCTATTTGCACCCCCCTACTTTTTCATCCAAACAACAATTTACCCCTCCACTTACACCCTCCACCAAGTTGCACCCCCAACAATTTACCCCTCAACTTGTACCCCCCTCGAACTTGCACCTCCCTTGTTGCCAAACATAGTGTACGTAATTGACCACTACACGACTGATTGCCATCAGATCAGACGGCTCCTGGACTCAAACTCCAATCCCACCGTCCACCTCTCTGCCTGTCCCCCACACCACACAAACTTCTACAACCTTCCCAAAAATTTTCCATGGAAAATATCGATGGAAAACAAACACTCGCATAAAGCAGAAACGACATTCTCCTCCAATTTATACAAAGTTGAGCCGACACAGAGCGAGAGAGTCACGGATCGAGGAGCGAAAGAAGAAGGGAAAGTGATGGCAGACAGTGGTAGAAGGATCGGCGTGGCGGTCGATTTCTCCCCGTGCAGCATCAAGGCTCTGAAATGGGCGATCGACAACCTCGTTCGCGACGGCGACCACCTCATCCTCGTCCACACCCGCCCCGCCGAAGACGCCGAATCCGGCGAGATGCTGCTCTGGGAAACCACTGGCTCCCGTAAGTTCAATTCCCCTTTCCCTGCTCCCTTCTAGGGAAGAAAAAAAAATCGCTGTCGTTTCGATTCAATTTCCACTTCATATCCTCTTTGTTCTTCTGCAGCTCTGATTCCGCTGGTCGAGGTCTCCGATCCGGCGACGATGAGCAAGTACGGGGTCAAGCCTGATCCGGAGACGCTCGACGTTCTCAATACTGCTGCCAGACAGAAGAAGGTAATTAGAACTTTCCCCCTTTTCGTTAAGGACAGATTTGATTCGGATTCGGGTCGGGTAGCGAGGTGATTCGTTGTGTGTTGGCAGATTATCGTGGTGATGAAGATCTACTGGGGAGATCCAAGAGAGAAGATCTGTGAAGCAATCGATCGCATCCCTCTCACTTCTCTGGTTATCGGCAACAGAGGCTTCGGCAAGCTCAAGAGGTAAAAGTAAAAACTGGGAAGACTGTTACAAGTTCCTCTGCCGACTCCCTTTTTTTTTTTAACGTTTTAACCGTTTTACCGCGTTTTTGTTTTGTTTTGTTTTGTTTCCAGGGTGATAATGGGAAGTGTGAGCAACTACGTGGTGGATAATGGGACTTGTCCTATTACGGTGGTGAAGGGTCCAGCTCATGAATGATGAATGAAGCTTTAGCTGACTTGCTTTTCAGTCTGTCCGTCGTTACTGTGACACTGTGGACTGTAGAGGCTTTCATTGTGTTGTGTGTGTATCCAAGTAAAAGTTAGGCTGGATGTTCTTAAGCTTCTAGCTAGTAATTAATAAGCCATCGAGTGTAATGTAAGTTTCTATTTGCATATTATAGATATAACCTCTATTATTTTTTAACTTGTACTTTGCAAACATGTCATTTTGTTGAGATTTCATTAAAAATTACTAAATTACACATTTGGTCATCCAAATTATATAAAATTTTCACGTTTGTCACCTACATGTCCTCTCCAATTGTCCGACTAAAAAAAGAACAACAACAACATAATCCATGACACCACCAATAATCATCAGCGATAACAATAATCAATAGCCAAACAATAATGATCATCAGCACTAGTGCACCACCATTATCCATCTTCGCCACAAATGATCATCGTCGCCAACAGTAATCTTCATCGCCACCAACTATCCAATCTGATTATCCAGTTCACCCAACAAATCCAAATCGGAACAACGACAAGATGGAACAGTTTCGCCTAACTGAAATGCTTGGGTCCGCCGACGAGGAGCCGTTCAGGCCTACAGTTCGAGCCACAATGGTCTTTTCTTCTACCTAGAACTCTGAAATCGACGATTGGACTTCGACTCAAAATCGAATTCAACTCCGTGCAGTAGTCAAGAACAACTCAGATAGGGACGGCTCTGCATTTTCAGACTGGTCCGCCGCCTTCAATTCCGTTGTACGATGACGTAAACCATGGCCTCGCCGCTTTCAATTACCCTCACCTAACTTAACGTTCCCCTTCCACTTGAAGCCGCCTCCAATCGAGAGAGGAATAAACCATAGCTCTTAGATCCGACCGATGATTCCAACGAGGGTCGGAGCCAGGTGGGAAAGAGGCTATTGGTGGGAAAAGGGGTCACAATAAGACAGAGGCGGAATCGAGGATGAACTCCTTGCTAAGGTAATTCGTTACTTGTGGTGTTTTTCGCCACCGTTCTCCTTCTGCAATTTTGGGGATTTATGTTTTGAAGTGATGGTTAGGAATAGGGAAAGGGAAAGGTTTTACTAGTAATGGAGGAGGTGTGGAAATCGACTGTGAGAGGAGAGGAGACGTCGGGTTCTATGGCGGCAAGGCAACGACGGCGGTGGAACAAGGGACGCGACTCTTAAATAGGAAATCTGGGTCGGGGACAGGAAGGAGGAAGATTCAACGGGGATGGGTTGGGTATTGGGATGACTAGGCGGTTAACTTGTGTGACTCAGTTTTTTGTCACTCCACTCAGCATTCTCAATTGCCACGTCATCAGATAACTGACAGCGTTAACGAAGTTTGACGGACACTGATGGTCGGTGACTAAGGGTGAAATGAATCGTAAAGTTAGTGGCTAATATGAAAGAAAAGTAATTTGAGTGGCAAACGTGAAAGAGTTATGTAATTTGAGTGATCAAATGTGTAATTTAGCCAAAAAAAATAATCATCAACTATGATTGAACCGAGATTTAAACGACCCGATGTCAGCAAATGCGAGGAAAATGTCAGTTTTATTCCCTAATTTATTTCTCTAGGTATCATTAAAGTGAAATTAATTGAGATATTTGGCTATACAAAAGAAAAAAAAATTCTAAAATGAAATTATTAGCGATATTTTAGATATTTGTGTTGCCTAAATAAATGTTCGATTGTAGTTGGCGGTTTTTGGATAATATTTTAATAGGACATGTTTGATAATTTTTTCAAAGTATAGGTGCATGTTTGATAAAACATCATAGTAGAGTGACATATTATTTAGCCATTAGACATATAACCCGTTCTATTTTTTTTTATAATTAACCCTTTCTATTTTTGTCCCAACTTAATCCAGTCATTTTGAAGCTTTCAATCAAGCGTTGTTAGCTAAGCAATGTTGGAGAATATGGACCAGTCAAATTCACTACTCTCCCAAATATATAAGGGTCGATACTTTCCCCAATGCTCGGTGTTGGAAGCATCAATTGGTTCAAACCCTTCGTGGGGGTGGAGAAGTCTACTCTTTGGAAGAGATATGCTCCTACAGGGACTAAGATGGAAATAGGCAATGGTCAAAGAACCCGGCAGTTCATTGACAACTGGGTTCTAAGGGATAAACCCTTAATCCCGAGTACTCGACCCCATATTCAAAATGGATCACCTATGGTATCTTATTTCATAAAAGAAGGTCGAGGGGAATGGGACGTTCCAAAACTCGAGAATTGCTTTGAACCTCAGTCTGTTGATCTCATAAGGAGAATTCCTCTTCCTCGATACTCACAGTAGGACATTAGAATGTGGCACTATTCCAAAGATGGAAGATACACAGTCAAATCGGGTTATCACTTAGCTCTGGAAATAACATTGGCACCAAGTCGAAAACTGATAGTGTATATCATCGATCCTCCTATTTGGAAAAAAGACTTGGAACATCCATGTTCCGCCTAAACTCAAGTTCTTCATATGGAAATACCTCAAAGTCATACTTCCAACAGTAGTGGCCCTTCAATCTTGTGGAGTAAACTACCTTAAACGATGCCCTGTCTGCTGGAGATATCGAGAAAGTATTGAACATTTATTCTTCAGATGCCCCCTAGCCATCAGATTGTGGACTTTATTGGGATTGAGCAACTTTATTGAGACCGCCCAGACTGTTAACTTTAGTCTATGGTGGCAACATGTCATGGTCTCCGAGACCTCCCCATTCCACATTCTCCAATGCGTTTGTTTACTTTGGAGAATCTGGAAGTCTAGAAATGAAGTGACCTTTGAATTTATCCAACCTCATGTCCGTTCCCTAGCCAGACAGTTCTACAACCAGGTCCTCGAATTCTCCAGTCTTCTTCCCCCCCCCCCCCTTCCTACCCGCAGCTCTCTTCTCCCAATCATTCATGCCACCACTTGGGTCCCTCCTCCAGAAGGTTTTTTGAAGATCAATGTCGACGCATCTGTCAGTGCCTCCGGGTGTTCGTCTGGGCTTGTTATCCGTGGGTCAGACGGGCATGTGTTGTTGGCGTTCGGGTTGCAGCATCAAGGAATAGTCAACCCTTATCTGGCTGAGCTGCTAGCTTTCAGGGATGCTATCTCCTTTGTGGCCTCAAAATCCTTGACCCATGTGATAGTCGAAGGTGATTCCGAAGTGGTCGTCAACCAAGTCAGTCAAGGCGTCTCAAAAGACTCGATTGGTGGTCCGGTGTTATGAGACTGTCTTCAGATCCTTAGCTCTTTGTCCGTTTGTATAGAGTTTAGGGCGGTACCTAGATCCGCCAATAGTGATGCCCATAGAGTGGCACGTAAAGCACTGCTTTTGTCTCTTGTAGAGCTAGAATCTTTTGATTTCTTGGGGGTGGCTTCTTTAGAGTCTTTTAGGGGTCATGGGTAGAATTGTAAGCTTAACTATTATTTCTCATTGATATCACTCAGAAATAAAAAAAAAATGCTTATCTGGGAAAGACTCAAGGTTAGTATTTTCCTATCCTAAAGAACCCATGCTTTGAATCTTAAGTGATGATTTGATCAGATACATTTTACGAAAAAATTTGCTTGGAATAGAATTGATTGTATCTTTGACTTCTAGTCAAATGATCATTAAATGCGACTTACACTTTTTTAACAAAGTTTAAACAAGAGAATTAAATATTTTTTTGACAATTCACGATATAAATCTACGTTAAATTATCTCTATTCTTACAGAGATCTAGAGAGAGATTCAGAAATACAACTATTACTAAATTTGAAGAGAAAAAGGTACAGATAAAGAAGACATTAGGTTGTCTAGTATATGAATTTCGTGAAGTCTCATTTTCACCTCCTATTTATGGTAACAATAAGTAATTGTCTTCAAAAATCGCTTTGTTTATGTGGAGTGACGGTTACTTGACACGATAAAACACAACACCAAACTGCGACCAAGTGTAATCGCAGTCCGGAAATGCAGTAAAGTGACAAGCTCTATTTGTCAACCCGGGGTCTAGATCTAATGCCTACTCCGCGATTATCTATTATCTAGCAAACTAAGTCGAGTGATTGTGATTTTAAGCAAAAGTAGTAAGAAAGCAGGAAATGGTTCAAAGTTCTTTAGCAAGGGAAGAGTCACTCGGGAATGAGTCCCCCTAGCTCCTTAGTTAGGTCAAGGTTGTAATTACCCTGGGTTGATTAACTGTTGATTAAACTGCGGAAGATCCGACAGTAGCTTGGAATCTCTTAAGCTGACCAAGCCCTCTCAGGCAGACTAAACGGCAGGAGACTAATCTTCATCGGGATTGACTACTGAGGCAATAAGCACAAAAATCCACTACTGGAATTGGTTTCCAGTACAAAGCAGTAAATCGATTAACTCTCGTATAACCAATCTACCACTACCGATTGATGAAGTTATAACAACCTAATCAGATTCTATCTATCTCAGGTTGCAGCAGAAATCAAGAAAAGATGATCAGACTTCAATTGACTCAATGAATTATGCATCAATAGATTAAAATCAATCAGTATATAAATCCCAAGTCATTACAATCAAGATTCCTAACACATGGAACTAGGGTTCTTCATACCCAAGTGAGAGAAGGTTCTACTCCATAGAGAGAGGAAAACAGTAATCAGAGTAGTCATACTCATAATGATGAGGATAATCTGCTTTGGGATGTCGATCTTCACTCATGGGGATGCAATCTGGGCTTCAATGGTGAAAAATCCACTCCAAATAGCTCCTAGGGTTTGTTCTTCGCACTTTCTCTCTCTAAACCTCTGTTTTTTGCTCAAAAACTCGATCCCCCTCCAAAAGATCCGAAAATGGGTTAGAACCCATAATTTCCCGACCACACGGCCGTGTAGAAATCCCAGCTGCTCGTGTAGAGGTGTAAAACGACGTGTTTCACTTAAGTGGTTTCATGCACGTCACACGGCCAGAACTTAACGGCCGTGTGAAATCTCGGCCTGCCCGTGTGACATCTCTGTGATTTCCACACAGCCTCAAGGGACCCGATACACGACCAATGTGTTTTGCCCGCGCAAATGAATTCCACACGGTCGTGTGGTTTTCTCGACTTCTCGCCAAACGTCCAATCTTCGTCTAATCGACCCCGAACTCGTTCCCAAATCTCCATTCACGTACTCGGACCTGAAATATCACCAACAAGAACAACCTTGAATGAAATCGGCCTAAGATACGAGAAATGAGGCTCAAACGGTATAAGAATGGTGGAAAAAAACATGTGTATATATCAAGTCATCAAATTCCCCCACACTTAACCATTTGCTTGTCCCCAAGCAAACCAAGTCAGATACAAGGTAAGCTCAAGACATTTCAATCATGCAAACTTTGGGGACATATCGTATAGGCACAAAACACGTGAATCATACTGGCTTTTGATCATTAACACATGGACAACTTTAACAGCAACCTGGACAACCACCATAGAGGACCTTCGAGTGCAACAAAATCGGGTAAAGGAAGAGTCTCCCTTCTGTTCACCAACCAACATAGACTCGACTCAACCACTTAGCCAAGACAGTCATCGCATGCATCAAACTCAAGACATCAGAATCAAGACCGAGCCATCTAGGTCCTCACCGGGGTAAAGAGCGTAAAGAACACGGAAATGAATCGCTCACTCTCGACAAGTGGGGTCAGGACAATTTGATGCGAAAAAATGCGCATGCTTATTCTCATATTCCCTAACGTCTCTTCACCATGACGGCAGTCTCTAAATGTTAGAGTTCACATATTGGGTGTCATCACTAACTTATCTGGAGGTCTTAGACACATATTCAAATGTCTGGCTAGGGTCTTGGACATGGGGGAAAAACCTTTTAGGTGGTGGAAGTATTCATAGCACAAGGTTCCACAGTTCCAAACCCAACACAATCACAACCAATCAAACCACTTACTTTCTTTGTCATATTGCATTACTCAAATTCCTTAGAGCACAAGAACGAAGGAGGTCACAATAATGTTAGTATTTCCAAGCCAGACTGCTAAGAAACCCTAATTAGTGAGCATGATTCAAATTTTTGGTAGTGACTCTCTTTTGCTTTCATTCATCTTTTTTTCTTCTTTTTTTTTTTCATTTCTTGAGTGAACCACCACCTCTGCACATTTTTCAAACAAATGCCCAACTTTTAAGCACTACCTCCAACCCTCACATTATTTTTAGCAGAAACAGTAGAGAACAAGCAAAAACCACTCTGTGGTACCTTCTAAGAGATGAAAAAGGGTGATTTTCTATTGAAGACCGAAAGAAAGGAAATTACACGGCTCAAAGGGGCTGACTAGGGGGTATGATACACCAGGACAGTCAATTTGGTCATGGGCTATTCATATGCCTCCATCATCTTAGCTAATGACAACGTGAATGCTACACATCATAGAAGAGGGATCTATCGCACAAGAAAGAAACGAGCATGCTCAAATCTCACATGGCTACCTATACGCTCTATCTCTCATTCTGATTCACTAAACTAGATGCATAAACGACTGTCAATAGCAAGTGATCAATCCAAGTCACAGTTGGTAAGCAAACAGTTGAAAAAATGAACCCCTACACAACTCTACTACACGTCTCAGTCATCATTATAGGTTGTCTCAGTCACAATCTAGTTGTCATGATCAATTCGAAAGCCATTCGATTCACCAATCAAACCCACAATGCCAATATGATCATGCAAACATCAATACTTGGAGCCCTCAAATCTCAAGATTTGGACAGCGGACTAGGCTCCAAGCACACAAACTCATCTAGCAGTCAACAATAGATAAACACCCCCCACACTTAAGCACGACATTGCCCTCAATGGAGCAGAGGGAAAGATAAGGGGAAATGATGTTACCGGGAATACGGACTGTCGGGGGACTGGAAATGGGACCAGTCAGCCAGGCTAGAGTCATCAAAACACACATTATCCATAGTTCCAAGTGGACAAACCGAAAACAAACAAAAGGAAAATAAACCTTGGTGGGGTTGCCTCCCCACAAGCGCTTCTTTACCGTCTTTTAGTTGGACGCCAGTAGGGTGTATGCTTAGAGATGTGTAGGAACAGGTGTCTTCAAGAGCGGATCCACATCGCTCTTGAGGTACAACTGCAGATGGTGGCCATGTACACGACAGGTGTGACCACCAGCACTCGTCAACTCGACCTGGCCATCCGGCAGGATGCAAGGGAGTGAATACTCGGATGGCCAAGGCGGTCGAGGCTCAGGAGTCGGGACCAGCTCATAGTGATCTCCCTCTTCCTTTTCAGCAGGCTTAGCTACATGCAGTTTCGGCCGCCACTCCTCCTGGATCTTTTCTTTTGGGAACGGGGTGGACGGGAGTAGCGGCAGAGGTATGGGAGGTGGATCCTGCAAAATGGGAGGCATTGAAGGATACATGACAGACTCGTGCTCTTGGTGAGAAACAACACGCAAAGGTGATGAAGCGGGGAGAGTATTAGCATGAAAAATATTATCTACTCCTCGCCATCTATCAAAACTAAGGTCCCATCGTGTACATCTATGAGAGCCTTGGCGGTGGCCAGAAAAGGTCTTACCAGTATAAGGGGCACTTCTGCGTCTTCATTGATGTCTAAGACAACAAAATCCACAGGATAAAAGAATCTGCCAACCTTAACCAGAAGGTCTTCTACTATGCCCCTAGGATGGACTATAGATCGGTCAGCAAATTGAATACTCATCCTCGTTGCATTGGGTTCACCTAGGCCTAGTTTCTTGAACAATTTATATGGTATCACATTAATACTAGCACCTAAATCCGCCAAGGACCTCTCTACATGAAATTTACCTATAGAGCACAGGATAGTAAAACTACATGGGTCCTTCTGCTTCTGCGGAAGCTTGTTCTGCAGAATGGTCGAGCACTCCTCACTGAGCTCCACAGTGGCCAGCTCGCTCAACCTCCGCTTCTTCGAGAGAAGCTCCTTTAGGAACTTCGCATACTTAGGCATCTGAGATAGTGCCTCTATGAAGGGCACTTGGACATTTAGCTTCCTGAGCATGGATAAGAAATTGCCGAACTCTGCCTCTAGCCCGTCTTTGTACATCCTGGTGGGAAAATGGAGCTTAGCCTTATATTCAGCCACTACTGGTTGTGGCTTTGGACCTTGAGCCTCTGGCTCCTTTTCCATCACCATGTCTTCTTCCGGCTCTGGGGTGATTTGGGTCACCTTCTTGGCACTCTTCTACGGTGCATCCGCAGTCCCAGTCCCACTTCTCAACATAATAGCGTGCAACCCCTCCTTATGATTTCTGGGATTTGGAAAGGGTTGGCCAGTAAGTGTGCCAGCCGGTCTAGAAGCAAGGGCATCTGCCAGTTGCCCGATCTTGGTGTCCATGGCATCAATTTTATGGTTCACGAGGCAGCCCGGGAAAACGAAATCTAGCTTTCTTGTATTAACGCAGGATGAGCAGGAGTTGTAGGACGCTTTCAAGGAGTCCGAGTGGATCTATCCTATAGTCATTAAGGGACTGATTAATAGCACATCCCTGAATCCACAATTTCGGTCAAGGTTGAGGAAATTTTGAAAGACTTTAAGGAACTTCTATCGTACGAGCTGCCTAGTGCGTTACCTCTCATGCGTGATATTCAACACCAGATCGATTTGATCCCGGGATCTAACTTACCAAATCTACCACACTATCGCATGAGCCCTAGAGAAAATGAAATATTGAGAGAGCAGATCGAGGACCTTCTAAAGAAGGGCTTCATTTGGGAGAGTATGAGCCCCTGTGCAGTACCAGTACTACTCGTTCCAAAGAAGGGCAATCAGTGGCGCATGTGTGTAGACATCAGGGCTATCAACAGGATCACCATCAAATATCGATTTCCCATTTTGCGTCCTGAAGATATGTTGGACGAATTGGCAGGTTTGAAGGTGTTCTCGAAGATTGATCTGAGAAGCGGGTACCATCAGATTCGCATCCGACTGGGCGATGAATGGAAGATGGCATTCAAGAGTAAAGATGAGCTCTACGAGTGGCTGGTCATGCCGTTCAAATTGTCCAATGCCCCAAGCACTTTTATGCGTCTGATGAACCAGGTTCTCCTCCCTTTCATTGGCTCTTTTGTTGTGGTATATTTTGACGATATATTAATTTACAGCAAGTCCAAGGAGGAATAGTTATCACACCTTTGTCGAGTGCTTCAAGCGTTACTGGAAATTGAGCTATATATCAACCTAAAGAAATGCACTTTCTGCACAAATAAGCTGCTATTTTTGGGTTTTATCGTGGGGGAAGAAGGAATACAGGTGGACGAGGAGAAGGTACGGGCTACTCGTGATTGGCCCATGCCTACCTTGGTGACGGAGGTCCGGAGTTTCCATGGCTTGTCTACCTTTTACCGCAGCCCGCAAGTTTGTTCGTGACTTCGGCTCCATCATAGCGACCATTACAGAGTGCTTGAAGAAAGGGAAGTTTAACTGGGGTCCATCACAGGAGCGCATTTTCGAGCTGATCAAGGAGAAGCTATGCACTGCATCCATCCTTGCCCTTCCTGATTTCGATAAGATTTTCCAGGTTGAGTGTGATGCTAGTGGAGTTGAGTAGACGTCGTTCTCTCTCAAGAGAAGAGATCTATCGCTTTCTTCAGCGAAAAGCTTAGTGATGCAAGGTAGAAGTGGAGTACATATGATCAAGAGTTGCTTTCACTCGATCGAAGGTAGATCCCAATGTTGTATTCCGAGCCCTCCGACAGTGGAAGCATTACTTGATTCAGCGCGAATTCGTTCTTTTTACTGACCACCTAGCGCTGAAATTTCTCCATAGCCAGAAGATCATCAACAAGATGAATGCTCGATGGGTTAGCTATTTGCAGAAGTTTCCCTTCATTATTCAACACAAGTCCGGCAACCAGAACAAAGTGGCGGACGCGCTAAGTAAGAGAGCTTCCCTGTTGGTTACTTTGTCCAAAGAGATCGTGGGGTTTGAGTTCCTCAAAGATTTTTATGCCACTGATCTCGAGTTCAAAGAGCTTTGGGTAACATGTTCGCAGCAACACCCACATGCCGATTATCATGTCCGTGAAGGACACCTCTTTAAGGGGGATCATCTTTGTGTTCCCATTTCGTCCTTGCGTGAGAAGCTTATTCGGGATTTACATGGCGGGGGGTCTCGCAGGCCATTTGGGACGAGACAAGATCATTGCAAGCTTGGAGGAACAGTTATTTTGGCCCCATCTTCGTCGCGACGTTGACACCATTGTTAAGCGCTACTACGTGTGTCAGCTTTCCAAGGGGCAATCACAAAACACTGGACTTTACTTGCCGCTTCCAATACCTGATGACATTTGGTTGGATCTCTCCATGGACTTCGTTCTGGGTTTGCCCCGTACTCAACGCGGTGTGGATTCAGTTTTTGTGGTGGTCGATCGGGTTTCTAAAATGACTCACTTCATCGCCTATAAGAAGACCGCCGACACGTCCAACATTGCTAAATTGTTTTTCAAAGAGGTTGTGCGCCTACATGGGGTTCCGAAATCCATCACATCTGACCGCGACACCAAGTTTCTCAGCCATTTTTGGCTTACTCTCTGGCGGATTTTTGGGACGTACCTTGAATCGGAGCTCCAGGGCTCACCCGCAAACTGATGGGCAAACTGAGGTCACTAAACGAACTCTAGGCAACATGATTCGTAGTGTGTGTGGTGATAAGCCGAAATACTGGGATTTCGCACTTCCCCAGGTTGAGTTTGCGTATAAAAATGTTGTACATTCGGCCACTGGTCGATCACCTTTCTCCTTTGTTTATACTTCCCCTCCACGACATGTTGTTGATCTAGTCACACTTCCTAAAGCCCCAGGTGTGAGCCAGGCCGCCGAGAGCATGGCGCGTGATGTGCAAGCTGTCAAGGATGTTGTCAAGTCCAGGCTCGAAGCCACCGGACAGAAAAACAAGGCTGTTACCGACGCACATCGCCGAGTGAAGGTTTTCAATGTTGGTAATTCAGTCATGGTGTTCCGTCGGAAGGAGAGGTTTCCTGTTGGCACCTATTCGAAGCTGCAGCCCCACAAGTATGGTCCTTATACGGTGGTTAAGAAGATTAATGAAAATGCTTACGTAATAAACCTGCCGATCTCTATGAATATCTCCAACACCTTTAATGTGGCCGAGTTCTCAAAAATATCTACGAGTTTCATGAAGATGCTGCCATTTATCCTGATATGAATTCAGGGTCGAGTTCTCAACAGGTGGAGGAGACTGATGCAGGGCTGTTGGAGAACAAGCTTAAGGAAGATGTTGGAGTCGAGGAAGAGCTGGCGAGAGACGCGTAAGGCAGCATGTCGTGCATGTACATGTTTTTGTTGTTATTTTTGTTCATTGTTTTAGTTCTTTTAATTTGTTCTAAACAGTAGCGGATATGGTATTTGGGCTGTAGTAGCATTTAAGCCCTAGTTTTACTTGTGAAAGACAACTTTTGCTTTAATTATCAAAACCCTAGCGGTTGCTTCCCTTTGGTGGAGTTTCGGAAAACCTATTCAAGTTTGCGCTGGCAAGCTTTGTTCAAGCAGGCTCGGCGTTTGCAAGCCTTTATGTTTGCCCGGCTGCGTCAGAGAATCTCCAAGAAGACACAACAAGTCAAACCCCCACATGGATTTTGTAAGCGTGAGATTATGGACAAGGGTGGATTGAGGGCCAAGTCCATGTCAATGAATAGTAAGTACTCGTCACCTACCACAGAGAGTGGACATGGGTATAAGAAGTCACCATACACAATAGCCAAACATGGTTGCACAAAGAATCAATGGTGGTTGAGTGCTAAGTGTAGGGGCCAACAAGGTTTATATGTTGAAAGTAGGGATGGCAATTACCCGCCCATGGGTAATTATACCCAAACCCAAGTAGACCCATTGATAATGGGTTGAGTATGGGTGAAGTGCATATGGGTTTGGGGGGTTTGTAGATGGGTTTGGGTAAGGTATGAATATTATTTCCATAATCTAAATGGATATGGGTTGGATATGGATATCCATTTACTTGAGGGTGTTTTACTACACATGCAAAAATTGGACCTATTTGTAAAACTTGAAAATTTAGGTACCAAAATGTAATACCAAAAAAATTTAGGTACCAAAACGTAATTTTCAATCGATATTTTGAGGACTTATATGGAAAAAATTTAGGTACTAACTATGCATATTTATCAAGTTTAGGTACCAAATTGTAATTTGTATTTGGCCATGGGTACAAACCCAAATCCATCTGTTATAAACCCAATCTAACCCAAAGTAAATGGGTATGGATACAAACCCATCAAACTCTACCCATATCCATGTATTTGGATTTCATACCCAACCCAATCGGCTTGGATAGTAAAAAACCCATGGGTATGGGCAAAATTGCCATCCCTAGTTGAAAGACGAAGTCACAAAAGCTACACGAGTGGTTGTCGACTTGTCAAGCCTAGACCTAGTCCCCAAAATCGTGAGGAGATTAAGCATGTATCAAGTGGTAGGAAAGCAAGGCAGAGGAACAATCATGATATCCTTGACATGCCAAGTAAGGTGGCCCAAGCAAAGAAGCATGAGACCTCATGCAAGGCAACCAAGACTAGACAGGCTGACCATGTACCACCCATTAGTAAGATAGAAAATTCGAAGTTAATGTATGAAGATTCATCTCCCATAGAGGAAAAGAGTCATGTGGTCTATGGATGCCATGTCTGGTTTGATCCATGGACTTGGCAATGGGTGTACACCTTTGGTACATTGATTGTTGCCAAATGCTATGGAGAGCAGTGACATTTGTCACTTCTTGCCATGTAAAATAAACATATTTATATAATATCCTTATAATATGTTATTTATATAAAAACAATTTGTAGCCAAACATGGCTAAAAAAAAGATAGAGAAAATATCAAAGTGAACTTCTTGATTCAGAGTTGTTATACTTCGATATGAAGATCTTGCCACAAAGTCATTGTGATGGCTTGACATGTCGTATCATACATTAGGCCATGCCATGTTGTCTTGTCCCGAGTAGCCACGACCTGGGGGGCACGATGGTTTGAAACGTGGTAGTAAAGGAGTGGTGGCTATAATATCTCTAACAAGATAAAAAGGAACATTATTTTTCTAAGGCAAAAAGTAGATGGCTTGAGTTGCCGTGAGAAAGCTGTTTGGCCTTGTGACGAGGTGAAGATGAGTCGCTCCGTGTTGAAATTTATGCGAAAAAAATTCTAACTTACTTGCTCAACCATGTGGCCAAGTACTGGGACAAGTCTTTGACGTCAAGTTCGATCCAGCCATGTTGGCTTGATCACTTGAAAGACAAAATTTGGCTAAGGCATGGAACAAGTCTTGACTTCGAGTTCCATCCAATCATATTTTGGCTTGATCACGTGAAAGCCAAAATTTGACTAAGACATGGAACAAGTTTTGACGACGAGTTCCATCCGGACGTGTTGGCTTGACGTGATAGCCATGACTTGACGTAGTAGCCAAATTTTGGCTAAGGCATGGAGCAAGCTTTGACGTCTAGTTCCATCCCGCCATGTTCGCTTGACGTGATAGCCAAAATTTGGTTAAGGCATGGGCTAAATTTTGACGACGAGTTCCATCAGGACGTGTTGGCTTGTAGGGGTGTTCAAACGGATTGGTTACCGTGGTAACCATATTAACGAGTAGTATTCGGTTAATTTGGTTTGGTTAATTTGGATAATTGGTTTGGTTTGGTTAAACAATTTAGCTTATTTGGTTTATGTGGTTTGGTTTGGTTTCAACACTACTAACAGTGAAACCAATTAACCAATTAATGATACACCTAATATACAAAATTATTTATACTTTCATGCAACCAACCAAACCAAACTTTCGTGATTCCCTATTTTATTTCCATGTGCAAAACAAACCAAAGCATTATGGGTCAAAAATTAAATGGGTCTGCCACTTTACTAAATCAAAACATTTTGGACAACTACTAGACTTTAGGATTACGTACAATATCATGACAGTCACCTCAAACTCTATATAGTTTAAGTGTTTTGTAGAAGAGCTTTAACTTCCGGATGAGTGGTATTGGTATGTATTTAATATTTATGTTAAGGGATTGTTGTAAGCTAACTATATTAGGTGCAGAGATGATGAATGATGATAATAATTATGGGTGGTTAGTCTTATTATTATTGCTCATATATAATGATAGTTTATGATAGTAATAACATATGGTTATGTTTTATTCGTTAACATGATAATTGTTTTCATGTAATGTTATGTTATTTGGTTAATCCAATTATCCGATTAACCAAACCAATTACACTTTGGTTTGGTTAATTTGGTTTTTGTGTTAATTTGGACGGTTTGGTTAAGACATTTTATTCCATGGTTAATGAAATTTAAGCTTAATTGGTTTGGTTATTACCACGGTAACCATTTGAACACCCCTATTGGCTTGGTCATTGAAAGCCAAAATTTTGGCTAAGTAAAATTGGTGTGTTGATAAGCCAACACGTTACTTGGCTAGCATGGTAGTCTACAACTACTTAGTCCATAATTCCTATGCATTAAGTAGTTGGGGGCATTTGTTTACATCCAAAAAAATAATCTTGTACCACATTAATTATTTACAAGGCATTAGCTGTCTTTATAAGGCCAGATCATTAATGACAATTAATGTTATTTGAACTGGGCCTCATGATACTAGTTTTTAAGCTCAAATCACTAAGTCTCCAAGAAGGAGCTAGTTTCGTCGCGAGTTGGGTAGCTCGACGTGGTCGCGAGATCTAGACCGCGTTGGCGTCAAATTTAGAGCCCGACGTGGTTGCGAGATCTAGACCGCGTTGGCGTCAAGTTTAGAGCCCGACGTGGTCGCGAGATCTAGACCGCGTTGACGTCAAGTTTAGAGCCCGACGTGGTCGCGAGATCTAGACCGCGTTGGCGTCAAGTTTAGAGCTCGACGTGGTCGCGAGATCTAGACCACGTTGGCGTCAAATTTAGAGGCGGACGTGGTCGCAATATCTAGACCACGTTGGCGTCAAGTCTAGAGCCCTACGTGGTCGCGAGATCCATACCACGTTGGCGTCAAATTTAGAGCTCGACGTGGTCGCGAGATCTATACAACATCGCGAGATCTATCTAACAAGTTGGAAGTAAGAAAGCAAGCTATGTGGGAGAGGCAAGTAACAAGACGACAGTTCCAAGATAAAGAGTAGGCGGTTAACAGAGCAACTGCCAATTATCCCACGTGCAAGGACACGTCAGCCACGTTCGAGGAAGAAGGGGAGTAGTTCTTTTTAGAAGTTACTCTCAGACGGTTTTTCTACGACGGTTACCACTTCAAGGCTATAAAATAGGAGGAGGAGTTGACAGACAAAGGGTTCGCAAAAATCACCACTCGACACCACTTGTCAAGTTTTATCAATTTTATCTTTCCTCAACAATTTTTATCAGTAGTCGTAGATCTGGAGCTCTCACAGAACCTCCATAGGAGTAGGGTAACTTAATGTAGAGATCTGTCTCGAAAATCGTGTAAACATCGAACACCCTCGTTCGAACTGTGTTTGGAGAGGTGTGAACCGTGTTTAGTGATCGTTGTCCAAAAAAGTAAAGGTACATTCAATTCGTTTCAACGCAAATTTTCTCGCCGGAAAACACAAACAAAAACTAACTAGCTCTTTTAAGTGTTGTCGATAGTTTGGGGAGGAAAAGATAAATTTTTTTTTTAGACAGAAGATAATTAAATATTCTCTTTCTTTCTTCACACGGCCAAAAAGTACTTAGGAAATGTCATTTAATTTTTTTTTTTTGCAGACGTGTAAGCAATTTGGCGGGTGGGATTAACCTATTAGCTAATAATGTGACTTCCCTTTTCTTACTCTGCGGCAGCGGCAAGCTGATCATGTTTGGCTAGGACTGCTAGTCTCGTTCTTGTGCGACTGTATCACCAAATTCTTTTATATCAATTTTTTTTTAATCTCTTATTCTTATACCACATATACTCCCACCCACTTAATTGAGATTGCATGGTAATACAGTAATACTAAGAAAGGGCTAGTAGCATGATCAATTTGACTCAGGGAGAAAATGATTAAATTTGATTTTGAAAGTGAGCACGTCTAATTGAAAATAGTTAATTGAGAGGTGTTGTGTTCAAATCTTTGTGACCTCATTTGTTAAGCACAATGTATTCAGATTTGAGAAAACTTCAATTCCATATAAATTGATTTTTTTATGAAGGGGTGTGTTAGTAAATGATATTAAATATATTATTGAACTTCGCCAACAACCCGAATTATTGATACTAAACAGTAAAACAGTTCTTGACAAAGAACATCATTCAAAAGTTAAAGACTAATTAAATTATGATTAGTTTTGTACATAGAAAATTATATTAGTTTCGACTATTAATGTCTTTTAATTTACAAAAAGTTTCAAATATAAGATTATTTCATGAATAATAAAATAAATTATTTTATCATGTGTATTATTTTCTAAGTGGACCCATCTTAAATGACAGCCTTTAACCAAAAAATGTCAAACAAAAAGAAAAAAAAGGTGATCAGAATTGAAATCAACAACTAAAAAAACCCCACATGCAAAACTCTTAAATAATTACTTACCATCGCCCGGTGGGTGTTCGTAGATCACCGCCACCGTAGGCTCGTAGCCATTTCCATCCAGAAGGACATAAATTGCAGCGAGATTTGCAAGCGCAAAATCAGATCCAACGAAAGCACTATATCTCTTGCCATGGAAGGAGGCAGCGCAGGAGAGAAAAACGACAGAAGGGATGGAATCTCCGTAGGCCGCTTCTTCTTCTTCTCTTTGATTTCTTTGATGTGATCAGTCATCAGAGGTGCCGTGGCGGCGAGATTTCCAAGAGCAGCATCAGATCCAGCAAAAGGGCTATTTCTGTTGAGTTATAGAGCCCAACCGCAGTGGGCCAATTGTACGTAATATTATGGATTATAGGTATAATTTGCTCCTTTATTATGATGTTTTATAAGACATGTCCTTCTATTATTTTTTTACATCAAACATGCCCTTGTACTTTGAAAAAATTATCAAACATGCCCTTCTGTTAAACTTTCCATTGAAAAATCGTCAATCATGGTTGAACCGAGATTTAGACGACCCGACATCTGTAAATTGGAGCGAAAATGTCAGTTTTGTCTCCCGTTTTATTTCTTTGGGTCTCTTCACAGTGAAATTATTTGAATTATTTGGCTATACAAAAGAACCAAAAGAATTCTAAAGTGAAATTATTAGGGGTATTTTAGACATTTGTGTCACCCAAACCAAAGTTCGGCCTTTGTTAACGGGTTTTGGATGGAAATTTTAACAGAAGGGCATGTTTGATAATTTTTTTAAAGTACAGAGGCATGTTTGATGTAAAAAATAGTTGAGGGGCATGTTTGATAAATCGTCATAGTAGAGGGGGCATATTTTACCTATAACCCTATTATTATTATCCACGTATGTATAGGAGTAGGGTTATTGAACTAGGGTTTTCGGGTATGAGAACCTATATATGTATGTAAATTGTACCTGCCGATCAAGTTAATACGAGAGAACTACCTGCTTCGGCCGTGGACTAATCTCGTTCATCCTGAACGAGGAAACCACGTAAACCCCTGTGTCGTCTCTGTTTCCGATTCTGTTTCGTGAATTTACATGGTATCAGAGACTCCGATGGATTCCGATCATATCTCCGTTAAGCTTACCTCAAAGAACTACGCTCTTTGGGAATTTCAGTTCAAGATTTATATTGAAGGAAAGGGACTGTTGGGGCATATGGATGGCACCGATCTGAAGCCCGACGCGGCCACCGCGTCTGCCGAATCTTTTCGCAAGTGGAGTCTTGATGATGCAAAGGTCAAGACCGCCATCCTCAACTCTGTTGATCTGGCGATTGTCCTGGGACTTCGCCTTCTTCCCACCGCTGCTTCCATGTGGAAGCATCTTGTAGAGACCTACCCACAATCACAGTTGCTCATCAATATGAGATCGAGGTTGAGTTGGCCCAGCTTCATCAAGGCGATCGCGATATCGCCACATACTTCAACGCGGCACACCAGCTATGGACAGAACAAGATTTGGTTGTTGGGTCCTTGATGAATGCGACGCCCTCGACGAAGATGCAGACTGAATGAGAACGAACAAGGCTGTATCAATTCTTGATGCGTTTGCATCCCGCCTTTGAGCCTGTTCGTGCGACTCTCCTGAACCGCGAGACCTTGAAGACGACGGAAGTTCTCAGCTACCTAATCTGCGAGGAGACCCGGTTGAGAATGCAGGCTGCATTGGACAGCCGCCCGGGACAAGGCGATGATGTGTTCTCCGCTAGTGGTGTGTTGCGCGCTGCTCTCGGCGCTGCTCCGGCCAAGGATGCTACCGTGGCGGACGAAGTAGCGGAAGACCAGGCTATGGCCTTTGCTGCTGGTCGCGGCCAATTTCAGCGGCGCCTCTCATCAAGTGAGGTAGAATGTCATTTTTTCGTTCCAAAGGTCATACTAAAAGTATTGCAGGACTCGCAATTTCTATGTATATTGCAAGAAGTCTGGGCATATCATTCTCGACTGCCCAGTTCTCCAAGGCCGAATTCGAGAAGGCAGCTTGACTGGTGGTGCTTCTCAACGTCACCCTTGTCCAGCTTATGCTGCCGCGTCTGTCACTACTGCAGTTGCGCCTGCGGATGGTCCCACTCTCTTGGCCGAGAATCTAGACAAATTGATGAGCAAGGCCATTTCCTCTGCATTTGCTTCCCTGCAAGTATCCGGTAAAATTCCTCCTTGGATCTTGGATTTGGCATGCTTTTATCATATGACGAGTAAAGGATCGATGCTTAACAATATTCGTTATGTTAATGGTTTGTCGTTACAAGTTGCTAATGGTGCTCGTATGGATGTTCATTGGATGGGTACTGTTGAGGGCTCTAAGTTACATCTTCCTGACACGTTACATGTACCTAATCTTGTTCCGAATTGGGTTTCTGTTGGTTAACTTACTGATCAAGGTTGTCGTGTTGTATTTTCTCCTTCCGGCTGTTCTGTTCAGGATTTGACGACGGGGAGGGAGATCGGTCAAGGGCGTAAATGTGGTCGCATATTTTACCTGGACGCTTTGGAGAGCACGTCTGCGCCATCATCTTCTTCTTCTGGGTCATCGTCTTCTGATCAGTGGCGGATTCTGAAATTTTTTGTAGGGGTGTCCTCTTTCAAAAATTAATAATTAAATTAAATAATATATAAATAATAAAATATCCAATTAGTATAAATGTTCAAAAAAGCCACGATGTGTTTTCAATTTCGAAAAAATATAAGATAGATTTGGTGTGTACACTGCTCAACAAATTGGTATATCCTACTAGACCGCATATTCAATTTCTACCTTGTTCATGATGTAATTCAAAGTTGAAAAGACTGTTTCAACACTTGCAGTGTAACCATAAAATCAATTCAAATTAGGGTACCCCTGAGGATAAGAAATCGTGTTTTCAACATTACATAGTGTTTAAAATAGAACAACAAATGAGTTATAACCTAATGGAGAAGATGTTAAATAATAGGATTGTCCTAGATTTGAATAACACAGAGTACCACTTATATTTTTTTAATCACGCAAACTACTATCGAGGATAAGATAATCATTTATTAAAATTTTAGGGGTGTACCAGATTACTAATTATATTTTGTTTATCCATATGAAACTACTACCGGGGGTTGAATAATCGTGTTCCCAAAATTTAAGGTGTCCCGGGACACCCCTAAATCACCATGTATCCGCCAATGCTTCTGATTCTCGGTTTTCTTCGGTGTCTAGGGTTAATTCCCCTTCTGTGTCCAAGAGTCTAGTCTTTGCCTGTTTTTCCGAGTACTGCCGAACAAAAATTTCATTTATGGCATGCACGTTTGGGCCATCTTCATTGTGGTCGGCTTGTGACTATGTTTAAACAACGATTGTTCGGTCCTAACGCGTTCCCTACTAGTAACCTACCATTACCTCCGGAAAACAACAATATACACTTATCTCGGGCTTTAGTTGATGTAGGGTAAGGGTAACCACACGTTTGTTCCCCTGTCCTTGTCCTTAAACAACAGAAATACCTAGCCCTTGCACTTCCAATATTGCAATTGATGAATTTTGATTTTATAAGTGACTTTGGACAACGTAATCCCAACTCGCCAACATTTTACATTTGTGCGGGAAAGGAGTCGAAAGGCAGGGAGGGAGGGAGCGCGCCTTTAGACGGGGACGGGGAAAGGGGGAAAATGGAGCAGATAAGAAAGAGGCGTTGGAGCAGCAGGCTGGGCTTCCTTTCCAAAACACAGCATTCCAAACATGGCAAAACTCCATCGACATCCCTCCTGACCCTTCTCTCCAAGTTTCCGCTCTCAGAATTCCTCGCACCATTCCCCCGAAATCCAGCAAACGGAGCCGGCGAACAACAACATCTTTTCTCGCTCGCCTTCGCTCTCGTCACTCTCACAAGGTTCTCATGCCCACTCTCGTTTTTTTGTTTGTTTTGGGGTCACACAGCGTCTGTTCTAGGGTTTCTGGCGATCTCCGTATTCATGGCGATTTTGAGTCCGGAGACCTGGTCGATGACGTACATTTTCCCGCTGCTGAATCTGTCGTTCTGCGTCCTTATTTTTGGTCCCCGTTTGCGTGGTTTCTGCATATACTTGGTCAGAATTAGTTCCTCCCGCCATGGAATTTAGGTTTTCTGCTTCATTGTTTTGATTTATGGAGTTTTAGTTGTGTCTATTCATTCACTTTGTGGTAGTGATTCGTCAGCTCTTTTACTGGTTAATGTTGGAGCTCGGTCTTATTGTGCTTCATTCGTGCTTGAAAGGGCAGGATTCCAGGTTTTAACGGGAATTGGATGAAATGGGGAGCCCTCCAGGGAATGGGATCGCCATTGCTGACCTTGGCTTCATAGCCAGGAAGAAGAGGAGTTGTGGAACTCGCCGGCCTTATTCTGAGCCACAGAGAGTCCTAGGTACGTACGGATTCTTTCCACAGTCCACTTCTGCTCAGTCTTCAGGTGCTGGATATGGGGAGGAGAGTTTACGTTTGAGCCAACACACGGCTGGTGAGAAGAATGGTTTGAAGAAGTTGAAGCTGAAAGTTGGTGGTGTTACTAGGACCATACACACTAAAGCTGCAGCTGAATATGGGAATGGTGGTGCCAGCGCGTCTTATGCCTCTAAGCATACCGAAAAACAGCATTTTCAGGTAAGCGAAATGGAATTAATGAACAAGCATTTTGTGATGATGATGACAACGACAATGATCCTTAATGCGGTTTGAATTTGGCTGTTTTGTTGGATGTGTTCAGAACTCTAATTTTGGAAAGGAGAAAGTTTTAAAAGGAAAGATATCCAATGAGAATGAGTGTGAACCGACTCGTAAGAGTAAACGAGTTCCTAAGAGACGTAAGCTGGATCTCGGATTTGATGAAGATGATGATTATATGGACGAGGAGATTCGTTACCTCGGAAGGATCAATGCTACCAGGGTTTCTGCAGATTGTGAAGACTACGAGGGTTGTGGAACAGAAGCAGGAATTATGGAAGTTACAGACATTGGGAGAGTGAAGAGGTCTGAAAAGCCTGTTGAAGATGATGTCTATATGGTAGAAGGAAAGAAAGAACTGGCATCGGATGATGAGCCTGAATGTAAGATCAAGAAGTCGGGTTTTGCAGAAGGAAAGAATGACAGAGATCGTGTGGTGAAACAAGATGTTTCATTGAGATCTGGTTCGGCTTTGGTTGAATTCCCAGATGGTTTGCCAGATGCTCCGAAAAGTGAGTTGCGTCTGTCTTTACTTTCCTATGAGAAGGAAACTTATTTTCTGGTTATTCTGAATTTTACTTTCTGATGGCCAGAATCAAAGGCCAATTTCCCTTGTGTGGATAAGCAGTTGAAGAAAGCTGAGGCTGCCCAGAAGCGTAAATTGCACGCAGAGAAGCTTGCCAAGGAGGCTGAGGTTTGCCTCTTCTAGCTGCATGGATCCTGATTACTAGTGAAAATAGCATGCTAACTGTCTTATGTTTGCATAGGCTGAGGCTATCAGGAAGATTTTGGGCCAGGATTCTTCAAGGAAGAAGAAGGAAGAAAAGATGAAGAAACAGAGGGATGAAGTAGCTCAGGTGCTTCATAAATCCACGACCAGCACTTGGTTTTGTTATACTTTTCGCTATTAATCTTACCAAGTTGCTTGACTTTTCAGGTAAAGGCTAGTAAGGGAGATGAACTTGGTGCAAATACAATTAGATGGGTCATTGGTCCATCAGGCACTACTGTCACTTTCTCTAATGACGTGGGTTTGCCTCGGATACTTAGTTCAACTCCTTGCAGGTACTGAAGAAAGGCTTTTTATTCTTTATTTATGTCATTTGGCTGCTGTGCATCATGTTTGAATACCGATTTGTGTTCTTCAATCGCGCAGCTACCCTCCACCAAGGGAGAAATGTGCAGGCCCGAATTGCACAAATGCTTATAAGTATCGAGATTCCAAGTTGAAGCTCCCCTTGTGCAGTCTTCATTGTTACAAGGCAATACAAGAGAAGGTGCAGCCTTTAATAACTTGTTGATACAGCTATTATCTTTTCTCAACAAGTCAGCTTATGTTTAGTTGGGTCATAGGGATGGTTAGGACCAGGAGGTTGAATGTAAAATTAGTTAACCAGGTATAGAGCTGCCTTGAATGACTGGTATCAAGGAAGGAATCGCTAAGGGGAAGTGGAACTGGCACTCTGGCAGTCTAACAAAAGGAAGAAATTATTGGCATTAGTTCGTATGATCTGTTCCTGATTAAGTAGGTCAATTTTTTGATGGCTATGATTATCTGCCAAGACTTTGTACTTAAACTATGTAAACCTGCCTTGACTGGCTGGTATCTGATTGAGGTAACTAAATTTCCCTCCATGCTTTTGACAAAGTTTATATAGAGACATTGGGACTCCTTGTGTTGTCTGGATTTGCAGGTTTTTGCTGCATTTTACTTTAGGCCTGCTCATTTGTAATTGTAACATCTCTTTTTCATACACAAAAAATTCCAATTAATTAGAGAATCTATATCTATCTATATATATTTATTTATTTATACTATATATTATGGCAATTCAAAATTAACTTCTTGTCACATAAGCACTTGGAGAATTCACAAGTTGTCAAGGTGGACAACTTTTTTGCAAACACAAATTCATTATTGATCTATTTATGAAGCTATCTCTCTCTTCTTTTAATATTTCTACTCATCTTTACTAAAATTTATAATAAATTACATTTTTATGAGAATGTAAACAAACACACAAAAGTATAATATTTTTGTCAATTAAAAAAATTATAAAGATGGAAATAAAGAGTGACTATATCGAATTTGTTTAACTAAAAAGTATATGATTAAATCTTATCAAGTAAATTTTCTACTTATTTTCACCAAAATTTAATAATAAGTTACATTTTGACAAAAATTAAAAAAAGTGCACGTATATAATAATATTTGTATGAATTAAACAAATTATTACAATAGAAACATTGAAAACAAATGATTAAAAAGTACACATATATAATAATATTTGTACCAATTAAACAAAATATTACAATAGAAACATTGAAAACAAATGATAAAAAAAGTACACACGTATAATAATATTTTTATCAATCAACTTTGAAAACGAAATATATGAATTTAGATTTTTTGTATTAACAACTCTCTTATTTCTAATGTATTTTTTTCGTCGAATTATTTCTAATATATATTTCTATCAAATAAAACAAGTATTATATAGCAAAAGGTCTGAAGTGAAAACATATATTCATGTTTTACTTTCTCAAATTAAGAGGAATCAGGTGTGCAATACTTTATAATTTGTCCTAGGGTTCATATTAAAATATTCACTCTAGATCATATTAATTGAACAATCTCTATTTAGGTCATAAGTCGAATGCTAAGTAATTTCTTTTCAAATTTGGAGTTATTGTCGAACATTATTACATCAAAGTTTTCAAAATGACTTAAGTATGATTTTTATGAGTTTTGACTTCATACCTCGGATGAGACACAACATCACTTAAATAACAACATGTGTGAAGATTAAGAAAATCTTCGTTGAGGATATACAATAAACTTCACGTTTCATCAATCACTAACCTTAGCATTGATCAAATAAGGGTTGAAAAATTTTATTTAATAGTTGATGTCTTGGTAGACAAATCTAAATTCGAGGATTGAGGCAATAAATAAACATAAGTGTGTTAGTTGAGATATCTAAACAAAAAACTTTTGTAGCTACAAGAATCTAAATTGAGGTATTGTGTTAAAATAAAGAATATTTAATAATGATGAGTTTAGTAAGGCAATTGTAATTAAACATTCAGGTCGTTTGCTTCGTGGATTTGAAAACTGAAGGTTTTAATAAAATTTGGATTTTGTAAAAGCATGGATATATGAGGGTTTTTGGTTCATTATGGATTTGAAAATACCATATTTCATTTCATAGATTTCATGATGCATTTGATTAATTGAATTTGTATGTTGGAAGTGAAAATGACATATATATTTCGTTTCATAGATTTCTTGATGCATTTGGTTAATTGGTTAATTGGTATGGTTGTGAGTCTGTGACTCCATACCAAATTTTGGCAATAACAAAAACTTTTTCAATATCGAAGTCTCAAAATGGAAATCTTTTGGTTTGTAACAGTAAACAATTTGTATTTAAATCGAGTTATCCTAGCCACAAAATTTCGTTTCCATATTTCAGTCGATGAGCCGAGTTCAAAGGTATTAATTAGGGTTAAAAATTAAAATAAAATCGTTATACATATTCTTTGATATTGATAGATATGCCTACAATACATTCAAGAATTCAAGTGTATGTAAAATTTCACAATATTTCTACGAGTTATTACATTTTATAAAAAAAAATTCCAAGAAATCAAAAATAATCATTACTTAATATTGTAGGAATCTAAAATTAATTTAATGCAACATCAGTACATGGTTAGCTCTCACCCTTTCACGCTGGACAATGTCTAATTGGTGTGCTTTTTTGTTTACTCTTTAAATTGTCATCATTATCAATAAAAAGTAAATTAAGTTAATAAAAATGAATGCAACATTTTGGTGTGTTCCTATTCCTTTTCCCATACAATATTGAAAATAAAACACAACATTGATAATGAAGAAACTAGATTAAGCCCCACAATAACAAATAAAGCTCTCTTCTTATTTGCTTAAATTTTGAGTTTCTAGAATTTTTCTTCTCTACTTTTTTGTATATAGATATAGTAAAGAACATGGTAAGGCATATTGAGTTTTTTCCCTCTCTTTGTAGGAGAATAGGAGACGGGAGTTACATGATGCAATGATTTGTTGGAAAAGAATTGAACAACTTTAACATATTTTTGTCTATTGACGAAGAAAAGTCCAACCTATCATTTCTCCCTCTTCCCTTTTGATCCGCAGCAGGCAATTGATCTTTCTTCCTTGGAGATATCTGACTGCTAGCGGTTGACTGACCGAGTTATAATCTTCTTCCAATTCTTTTCTTAATTTCTTCCAGATTACGGCGACTAGATAGTAAATTTCCCTTTTCGATTCAATGGTTGTATTTCTTCTTCGTTATTCAGGTAGTTGTTTTACGGTTCTCTGTTATCCTGTATACTTTGATTTAAACATGTAACATATAATTCAAAGGGTTTGTTGCTTGGACTTGGAGCATCTCTACTTTGGTTGAATAATTGATCGTTTTCCTTGGAGGCCCATTGCAACTCGATTCCTTGGATGTTAAAATGGAAAGCAGAGTTGTGAGGGTTGTTCATTATGTTTATTATGTTCATGAGTGACATGATACTAGCTAGCTATATGACGATGATTTGATCAAGTAAATAGTATGTAGCATGGGGTTATAAGTAGGAGGGAACATATTTGGGGTTTTATAAAGGGCACGAAGAAGAAATAAAATTGTAGTAAATGTTGATATTTTCCCCAATTTCTAGACGTTTGTAATGACATTGGTTTGTTTCCTTAGCATGAATTTTGCCTAATTGAATCCCTAACTAAAGCTTGATTTTGGCCTGATTGTTTTCATGATTTGATCAAGTAAATAGTATGTAGCATGGGGTTATAAGTAGGAGGGAACATATTTGGGGTTTTATAAAGGGCACGAAGAAGAAATAAAATTGTAGTAAATGTTGATATTTTCCCCAATTTCTAGACGTTTGTAATGACATTGGTTTGTTTCCTTAGCATGAATTTTGCCTAATTGAATCCCTAACTAAAGCTTGATTTTGGCCTGATTGTTTTCATAACAACTACTATTTAGATTGATGCATCAATCCGATTGACAATGGGGACTCTGCAAGATATAATGACTTGAGTTTTATTGAAGTATACAACTTTTACTATTCATCTATGTTGTTATTAGGTAGAAAAACATGATCCTTTTGGTAGGGGGTATGTAGCTCTGTACAAAAAATAAATTATGATTATATGTAGTTTAGTTTACTGAAAACATAGTTTTAATAAATTAGTGACAAAAAAATAGTTTTATTTGTGGTTGGTTTTGCTAGAATATTTTCAAGGTAAATTAAACAATAAGCGGAAGATTGATGATGTGGATGCCAATGTGGTTTCTCATTCTTCCAAAATTACACGAGTAACTGATACTGCACGATATTTGTGGGATCTGATCATGATATTCTCTATTATCATATACCAACGTACGAGGAGAAGGGTGAGAAAATGAAAGCTCTTCACTTTTTTTGTCAATTGAAATATATTTGCAAATTTTAACTTCTTTTTTTGTGTCCTTCAAAATTTTAACTTCTTTGTCACTTTGTGTGCTAAAAAATTAATAATCTCTTAGTTTATATCTTAAATGGTGGATTCCATTCATAATTATAAATCAATAAAGAAAGTACTATAGATAGCTCATTTAATAAAATTAAATTTTCATAAATAAATGAAAGATATAAAAATGTGAAACAATATATGAAATTTGGTAAGTGAAATTACAATTCAATATATAATAGTTTCACATACTGAATCATAAATAAAATTATAATACTAGGACGGAAAATATAATAACCAATCAAAATTTGCCGCCCAACGGGCGGGTATAAAGCTAGTTTAATTATCAGTGATTGTTACCATAGGAGTTTCCATTCAGTTAAACTTTAACTTGAAACAGAAGATAAGAAAGTTGACGGTTTTGGTTTTTTTTTTTTTGTGCCAAATTTTCTTACAAATAATTGGGTTGTCGATTTTCTATTAATCGAAGTCAATATGCCCCTTATCAGTTTCTTTTTTTTTTAAATTTCTTCTGCTTAACGGTTCGATTTACAAACCCAACCAAAAGACCTATGTTACCCTAAAGATTTCCCACTATCAAGTAAAGTTGCAAAATGGCCAAACTTTTCACGAGTGGCTCAACGTTTGACTTGGGAAAAACTTGTTTAAAACTAGACTTGTTTACTAAAAAATTAAACTTGAGCTAAACTTTGTTTGGCTTGCAAAACTCGCGAGCCAGCTCGATTCAATGGCTTGTTTAGCTCAATTTGTGAGCTGACTCGCTTTGAGCTATGATCTTGCTTGATAGTGTAGTGTGGCTAGGGAGCCACCTCGACTAGTGACTTATGAGTGAATTGATGTATAGCTTATGCCTTGGTTTGTTGATAATTCATAGGCAAATATGATGTTTAAATTTAAAGTACATAAGCAAATATGTATCATTTATAATTTAAAAGATAAATTATTTATAGTAGATGTTTAAGTACTTAAAATTATCATTTATAATTTTAAGTACATCTCATTACATATGATGTTTAAATTTTAAGTACATAAGCAAATATGTATCATTTATAATTTAAAAGATAAATTATTTATAGTAGATTATTTAGATACCAATTGCTATTAAATAACATTATATGAATAATTGAAAATTATGAACTAAATAATGCTTCACCCGAGCTCGAGGCAATCTCGCAAGCTAACTGATGACCGAACTCAATTAGAGCTCATCGGCACATTGATAAGTTGAGCTCGAGTCAAATAGGAGTAAAGATTTCAATAAGTAAGCCGAGATTGAACTCGATGAAAGAACACGGATCTAGGTGTGTGATTTAGGGTTTAGGATTGATATACAAATTGGGGATTTGGATGAGGAAGAACAGAGATTTAGGTGAGTGAGAAGCAGAGGTCGGTCTCCGGAAAGGAGGTGGCCGACGGCTAGGTGAGGGAGAGGGGTTTCGGCTACGGTTGAGGGAGAAATAGACTCTGGGAATAATTGTTGTGTTATTGCTTGCCTCTATCCTCTATATATATATATATATATATATATATATGGGGAGTTCTACCGTACCCCGGGTGAAATCCGGGGTACCGCATACCTTGAGTAAGAAAACGCTATCTAGAACTTGAATTGACTGATCTTTCGGACATGATACTATACTCTAACCCTTAAAGATCAAAATCTAGGTCTTAATTCTCTAAATCTTATACCCCAAGATCAATTTAATTAGAAATAATAATTGACGGTTATGATTCGTCCAAATATAGGCAAAAAAATGAAGGCACCATCTTAGAGTTTATAGTTTATGATTTAGATAATTAGGACCTAGGGTTCAATCATTAAGCGTTAGGGTATAGTATCATGCCCAAAAATCCTGCTAATTCGAGGTCTAGATGGCCTTTTCATACTCAATGTATGCGGTACCCCGGATTTCACCCGGGGTACGGTAGAAGGCACCATATATATATATATATAATTCCCTTTAACTACTCAAATAATTAACCTAACCGAATAACTCCCAATAGTCCCGAAGTACCCAACATAATATCAAATGTCCCGAATAATAATTAACGACAAATAAACCCCCCCCAAAGAATATGTTTCTGACATTCCATCCCCCTTAAAACCCACCTTGCCCTCAAGGTGGACCTTCTTTCTTCTCCTCCTTCCTTGCCTCGCCCTCATTTGCCTCTATTTCCTCTCCTTCGTCTTCCAAGTTTCCGATTAGCAGCATCAGGTTCCCCTTGGCGCACTGATGCCACACGGTATACCTCTCATCACAATTGAAGCAACGCCCATCCCTGCGCTTCTGGTCCATTTCCACATGAGTCAGCCTGACGAATCCTCTTGGCGGAAGCCTTGCTGGGAAACGGCCCCCTGGAGTAGCCCCGACGACCGCTGGAGTTGCAGTTCCTGTTGGTGGTGAGGACGCGACAGTCCCTTGTCTCGCGCCGATCCCAGCTCCACCACTTGCCTTCTAGATCCTTTCCACTGACGTTCTCTAGTTGGCGAGTTCTTCCTCCTTGCGTCCTGCAAGCCTGAAGGCAACCCGGAGAGAGTCGGGTTCAAAGACCTTGGCCGCTGCGGCTAACTCCGGTCGTAGGCTGACCATACATAGTCCCACCAACTTCTCCTATGTCATCTCCTTGCACTAGTTCCCTAACTTAAGGAACTCGGCAAGATACTCTGTTACCGACCCTGTCTGCTTCAACTTGGCCAGCAGCTCCGGCGCCCATCCTTCGGCTCTCCCGATTTGGTAACGCAGCTCATCCTGAAACCTGGGACAAGCGATGTTCTCCCCTGCCGCTGCATAAGTCCTCTCAGTCCACTCCCACCACTGGAGGGCATCTCCCTCCATGTCGAAGGACGCCAGGTGCGCCTTCCTTTCCTCCCTGATCGGGTGAATCCTGAACCACCTCTCATCCGCATATAGCCACAGTCCCACATCACCACTACCATCGAATTTAGGAAACTCGATCACTGGGGGCTTAGCCCTGAACACCAGCTCATCTTCATAGTCATACACAGGGTTACGGTAACCATACCCGCCTACGTCCGAGTGTGGTGGTTGACGACTCGAACCACCGTGACAGTAGTCATGCTCAGCAACTCGTTGGTGGGAGTAAGCCCAGTCCGCCAGCTCCCTCTTGTAACCTTCGTCGGGCCCTGGTTTGGTTCCTAACCCTTGCCCAACTTCCACACCCCGGTGTCCTCGTCTCTTGTCCGCTCAAGGAGTTTCCCACGGGGGATACCTCACCTCGGGTCCTTACTGGCCGTGCCCAGCACCTCCGCCAGCCGCGCCCCAGCTGCTGCGCCTCGGCGGCCGACCCGGTTCGGGTCGGTTTGAACCGGTCTGACCAGTTCTATTTTGACCTGTTATTACCCCGGGCGGCGTTCAGTTTGGCGCGACCGTAGGTCGGTGACCCAGCCCCGTCCAGCTCCTTCCGGTCCTGGATCCACCCTTCATCCTTCCCGGTCCGCGATGCTCATTTCATCATCTTATCTCCTGGGGCCCGATCCATGGAAGCTTGGGCCACCTGGCAACCCCACTCCGCTCCTCCGCGACCCAGTCGGCCAGGACTCTCCCTCGAACTCCACCATCTTCTTCTTCCCTCGGGCCTCGTAGATTTCCTAGGCCGTCGGGGCTGGCAGCAGGCCCGGCCCGCTAAACACTAGGCCCTCCTCCTCTTTCTCGTCTCTAGCCGCACCTGTAGCCGCCCCGGTCGGGTTGAGGTCGCCGCCAGCGACGACTCCCACCAGCTGCCGCTCCGCCGTCTTGTCCTCGGCTGGCGTGGTCAAGCCGACGAGGTTGCTGGATTCCTCAGCACTGGCTGTTACCGCCGCCCCTCGCACCGGTCCCTGCGGCTGGTCACGGCTTTTTAGTACGCTGGTCAGCACCTCCCTCATCGTCTCCGATAAGGCCCGACATAAGTTCTCAGTCACGCTCTTGCCCATCTCTTCTATCGATACCTTGATCTGATTGTCGAGGGCTTCGATGGCTTCGACCGACCCCTTTGATGCGGCGGCTGCCCTCTCGGTGGACTCCGTTAGGTTTTCATGCGTCATGACGATAATATCATAGTTTTTTATCGTTACGTCCTTCACCGTGACGACCTCTTTGCTCGATCGCTGGTGTTGCAACTTGTCCGTCAGGTTTTTCATCTTCACGGTTCTGGAACTCTTCAAGAAATCGGCACACCAACCAGGCTCTGATACCATGAAAAGATAACGGATCTAGGTGTGCGATTTAGGGTTTAGGATTGATATGCGAATTGGGGATTTGGATGAGGAAGAATAGGGATTTAGGTGAGGGAGAAGCAGAGGTCGGTCTCCGAGAAGGAGGTGGCCGACGGCTAGGGTGAGGGAGAGGGGTTTCGGCTAGGGTTGAGGGAGAAATAGACTTAGGGAATAATTGTTGTGTTATTGCTTGCCTCTATCCTTCTCATAACAAAATATATATATAATCTGACTAATTCCCTCTTACTACCCGAATATTAACCTAACCGAATAACCCCAATAGTCTCGAAATACCCAACATAATATCAAATGTCCCGAATAATAATGAACGACAAATAAACCCCCCAAAGAATATGTTTCTGACACTCGACTCGTATATTAACGAGCTTAGCTCAAATAATGTTAAAACTCGACTTGACTAGACTCATTTACAACCCTAAACTATAAGTATTGAATTAGATGTCATTAGTTTTTTTTTTTTTTTTGCATACAAGGGAGGCAAACGCCAAGAAGGAGACAATTACAGGGGGGGGGGGGTTAGGTGAGGGAAGGAGAGTTTGCCACAATTTGGCGCTCAAAGGTGATACCTCTAACATCATCCTGCAACAAATGGATCATACCCGTAGGAGGGTCAGCCAACTCATACTTACCGTAGGGGTAGACGAGACTGTGCTTCGAGAGCCAGTCCGCAGCTCTATTCCCTTCCCGGTACGTAAGAGACAGGCTAACCAACCAATCTTGACCAATCTTTCTTCGAATAAGACTCAGAAGCGTGGCATGAGGGTGAATGTGATCATGTCTCTCCTGAATCAACTGAAGCGCCAGCTTGGAATCAGTGGCAATCTTTACTACTCTGAACCCGAGATTCCAGACCAAATCCAGACCATAACAAATGGCCCATAACTCCGCTAAAACCGCCGTCGCATATCCAAGGTTAGCAACCACGCCTCCCAGCCATCTACCTGTCGAGTCACGCACAAGCCCTCCAGCTCCGGCTGGCCCCGGATTTCCATTCGACGCTCCATCAGTGTTAAGCATGACCCAACCCTCCAAAGGTGGTGTCCAACCAATCTCCGCCGCGACACGTTCCACCGGCTTCCTTTTGTGATTTAAGAACAGCTCCGGTGCATGCCAAGAGTCATCCCAAAGCTTGGTCTTAGTCACGATCGACTGCGTCAGAGAAGAAGCTGAAAGAGCTGCACTCAACCCTTTGAAAGAGGCCGTGGTGCTATTCTTCCAAAGCAGCCAAGAGGCCATGCTAAAGAACCCCGGCCAATCAATCCCTGTGCTGATCTCCTTACTCGTGATGTTCTTGTGAAACCAGACTTCATGGCTATCACTGAAGAACTCATGCTGCTTCTGCTTGGGAACATGACGGCACCAAAAGTAAGCCGCGGGGGCGCAATCACGAAGAATGTGGAGCACCGTCTCCGGCTGTTCAGTACACCTCTGGCAGCATGGCGACTCAGCTACCCTCCTCTGAAAATGCAGCACATTCGTGGCTAGCTTGCCCTGAAACGCCAGCCACATAAAACATCTTACCCGCTCAGGCACTGGTAACCGCCAAATCTCCTTCCAAACCCCGTCCGTGCCCTGCTGGTCTTGCTTCGTGAGAAGTGCATAGGCCGATTTAGTGGAGAAACGGCCATCAGCAGCTGGGGCCCAGAACAAAGAGTCCTCCTCTTGAGAGATAGTATCCACCGCTGTGCTCGTAATTTTGCTGATAATATCGGGTGGGAGGCGCCCTGAGAGAAGCTCAATACGCCAACTGCCGTCTGCTCGAACGAAATTAGCAACCATCGCCTCATCTGCATCCTCCGGCATGTCTCCAGTCACCAAATCCTTCAGGGGCACCTGCAAAACCCACGGATCAGACCAAAACTTAGTTCTTCTCCCATTCCTAATATTCCATGCACAGCCTTGCTTAAGAAGATCAGCAGCTTTAGAGAAGCTACTCCAGGTAAAGGAACTTCCCTGAACTTTCCTCAGGACATCAAGATCAGCTCTCTGACCCCCATACTTCGAAAGAAGGATCTGCCGCCAAATACTCTCTTTGTCCTGGAGAAGCCGCCACCCTCCCTTGGCTAGCATGGCCAGATTAGCCTGACGAGTCGGCCGAATCCCCACTCCCCCTTGCGCTTTGGGCTTCGTCAGTCTTTCCCAAGCCACCAGATGAAACTTGGAATGATTTTCCTCATCCCCCCAAATAAAATCTCTGCTGATCTTATCAATACTCCTGCAAACACCACTAGGGATTAGTTTTGTATGCAGACGGGTAAAGAAGCAGCTACCGATCTAGCAACAGTAAGTCGAGCGGCAAAAGACAGCCGTTTCGCCTTCCACGACGCCATCTTCTTCTGAATGCGCAAGATAAGTGACTGGTATCTCCCTTTCGTGACCCTCTCCTGTATAGCCTGAATGCCAAGATATCTCCCCAAGGCTGCTTTCAACGGGATCCCCGCATACGCACTCAGCGCTTCCGCTTTATGCCTTGCTATGTTCGGAGAGACATAGACGATGGATTTGCTGAAGTTCACTCGCTGACCCGAGCTATGACAGAAATCTTCCAAACACTTTTTGATGACCCCAATCTGTCTCCTTTCCGCTTCTGCAAAAAGCAACAAATCATCTGCAAAAAAAAAAGAGTTAATGGCGGCCCAGACCTGGTAAGCCTCACAGCCTTCCACAGTCCATCATTTACGACCTCATCTATCTTATGAGAAAGTCGCTCCATACAGAGAACAAAGAGATAGGGAGAAAGAGGGTCTCCCTGACGAACTCCTCGAGAAGGCGTGATCGGTTGAGACAACTCCCCGTTCCATCTAATCCTCATGGTATTATGCTCCACGCAGTACATGATGCATCTAATCCAGCTACTCGGTAAGCCAACCTCTTTCAAAGTGTCCCTCAGAAAGTCCCACCGCAGCATGTCATACGCTTTTTCCAAATCAATCTTAAACACCATGCCTCCTTTCTTTCCGCTTCTTTTCCTGAAGGAGTGTAAAACTTCCTGGACTACAATGATGTTGTCCGTTGTTTGCCTTCCTGGAATGAAGCTACTCTGCCTCGAGGAAACCCATTGGCGCATCATGGGCTTTAGTCTCGAGGTCATGGCCTTCTTGATACTCTTGAGGCAGACGTTGTTGAGAGATATGGGGCGAAGCTGAGTAACCCTCTCCGGCAAATCCACTTTAGGAATGAGAACTAACGTGGACTCCGTCACTGCCTCCGGCAAAGTACCTGTCATAAAGAAAGACATAGCCATGTCGGAGAGAGACTTCCCTACCACCTGCCAGAACTGCTGATAGAACACGGCCTGAAAACCATCAGGGCCTGGGGCCTGAAACGGCTTCATGTCAAAGATCGCCTTGTGAATATCCTGAATACCGAAAGGTCTGAAGAGAGCTGTCGCTTCTATGTGGCTCATCCGAGGAAATACACCCTTAGGCATCCTATCCTCATAATGGGAATTCTCCTGCAAATAAATATTAGTGAAAAAATTAAAAACTAGGAGAGCAAGAGAGTGGGAATCTGTCACCCATTCGTCGTTGTCATCAAGGAGAGATTCGATCTTGTTGAATCTCCGCCGGATATTGACCAGTTGATGGAAATACGCAGTGTTCCTCTCCCCATACTTGACCCAATTGTCCCTGGAGCGCTGAAACCAAATAAGCTCTTCTTGCTCAAGCACTTTGTCCAGCTCTCTCGACAATTTGGAGTGAAGCTTGGCCAAACCAGGCGAGAAGGCACCTGCCAGTCTCAACTCGACCCCCTTAAGACGCGCCAGAATTCTTCTTTTCCTTTGCTTAATATCACCGAACACCTCATCATTCCAGTGAACAAGCTGCCCTGCCAGCGACTCAAGCGCCGTTGGAAGAGCCACATTCCCATCCCAGGCACTCGAAATCAGATTCGGGAGGCTATTGTTCGTCATCCAGGCAGCTTCGAACCTGAACTGCTTCGCTGGGTGGGGCTGACTCGGCTGCAGAATCACATTGGTGAGAATAGGATTATGATCAGATTGGTAGCGCGGGAGATGAATCACCGTCGAGTTGGGAAAGGTCGCATTCCATCTGAGGTTGCATAAACTTCTGTCCAACTTGCTTGCCTTGAAAGTCTGATCATGATCTCCTCTGGACCAGGTAAACTTTGGCCCCGAGAATCCAAGATCAACTAACTCTGCCGAATTAATTCTCTTCGTGAAGAGTTGGCACCTTCTCAGAGTGTTCCTCGCAGGCAGTCCCGATTTCTCCTCCGGTTTGCTAATGGCATTGAAATCCCCCGTGAGCAGCCAGGGAATCTCAATGTACTTGCTTTCAGAAATCAGCCCCTGCCAAAGAACTCGTTGCTCCCGTTGCCGCGGGGAAGCATAGACTGCGGACAACATCCACGGAGGATCATTGCCTCTGGAAATTTGAAGAGTTAAGTGCTGAGAGCAGGCCGCAAAGGCCTGCACCGAGAAGATTCCCCCGTCCCAAAACACCCACACTCCTCCTGCTCGCCCTGTCGCTTCAACCCTGCACGAATTTGGGAATCCCAATTTATCACACACCCCATTAGCCGACTCGCCGCTCATTTGAGGTTCCAACAAAATCACAAAGTCAGGACGATGATTCTGGATTGCCAATTTCAGAGCCCGATAAAAGGCTCTGCTTCCAGCTCCTCCGACATTCCACGAAAAAACCCTTAAGCTGTAACCCATCGGCATAGATAAAGAAAAGCAAAAGAAGGAGAAAGGAAGAAGAACCGCCAGCAAAAGAGGACGAGCCACCCTGCCTAAACAGTGGCGCCGTCTACCGGTCTGTCTTCTTCCCCGGTTTTGCAGGCCTGTCCCGCCGCCGCCGTCTCTCCATCTCCGCTGATTGGCCGTTTCGCCGCTTCCGTCCAGGCATGAATTTCTTGCAAAGTCAGCGTCGCCATACGACCCTTGGATTTTGGTTTCCTTTCTTTCACCGGGGACCAAACCTGTAAGGGCTTCATCGAATTCAGCTTTGTCGGCGATCTCCTCTGCTGCACTTTTTTGTTTTTGTTCCATTTCGTTCTACTCGTCAACGAGGGTGAAGGGGTCTCTTTTGGATCCACGTTCTCTTTGTCCTGAACATTACTGTCGATGATCTGCATAACCGTTCCATTCGGGCCTGTAACAGTCTGAAACTTGGGGATTGGAGGGAGGGGATTTGTGGGCTTGTTGACAACACCCGGCCCAAGCCCCGCTCCTGGAGACTTCGTATCAGCAAGCTGGATTGAAGTGGGCCTAGAAGGCCCTGCAGATGAAGACTCCCCACCAGACGATCTTGGCCCTGACTCGCACTCCCTTGCCTCTCCCTTATTGCGCCCTGGCCCAAGAAGCCCTTTTCCCTTCCCAGAAACATTCCCGGGCCCTTTCTCCTTTCCTTTCTTAGCCTTCTCCCCTTTCTTCTTCTCGGCGGTCCCCTTCCTATCGTGACTTTGCCCCTGAATAGGTAAGTGTCCGTTGGGCGAAGCCACCGACGACTTCAATGGATCACTTTCCTTCACCGTGATACCCCGAGACCCATTTTTGGCAATTGATTTCAGTCCCTGATTTCCCGCACCTGCCTCCTGATCACTCTTTCCTTTTCTCTGATCTTCCATAGGATTTGGCCGGGTTTTCCTTGTCACCAGCATCCACGGACCGTATCCCGGATTTTGATCGTCCGGCGTAAGAGGGCTCGCCGGAGTTGTCCCACCGGCGATCAACAAATGCACCGGCGCTACAACCAGGTTGTTCAACGGACATGTTCCCGCTTCATGACCAATCTTACCGCACCTGAAACAGACCTCCGGTAAGTTCTCATACTCCACCTTTTGCCACTCGTCGTCGAGCCAAATCCTGGGAACCAAGGCCTTCGAGATGTCAACTTCAACCGCCAGCCGAGCAAACTTCGCTCGTTCTTGATTCAGAGTATGGTAATCCAGCTTGATCGTCCGACCAATAAGATTTCCCAACATCGTGAGCACCTCCTTATGATAAAAATGAATTTTCAACGCGGGAAGCTGAACCCAGACAATCATTGTCTTTGGCAGAGGATCAGAGGCCTTAAACTTTGGTGACCACTGTTGAACAACCAGGTAGTGATCGTATATAACCCACGGACCATCAGTTAAGGCTCGGAAGTAGTCCTGTTCGTTGTCGAGTTTAACCAGGAAGCAATCATGATCCAAGTCTTTGACCTCCATCGAACCCGTCGGCCGCCACAGGCTCTTCAGCCGGTTGCACAGCGTGACAAAGCCAATCCTTAGTCCGAGCAATCGGACCACAAGAGTTCTTTCCCACGGAGCACATAGTGTAGCTTTGAATTCGGCCGAAATTGTAAGTGCTGGTTCCCCATTCCGAACACTGGTCACTAAGTCATTTTCGCCTACCGGAGTCCAGCGTTGCACTTGGTTCAGGGATGCCGCCTTCACCGGAGCACCCTTAACCGCATTTGCATACGAGAAGCCTTGACCAGCCCCCAAACCTGCCTGAACTCCCGCCATCAGTGCTTGGGGCGACCGCTCCTGCACAGTCAAAACAGAGGAATCAATAACCATGTCACTGGAACTGGTGACCGTAGCCACCGGAGAAGATGAAAAATTGGGATCAGCTATAGCTAAAGAGCCAGGTAAATCCGGTGGTCGATCGGAAGAGAGGAGAGTCGGCGCCGGAGCCGAGCTTCCGCCTAGGTCAGTTGAGAGCATTTTTTTCTTTATTAGACGTCATTAGTTGAAATCAATTAATTTAATAACAATATATTACAATCAAACCAGTTTTATTTTGGTAGAAACAATAAACCAATTTTAAAATGGCCCCGTCGTTCCACGTTTAGTCTTTAACGATCCTTCTAATACATTCGTTCGTAGTTTTCTAAACAGTAAACACTAATTAGACAGATTGCCAGGAGAGCAAGTAACAGTGTAAATTCACTCAATTCATCCAATGGGTGTTTGCCACGTACGTTACTTTGTGCGTCGATCGACGTGTCAAGTCCACCAAATATATATAATAAACAAAGATAAATTGGAAAAAATATATCCACGAATGTCCTACTCCTACACATATTTTCTCTCTCCCTCTTTCCCCCTTCAGGCCTTCATCGTTCCCGTCTGAAAAATACCTGTTGCCTGTGGGTCGGTCGTTTACTGTAACGAAGCCGAAACCGAAGATCGAAGCTCCAAGAAGTTGTGGACTACGATTCAGGCGGTAATTTATTCTGCGCCGGCGGCGAGTGATTGATTTTTCGAGATCTACGCTATTTATTCATCAAGCGCGATACTCGGGTCGGCGGTGGAGATCTTCTCAAATCAATCAATAAAATGGCGGAGGACAAGTACAATCTGAAGAACCCCGCCGTGAAGCGGATCCTGCAAGAGGTGAAGGAGATGCAATCGAATCCCTCTGAAGATTTCATGAGCCTTCCTCTCGAGGTTCTTCTTCGCTCAATTTCTCTTCCCCTCGATTCGCTGATTCTTCCGCGTAATTTCGATCTAATTCCATTTGGGTTTCTAGCTTTGGATTTCGGGTGGTTTTCGAATTCGATATGAAATGGTTCTAGTGCGGGTTTGATGGATTTGTGAAGTTCGGTACGATAATTTTTGTTCGAATTGGGAGATTGTCAAATTGGGGATTCTGGTAGAGAGGAAATTTTGTGGCCCAAATGGACGGTTGATGGAATCACAGAGCTTATCTGGTTTAGTCGATTGAGGAATTAGTTTCTCTGGCCGGGACATGTAGAGAGAAGTCTGAATCTGATGGGCGATTGCAGTCTTGCTTTATGCATATTTTTCTGCTCTCACGTTAGGGTGTATTTGTTCTGTGCCTTCAGGAGAATATATTCGAGTGGCAATTCGCCATAAGTGGTCCTCGTGATACCGAGTTTGAAGGCGGGATTTACCATGGGAGAATTCAGTTACCAGCTGAATACCCCTTCAAGCCACCTTCATTTATGCTTTTGACTGTAAGTCCCCTAGGTTTTGAGACTTCTAGTTGAAATGTTGTATTATTTGTTGGCTGCAGCTCGCTGTATGTTAACCTGGGGTTCTGTTGATGCTCGTTTTTCCAGCCAAATGGTCGTTTCGAGACTCAAACGAAGATATGTTTAAGCATATCGAATCACCATCCGGAGCATTGGCAACCATCATGGAGTGGTAAGGTTTTGCCTTTGTCTACTGGTTTCTCAGTAGCTTTTGTGCATCGATAGAGCTCTTCTAGGCAGAGAAAGATTGAATTACTAAAGATGTCCTGCATGCATATTGACGAATCACTTTCTTAACTCTGGCATCTAGTAATTGACATTGTTTTTTAAATGAGCTGTGCTTCCTTGAAATCTTGATCAAGTTATGAGCTTATGTTCTTATTAGCTTCTTGTGGTATTAATGGTTTTGTTCATTACCAGTTCGGACAGCCCTAGTCGCTCTCATTGCGTTCATGCCAACCAACCCAAATGGTGCATTGGGATCGCTAGACTACAAGAAGGACGAGAGGCGAGTTCTGGCTATCAAATCTCGCGAAGCAGCACCAAGATTCGGCACTCCCGACCGTCAGAATGTTATTGACGAGGTTTCTTTCTCTCCTACTTCTTCCCATATCTCCCTCTAGTTTATGTCATTTACGTGTAGTCAGTGTGCCAAGATTTGTTTCAAACCTGACCATCTTGACATGTGGATTGGATCGGACTGGGATGAATGGAATTCGATTTATCAGTTTTCGTATCACAAAGGCTATGATGTTTTCCTATTTAATATTTGGATTCCATAGTCGTCTTAAAAACAAAGAAAAAAGAGGACCCAAGTGAAACTGGAACGGACTGAATAAAATCAGATTGAATGTTCCTTTTTTCTTATTCTATCATAGTGAACAACGTTCAGGCTTTCTTATGGAATTTGTGGTAATTAGAGCTTCTGATGTTGAACAGATTCATGAATATATGCTAAGCAAAGCCCCACCGGTCCCTCAGCCAGACGTCTTACAGTCTTCAGAAGAACATCCAGTAAATACAGAGGTTGAAGCACCTAAAGAAGCTGCAGCTTCTGTTGCTGCTGATGAACTTACCAACGCAGTTCCTAGTGAAATCCAGGCCACAGCAGAACGGACTGTGGAAGAAGTTCCTGAAGCTCCTCCCGCCGTTGGCAATCCTCCTGTTCAAGCTGGGATCAGGGTAGTGACACAGGAAGCTCCTCCGGCAAGAGATTCGAGCGATCAACTTAGGCAAAGAGCGGCTGTCCAAAGGCCTGCTGCTGGTGCTGATGATAGGCTCTTCACGTGGGCTGCCGTTGGGCTCACCATCGCCATTGTGGTTCTGCTACTAAAGAAATTCTTGAAGTCTAGTGGGCACAGTCCAGTTTTCATGGACGGTTCGTAGATTGTCTCGGATTGGTGATGAATGATGATGTTGAAAAGGAAAGGGATGGGAATACTTGGAAAGAGTAAAGCGATCTCTTTTTTGTTTTTTTGTTTGTTTTGGCATCTTCGTTTGAGACGAAGTTTGTAAGTTAGTTTTATCATCCGCTTAAGATATAATCATAATTTCCTGTGGCTGTAATTAATAAAAATGTAGATGAGTGAACTTCATTACTAAACCGGGGTTATTTTGTCATTGTTGTATTACCATTTGGTTTGGATTTTGGCAGTCTCTGACTCTCTGCCCCGACCTCTGAGAATCTGTTGGAATTGCAATACTCTCCCGAGCTGTTCAGGCGGTCGATATTTTTATTTTCTACAAGAAAAACCAAAAGATTGCTGAATTTAAGTTTAGTGGCAATTTGAATTCAATCTATCAATTCAATCCAATGGATTATGAATTGTTGATAAATTGCAGTTTGTATCTATTCTTTTTATATTTTATAATTCTACACATAATATAATACACCGAAGGGAAAAACGGGAGCCCCATTTCAAATTTCCTGCAACGAGAGTGAAAGTAGGAAGGACATTTTGGTCTTCACAATTACTTTTTTTTATTCATTAAAAAGACACATACTAGGATTCGAACCATGTCCATTTTAAAGAAAAGCAAGGAACATAACCAATCACACTAAGTACATTTGTTGCATCCTTTTAAATCAAAAACATATAATATCAGGGAGGAAAAACCCCTTCCCCCATTTCAAATTCCCTGCTCCATGAGCGTTTGTAGGAAGGGTAGAATAGGTAGTGTTAATTTTTTTCTCTTTTCTCTGTGGAACGGGCCAACTTACCGTACACATGCGGATTTAAACGGGTTCAGGAGTGTCAATTTTTTTCTTTAACCCCTTGTATTTCTCCGTGGTGATAAAATATATATGAAAAGGCAAAAACAATACTTCTTTTTATGCTAAAAATAAAAAAAAATTAACAATAAACTAATGCATGGTATCTAAAGGGCTAACCGCTAATCATAAAATAAAAGAGTTGAATGGGCCTGACCTACACCGGATTTGGCCATCAAGTAAAACAAATGAACATCATTGGTTTGACATTCTAAAACAAGCTATTTTCTCTAGCATAATATATATTGTTATATTATTTTATATTTTAGTGGCTAAAATATAATGTAGTTTAAAGTTATTCAATGGTTCAATCTCGACCAACCCAATTAGTCCAATTTTTATCATTTCAAATATATATTATATAATTATTTGATATCATAATGATAAAATTATAGTGTATTTTATAGGGAATCGTTTGGTATTTGTTAGTAAAAAACTAAACATAAAGATCTATTTTGTTATTTTAAACATTAAAACGATCCTAAACATTTTCAGTTTCTTTTGAATTTCTATGGTTTTATTCCCGAATAAGTGATGTGCAAATGGCGAATTGCAGTCATCTATTTTCTTTCACTATTTTTTATTTTCAAATAGAAAGTTTAAAAGTAACGAATAATTAGAATTTTGCATGGGTCGGTCAAACAGGCTGAATTTTAAGTTTTGGCCCGTTTTGATCAAGTCTAATTTATAATCACATGGTTCCCTGATACCCGATAAAAATCTCAATCCAAACCAGTTTGGCAGGTGAGTCCGTGTTTACCACCATTCTCTAGGAATACGACAACGGCGGTTCCTATCCCAAATCGTGTTGTTCGTTCTTGATTTCCTTAGATTTTATCATGGCCTGACAAAAACCAGAAAGCACAATGACGACAAGATGAAAGTTTTATAAATCAAATTAATGGTGTTCTCTTTCTGATCTCATGTAATTATATAATGAAGTTGAAGTTTTTCGATGCTATTCAATTTCATTGGTATGTTTTTAATGGTCTAACTTCATGGTTGTACCAACTTTTGATGTACTGTTTATGTTCCAATATATTCACTTTGGTATGATTATTAGGGATATGCTAGGCGGTACTCACCATTAGACCAATTTAGCTTAATGGTTGAATCTACGGGTTATCCCAATAATTCAATATTCGGCTCAGCTCCTCCGACCAACGGGTCGGATTACAAGCTAGTTTATTTCTAAATTTCATTTTTTAATGAAAATATCATTGAAAAATAAGTTTTTTACCCAAAATTTTTATATTGACATTTAATATATCAACTTCTTAAACTTTCATAATGATTTAATGCTTAGATGTAACTTGAGTTTACCAATCTAATTTAGGACGGGTAAACAGTGTAACCGATAACCGAACCGGAATCGGAACCGGTGCGGCTGTGCTTAACTGTTACACCGATAACCATAGTTAATAAAATATTGTACGGGAAAGTTACATAAAAAATACGTACGGGTATTATACTTTGTCTCTAATCTAAAGTTACGTTTAATAGTACGTTAATGGTCATAAATATATAAAATTAATCATTTTAAAAATAAATAAATATATAAATAATATTAAAGTTTGTTATTTAATTTGTAAAATACAGATAATAAATGTGTTATACGGGTTTTATACGTGTTTAGTACGGGAGCCATCAAATGAACGGGGGAAAATGAAACGGCTTGACAATAATACGGATACGGAAGTTTTAAATGGATAAAGTACGTACGGGTACATATACGTGTATTAAACGGAGTATTTACTAACTATGCCGATAACGATTAAATAGTATACGGTCGGTTCTTGGTAGCCAAATTTAGTTAATAACTAATCGATGGTTAAACGGTTAATAACCGACGGTAGAACATCAGACTTGTGCAAAGTTGCTCAATAACAATCAGTAACATTAAGCTTCCTTGTAATTTGGTGGGGTTTACGAGTTGAGTAATTCTTGTTGGATCTCTTATCGTTGTATGCTTTTTTAATAAAGTTTGATGGTAGAATGATATTAATGTGTACTTGTGTTGGATTGAGTTGATTATGTATTGATATATATCTTGTTAAATTATTTTGTATTCAATGATAACAACTTAAGAAAAGAACACATGTATGAAAAATTATAGAAAATTTCACTTTTGAAAAAAGATATTTTGTTGGTAAGATTTTCCATCGTTATTTTGGTACAACCTTGCCAAATCACTTGGTTAGCGGTTATTCAGTTAACCGAAAAAATAGTTGAGAACCGACTATATGGTTACGGTTAACCGAATAATTTATACGGTGCAGTTAAAGGTAAGCACAATGTGCTTAACGATTAATCGAGAACCGACTAAACAGTTCTGGTTATAACTGAACTGAACCAATTATCAGCGCTAATCTAGTTCATGAATCCACCATGAACCACAAATTCTTTTAATTTAATCTACGAATTTAATTCATTTGTCACATCTACGACTATGTTAGTGATGGCAATGAGACGGGGGCGTGGCGGGGTGGGTACCTCAATGCCCATACCCGTCCCGCACCAAGTGCGGGTCCGGATGGGTAATATCCGCACAAGTACGGGTCGACTCATTCTTATATGTTAGTTGAAAAAATCATGAAAAATTGTAATTTTTACGATAAAACGAAAGAAAAATATTTTTTTGAATGACAATAGTAAATATAGAATGGGTAATTGAGTCTAATTAAAAAGATCAAGTCTAATTAGCTGATGAAAAGTCAAACGAGGATATATGAATATATGTGGTAAGAAATTGAGACAACATAAGCAAGGAATGATGCAAGACAGGTAGGAAGTAGATACTCATACTCTGTCACACGCTACTGCAGATCGGATACCCGTCCCATCGCGTGTCATGTAAGATAAAGATGAAAAAGTTCGAGTCAGACAAAAAAAAACCCAAAAATAATCTTAAAATAGAATTCCGCACCCTCATGCGTTTTTCTTATAAACATCCTCATGCGTTAGAACTGGATCTGCCAGATCAGATCCAATTCCTTTTGGTACAAACTTAGCAATTAATATCATGTAGTAAAATTAGCCTACAAATTTAATGGGAATAATAATCTACAAATAATAACGTGGAAAGCGGTTGCTCCATTTCAAATTTGCTACAATCAGAGTGAAAGTAGGAAACAATTACTTATTTCTTCTTATTTATTTATAAAAAAGACATGTATTGGATTTTAAACAATGACCACTTTAAACAAAAGCAAGAATAATTGGCAATCACACCAAGTATATTTGTTGTATCTTTTTAAATTAAAAACATACACGAACCTAAAATCTGAAAATCATATGCCTTTTTCAACGATTAGCTGCCCACCGAATCTCCTGTAAGTACTTAATTTAATTTTTATATCTATCTTATAAATATATGATAACCCTAAAATTGCAGCACAAATATCATTGGTTCGAATATTGCATATCGAATTGCAATATTAAATATATAGAAGCAATGTCGGTTCTTGAATTAGTATTAGTTTCCAGAACTACTATGAAGCAATCATATCTTTGTGCAAACTATATGGCCCTGGTTATTTAACGTTTTAGTCGGGTTAACTGCTATGTTTTAAACCTCTTCCTAATCTCATATGATATGATCCGACGATCATTATACGAGATTGAGTTAAATAGGGTGGCTCATTTCACCACTTTTTGGCATGTTAATGAATTTGTAGGACAATGACATGTCTACATATACACTCATCACTCTTCCCAATCTACACATAATATAAAAAGGTGACATTAGAAATGATGGATCCCATTTCAAATTTGCTGCATCCAAAGCCTTTTTTTAGGGGTAAATTTAGAAGGGGTCAGTGCAGCCGGTCTGTTGAGCACGAAAGTAAAAACATGTTTTGATTTAAACGGGCACAAACTGTGATTTGGCCCACTAATCGTGCACCCATCACAGCCCCGCCAAAGCTTCCCATTCTACTTGCCTGGTCATCTCCTCCCCCACGAACTTACTCTCCTCCTGTACCCAAAGTTCCCACTGAACTATAATCTCTATAACTTAAGCCAAAGATTCTAACTGGAATACGCAGAGGGAGCAACCGACGGATTGCAACTACCCTCACTGTTCTAATAGCTAATCCAGAAGACCCTGTTTGTTCAGCGGTATATTGGGTCACTTAATTAACATACTCCACTTCATTGACAGCCTCATCTCCTCAATTGTATTGTGTTCACGAAGATCCGAAGGCAACAAGTACAACAGGTCCAGTGGTAATCGATATGTATAAAGTGCTGACCAAATTGAATTGAGCCATTCTACTTGGAATATGAATTTTTTTGCTTAATTGCTTTGGTTTGTGATGCGGCTATGTTTGAAGGTAGATCAACGCAAACAACAGTACAACTCCAGAGCTATTCCTCACATCAGGTAGTTGGGGCATTAATTGATAATGATTTAAGATTATTCCAACAAGTACATAATCTCGAACGTGCCTTTACAGTGCATTGATTAATAGTGGTTTGAGATTTTTTCAAATGAGTGATTTGACATATTAAACTCGCCTATTTCTGAAAAATGGAAGCTTCGAAGTGGAATATGAAGAGTTTGGATTAAGCTTTGTTTCGTAATGCCTTTATGGGTGTTTATTGTCTAAAATGCAACTATATTTCAAAGTAATCAATCGAAAATGGCAGGTCATGATAAAACGATGGTACCGGTATACGTTTATATCATTAGTAGGAAGCAGATTGTATCCATTCTACTATATCGTTTAGTTTAATGCTCAGTTGTTCTTTTCAACTAAAAGTTGTGCTTAAGTGTTGTGATTGGCCTGAGAAATGTATGTCTTTGCAATAACTGGCAATGATTGTGAGTTTTGGTTTAATGGTGAAAAGTCCATTTATTTAGCAGTAATCCAATGCTTGAATTTTGTTTTGAAGTTTAAATTAGACAAACCTGTTAGAAAATAGGCATGCCATACATTAGTGTTGTGGGGTGTGGGGGGGGGGGGGGGGGGGGGGGGGTTGATTGATGTCTAAGGGTTTGAGATTTTCTAGATGGTTATTGTGGGAGTTAGCGAGGTATTCCTATGCGGGCTTTTCCGTTTTTTGACTATTTCTCGTCTTTTTCCTTATCTCTTTTTCTATTTTTGGGTTTTGTGTGCTACCTTCAGCTACTGGGTCTTCATTTGTGAGCCATCTATACTTTTCTTATTCAACGCATAAAAATAATCTATACTCGATTGCATAGTAGTTACTAAGAGGTACATTTAAACCAATAGAGTGCTTTTAAGTTTTATTAGTTGTTGGTTTCAATATTTACTTATATTAGTTGTTTATATAATTTTCTTTGTAACATTTTGTCATTATACATTAACTACTATGACTACTTAGTTGTATAAGTGGGGGTTGGGCATGATAGTTTTCAGAAGCATCAATACTTGAAGGCTATTATAATGACCAAATCTTAAAGTTATGATTTTCCTTTAACATGCTTGGAGCATATCAGGTATGCTTCAATTGAGCTCTTTGTGTAGTTGACTCTTAGACAAATAAAAAATCTTGCCGATTTGCGCTTCATTGTAGCTAAATTTAGGGTTCTACTGCCTATTTTAAAGCTTTCGGTTTAGTTGTGACTCCAAGGTCATCAGGGGTTTGCCCTGTGGCTGTTCATACCGAAGTGGTTTATACTAACTCTCCGTGAGTTCAATCTTATTATTCTCCCGACAATTATCTATTTTTCGCTTAGAAATAGTATGAACATTATATCATTTGACACAATGCATAGTTTGGTTCATTTATTATTATTATTATTCAAGTGGAATTAATCTAGCCGATTGTCATTCATATAGTTTACTGGTATGAATCTACTCCTCTTTGAATTACAGAAATACGTACGAACAATTATTTGAAGAAAACCCCCTTCCTCGAGCTCATTCCTTTCGCTCCTCTGCAAGTGGTTTTCTTATTTTTTAGCTGACCTTCATGAATGTATATGCTAAGGTTGCTTTTCTAATCTGCAAACTTTTGCGGGTTTGAGGAGAAGATTGGTATGCCATCAACCTTTAACTTCTATCATATCAATGCCTAATGTTTTCGCAATCAATTTTCGGCTGCTTCAACTTTCAGCAAATACACACTTGCATATGTTTACGTGGGTGTCTTTTGCATGATGTTAATTCCAAGAATGAGAAAATATTCAGCTGGAAATCTTTTCGCTACTGATTCCTAGGTGTGGGTTGAGCATAGAGATCTTTAAGTCTGCATGCAACTTTTTCTTACCGGGTTGTGAACATTTTTGGTTATTTTCCAGGTCAACTTAGGTAGCTACATTCAGTGGATTTGGTGTGGATCTAGAGAATAATGGATGTAATTTATGTTGTTATAAATATATCCTCTACGTAGTACTTATATTGTTCCATTATATTATTAGATTAGAGAATAAACAAGTGAAAACTCAAGGCAGTTGGTGATATTCTTTATTTGGATGTTGTAATTATTATAGGCCATCCTCCTTTTCACATTGCAATTCTTTATCACTTATGACAAGTTTATTTGAATGAAGACAAGTTCATGTGTATTTTTTTACCATTCTCACCACTTTTCTCTTAGCAAATGTTGCTATCCAGAGTGTGCGTTCCTTTTTCCAATCTATGTGGATTCCCACTTAGGCCATCACTACACGAAAGTACTGGAAACATTGATGTTGATGTTGTTATTCTCAAAAATTGTCTGTATTTGTAACATCTTCTAATCACTCCAAAAGAAAACACGTTGTCGTAGCACCATCACTCCACAACGTTCCCTTTTTTCTTGCAAATGCTCACTATGGTAGGAAAATAAGACAAACCAGAAGGACATAGATAGTATGTTTCCTTCTTTTTAAGTGTGTTTCACGCCTCTATATTTTGAAAATAGGCTACATTTGGATTCTCACCAACATTTTAGTCTTCATCTTAATTTGAATAATCAAATTTGTATTTCTTTTGGCTTCCAAATTTTAATATTTCTTCTAATTATTTTTGAAATTATAAGGGGTATGGATTACTTTTGGAAATCTCTTATCCAATTCGAATTGAAGTGTTGTCCTCGCCTGTCTGGTTGATAAAATGAATACTTGCTAGATGTTTAGTTTAATTAACTCGAAGTAGGTATCATTTCTGCAGTCTTCTTTGCTATCCTAAACATTTAAACAAATTCGCGTCACTTAAATAATGACAAGTGACTAATGAGATGTTGCCCTCCCTATATACATGAACCAAGAGCATTATTACGTCCATACCAATAATTCAATATTCGGCTCAGCTACCTCCGACAAACGGGTTGGGTTATAAGCTAGTAGCTTTATGCGGGAGAAAGAAATAATGACTCCAAGATTAATTGATTGATAAATCATGGTCGGTCACCTATCCGACTGTTTTACTTTTTTTTTTACATGCCTGTTACAAGGTGCTATTAGGTAGGAATGAGCATTGGGTGGTTGAACCCATGAATCCACCCAAATCCACCCGCAATTGACCCACCCATTATCATGTGGTCGTTCCTATTGGTGGGTGTGGACCGTAAAAAGGTGACCCACAAAAGATTGGGTGGGTGTGGGTGGACTGTGGTTGACCCACGATCCACCCAACTATTTAAACTCAAACCATCGAAACTCTAATATATAGCTTTACCGAAAATGAAATCCTTATAATCACAAAAATTTCTCTCAATTTTGGTCAAAGGATTGTTGTGAAGTGTGCTTAGGCATTTGGAGGTACGCTTGAGCATAACCAGTACACAAAATGGCAGAAAAAGATAATTGTCTCCCCAAAATGACACCAAGTCAAACTACCACCGATTCATCCTTCATTCTTTTCATCAATTCTGAATTGTTATTTATGACTATAGGTTGATAAGCTATTTACGCTCACAACACCTAGGTGAATGAGGCTCTAGGCAATACCAAAATGTTTGCGTTAGCCCCTAATAAAAAATGTTTGCCTTATGCCTAGTGCCTTCTTAACTATTGGGTATTATTAAGTTTAGACCATGTTTATTAGTTGAATATTTTGTAATTTATGGACAATTACCAATACCAATATTATAAATAAATGATTCACCTGATTTATGGATTAAGGGTTATTTTTTTTCATTTTGAGTTAAAAACTATTGAAATTATGTGATCATATGACATTTATGTTGTAAACCCACCGAATCCATCTAACCACCCATCATCCACAATCACTCAACCCAACCCACCCACATATAATGTTTAGGTGAGTGTGGGTCATTTTCTCCTTCACCCACTACTTAGTAGTGGTAAATACCTTCCATTTATAAGAGTGATACCATTTTTTACAGGAGAAAGGAAATAAAAAATTACAAGAGACGGAATCGAAACCATGATTGTGATAAAAAAGAAAACAAGTCATGCCAAAACAAGCTAAGAAGTAGCCTGAACAGCAGCAAGCAAACCCTAACTCAAATAACTCAGAGCATAGATAATTCAACTTTTAAAAAAAAAAAAATTCCTGGCTCCGCGCCACTATCGTCACTTCATTCGCAGTTAAACTTCCAGGCAGTAACAGAATGAATGGGCGTCCCCTTCCACCCAACAATCAAGCTCTTCCCGTCCACACCAATCGTGCAATGCCTCCAACAGGTAAACTTCTTGGTGACGAGCTCCGCCTGGTACAGGCAAGACAGGCTCAGATCCGCCTCTTCCATTCCGAACCTCCTGAAATAAGCCCTCCACACCTCCATCTTCACGCTCCTGAACGCCCTCTCCTCCCCTTCCGCCGCGACGATGATCCTGCTCCCTTCCCCGAACACGGTCAGCTCCACGAACCGCCGGTGTGGGCTGTCCCGGTCCATGCAGGCCTCCAGGCAGTCGAAGTAGGCGCTCGCGTAGAACAGCGACTCGACGAACCGGTTGATCAGGACGGGCGAGTTGTGGTTCGATTCGACCTCAGTCACCACCATGACGCAAGGGTTCAGGGTCGCGATCGTCTTCATCACACGGTCCAGCTTGTCCGAGTGTGCGACCAGAGTGGTGAGGAGGTACTCCGACAGGACGGCGACCGCCTCGCCGGGCTCCACCGCCAGCGTGTCCTCCTTGAGGTCGGCGAAGTCGTCCAGCATGACCAGGTTGAATGAGAATGGCAATGCCATTGTCCTTGCAAAGTCGACCAACCTGGTTTAGGTTAGACCATATACGTTATTAGTTAGTTTGTAGTATTACCAAAAACATGTAGAGCATAAGGGAATGATACGTACGTGTACATATTAATAATTAGGGGAATGGGACATGTTATCAGGTTTCAAAGAAAGACTCCGAACTTCAAACTCTCCGAATAGGTACAAACAATCTTGAACGAAAAAACAGCTAGTACAATGTTTGAGTTCTCACTCTCTCAAAAACTTTATCAATCCTATGTTTGGCCCGACTTTTAGAAGTGCTTTTCGGGTTCAAAAGGTGAAGTAGGGTCAAACACCTGTAAAAGTTTGGCTTTTGAAGAGCCGAAAAGCGCTTTTGTATAACATAAAAACAGAAACTCCGATTTGGAGGTTCTGCGAAAAGCTATTTTGAAAATACAAGATTATCCTTACCATATTTTAATTTTATTTCAGAAAATATAATTTTCCTTCATTTATATCATTTTAAAAATAAAATAAATTATAAAATCATATTATTTAACATAAAAGAAATCTAAAAAGATCCATTTTGACTACTTTTTATTGTTTAGAATTTTTATTTTATTTTATATTATAAATCCTTTATAGTCATTTTACAAAATCTCTCACATTAAAAAACACTTTTAATAGTTTTACAGCCAAACACTCAATTGCTTTTTTTGAAAAATATTTATCTAAAAGCTCTAGCCAGAAGCTGCTTCTGCAAAAGCTACAGCAGGGCCAAACTAATATTCCATAATAAAGCGTGCATACCTAGCAAAAGGAAAAAATCGCACCAAGGGGTGGCGGAGGTGGTAAAGAATTCAAGATTATATTAAGGATATCATGCGTTCGATCATTGACTCAGCCACTTCTGCGTTATTCATCCTTGATGGCCATCGGCAAGACTGTGTGGCCTAATCAAACACTCTCACAGATGACCAGGTATTTATGGGATTAGGATTTGCTGCTGTAAGATGGATTTCTCCTGGTTTGGGGGGGGGGGGGGGAATTGCACTCGATGCCAACCAACAAAAACTCTCTTATGACGGAAAAGTGAAACTCTTCTTCTATTATGCTTTAGAAGCGTCTTCCCAATGGACATGCGACACGTGGCTGTTTGACCGATGGTTTACATTTTTTAAGGCAACTCCCGACCGATATTTTCTTTGGTAACTTATCTGGGTGTTCTGTTGATGGCCATCGGCAGGACTGTGTGACCTAATCAAACACTGTCACAAATGACCGGGTATGTATGTGATTAGGATTTGCTACTGTAAGATGGATTTCTCCTTGTTTGGGGGGGGGGGGGGGGGGGGAATTGGGAAAAAAATTGCACTCAATGCAACCAACACAAACTCTTTTATGAGCATACTTACTAATATAAGGTTGGCATACATCAGTATGTGTTAAAATGTTTCCTCATAATTTCAATGTATACTACATGTATGATTACATTAGATTAATGTTGTCAAAGTTTAACTATTTTTAAGTAGGACGATATGAAAATCCATGTGTATGTTATGTAGTATCTAGTACATGACTTTTTTTTATGTGATTCCGCATGAATGATATTCATTATTATCAAATGTGTTACGGAAAGAAAATTTGGCACTAGTTTACAGTGTATTTCCATGCAGCAACATACCTCTGGGCAGTCTCTTCCATAACGTCTCTCGACCTGATCCCGACCGCGCTGATCTTCAAATGATCCACCGATTGAACCTCGTCCCTGGAGACCAACGCCTGCATGAATATCGTCCACTGCTCGCCATTCTTTATATTAAAGTCCACAATATGAATCCTCCTCGAACCACACACACTGTCCACCACGGCCTGAATCGCCGCGAACTCCGACACCTGCCCGAAGGGCACCTTGTCGTAGAACTCGAGAAAGCACCTCCTGGGGAACATCAGGATCTCCTCCACCTTCTCCGGCCCCGCCAGACTACAGCACTGCTGCTGCTTCCCGGTCTCGCGGTCGGTCTTCTCCCGAAGCGCCCGGCCGAAGTAGTGGACCAGCCGCTGGACCGGGTCGCCCTCGGGGTCAGACCGGAGCTCGCACTCGGTCAGCAGAATGCTTGCCTTATCGTACTGCCCGTCCCCGACTTTTTGGGCCGCGGTCAGGAGGGACTCCGCCAGCTCGACGCTCCTCGCCTCCTCGTCGGACAGGCCGACGGCGAAGGAGAGTTCGTCGAGTGGCGGGTTGTTGTTGTTTGTGTTGTTAGTGTTACTACCGCCGCCCGGTTTCCACGACGATTGGATGAACCTGGCTCCGGCGATTCGGAGGAGATCTTCGGTGGACGGCCTGCCGGAATCTTCCTCCTCCGCCGCCGACTGGATCGTGATGTTGCTGCTGTTGGGTCTGTGGCTGATCGGGGCTCCGGATCGCAGGAGGTCGAATAGAGCTGCGGAGGAGGAATGGTCGGGATTCGGGGCGTGGTGGAGGATTGGTGGTGAAGCGTCGTCGTTTAGAAGGAACTGCCTTTGGGTGAAGATCCCGTCGAGCTCGGTGGTGGTTTGAGGGAGGAGCTGATGAGAAACGACGTCGTTGCAGTTGGAGAAGGGGAATCGGCTGTCTTGGTCGGAGGAGTCGGAGAAGAGGTGGATCGGGTCGGGTCTGGAGGACCAGCCCGCGAACAAGCTGAATGGGTCGGATTGGCTTCGGTCCTCACCGCCATTACCATAGTTGTTGAATGCGTCACCCATTAATTTGGTGTTGGAATTTTTTGTTCCTTAGCTGTAATCGCAGTGTTTATTTCGGGAAAGCAGCCGTCCGTCGCCGCAGCTATTTATGGGTTTGAATGTTTTTTTCCGGGGGTCATAGTTCAAATGAGCCCCTTAAATTTTATGTTTTTTTTATATGGACCTAACAGAGTCTTAATTCGACAAATTGGCACTCTTTTGGCTCCTAAAAATATGTCGATTTACTTTTGTTATAAACTTCAAGCAATTACTAACGTATTGACTTCGACTGCATGTCATTTGAGCAATTGAACATGAGAGATTTCAGTTGAGTATATATACGTAGTTGGGTTGGGATGTCGTCATTACGATTATTCTGTTTGCGTAATACACATTTCTAACTCCTTAGACGATACTACTACTAGCACTCTACCTGATATTTCAATGATTGTGGTGTATATATTGGTGTTGTTATCGCGATGCGGAAGTACACATAATGAAGGGTCCAGTTAAGACTGATACTACGTATAACTTCATTTGTCGTACTAAAATACAGTGAATTGAACTTTTGAAGTTATCTTGGCTTGTACATATAAAAGTTTTGCGGATGGATTTGAATATACTATGTAGCTTATGGGACTTCATTTGACCAAACCATGAGAGTTGAAGGGGTCATATACAATTTCACCATTTCTTTTAGAACCTTGTTTTGCCGTCCAAAATTCCCACTTCTCTACACATGATGTTAAGAATCTTTGACCCCTTGTCCCAACGATGAGCTCAATGTTTAGTTAGATGATGATAAGAGTTTTTCTTTTCTTTTCTATTCCTGTTTATGAATTAGATATATAAATATTGTATTTTTTAGAATAATTAGCTAATGTTTTTTTTTTTCAGAACGAATAATTAGATAATGGTACCGCCAAGTAATAGAGAACAGAATTGTGCGCATGCCACGTGAGACACGAGCTTAGACAGTGGGCTTCAAGAAGTGGCGGACCCAGAAATTTTCCATAGGGGTGTCCTCTTTTAAAAAATAAATTTAATAAAAATACAATCGTAAATATGAAAATACTAGGGATGGCATTGGGTCGGGTCGGGGACGGATAGCGCATATCCGTTACCCTACCCAAAGTAGTTTGGGTTTTACCCATACCCATACCCATACCCTTATAAGAAACGGGTAGAAAATCCAAACCATGCCCATACCCGTTTGGGTTTCGGGTATCCACGGTTAACCATGGGTAATGGTTTCTCTTTATAACTTCAACCAATATAATAATATTCACACGTATTCTCACGTTACGTTAGACGAAAAGTACGACAATTGTTCACTAGAATGAACAAAATTAATTAAAATAACACAATTTAAAAATATTATATTTATATGCTAAATAAAAAATATGTTAGAGAAAAATATTGATTATTTCTAGACAAAATACATATGCATGTGTATAATCGGGTTTTACCCATACCCACTAAAAGTCATTCGGGTTCGGGTTTTATCCTACCCGATTAGGCCGGATTCGGGCGGATATCCACGGTTACGGATATTTTTGCCATCCCTAGAAAATACCTTACTCGTACAGGTTAAAAAAAGTCCATGATGTGTTTTCATATTCGAAAATAATTGTAGAATACACTTGGTGTTTATAGTGTTAAAAAAAATTTCTCTATATACCCTACTAGACAATCATTCAGGAACTTATCGCATATTCGATTTGTAAACTTGTTTTTGATGTAACCCAAAGCTGAAAGACTATTCAACACTTGTCGTACAATCATAAAATCAATACAAATTAAGGGTAGATTGAAATTAGTTTAGATTGAAATAATTAGAGATAGGGAATGACTTTTTACTATTACACGTTGTTCAAAATCGAACACCAAATGAGTTATAGCTCAACGGAAATTAAGTTTATTAGTAATAATAGTGTTCTATATTTGAATTACCCAACCTACCATTTATATTTTTATACACAAATGACAGTAGGATAATCATTTTTTCAAATTTCAGGGGTGTCCCTCACTATCAAATATTTTTTTTTTTGTTTATACGTAAATTATCACCGAGGGTTGGATAATCATTTTCCCGAAATTTAGGGGTGTTCGGGGACACCCCTAAAACCCCCTGGTCCGCCCCGCCTCCAAGTGTAGGCGAGTTCCCCAATTTCTCATCATAATGAGATGAGTTGTTGTTTTGTGTAGAAAACGATGGATCGAAGCTAAAGTGTACATGATTTTCATTCCTTTGTTAAGTTTTCAGAAGAAAAAGAATAGTATTTATTTCTCGTTTCATATTGAAGAGGCGAGAACAAGTGGTTAACAACATTGGACGTTTCCCAACGAACAAGAGTCCAGACTCCAGACATGTATAATTTTGCTTCTTTATTAATTTCTTAATGAATTATATTCCATTTATCTTAGTTTGACTTTTAGTTTCTTTTATGCAGAAAAATAAATAAATTATATTCTCATAGATTATATTCATTTTGATATATTTTAATAGAAAGGTTTATGTAACATCAGAAAAGAGTTAGGGTGCTAACACTTAATTTGTTAACATTGTGCTAATACTGGCTACAACCAATAAGAACATTTCGTTTTAATAATTTTTATATTTTAATGGGATACCACAATTAATGTTAACTTATAAAGGGAGGGGCATGCTTGTCATTATTAATATTTGGGGGATAATGCGTAGTAAATATACTAGCGTTGTATTCCATAGGGTCTTATAGTAACTATTCAAATCTAACTACTTAAATTGAGTATGCAATGCAAGTCATGAAGATTATTATACTTAAGATTTTACACGTAAATTTTGATTATAACACTAAACAAACCTATTATATCATGAAGTAAGGCTGGCAAATCGATTGTCGGTTAGCGGTTAGCCGTCGGTTGTAACCGATAACTGACTAACAAAAAACCGGCAAAAACCGACCTCAATCGGTGTTCGGATGCCCATCAGAGAGCTCCGGTTAGCCGAATAACCGGGAATGATTAACCGCGGCTAACCGACCCTCATCGAAAATCCCCTTCTCACCATCCAAAAATCGCAGAAAACCCTTCACTCTAAATCAAATAACCTAATTCAACGACCCTTCCCCTCCCCCATCTCCCCGATCTCGCGCCACGCCGCGCCTCACCTCCGACTCCACCCAGTTCTCCTACGAACCTCCTCCACCTCTGCATTCGTCATCGTCGATTAGTAGAGCAGGCGAGCCTCCGCCTTCGCCCAACTCTCGTCCCCTACATCCGTTGCGCGTCCGCCGACTCCATCGTCGCCGTCGTCGAGTATTAGCGAAGGCGAGCATCAACTCCACCTCCTCCGCTTCGAAGGACGGTCTTCCTCGCGAGATTGCCTCCCCCTATGCCCAAATCTTGTCCCTGATTCAAGTCGCACCTCCGCTTCCGCCTCTATCGTCGACGTCGAGCAGCAACTTCAGCGAGATCCGTGTAGATTAATGGCAGTTGTGAGGGTAGAGAAATAGATCTCGTGAACGGAGAGGGAGGATGAATGATTTTTTGGGGAGAGGAAAGGGTAGAAGGAGATGAGAACAAGGGAAGGATCGAGGAAAGGGTAGAAGGATCGAGAAAGGGTAGAAGGAGATGGGAACAGGGGGAGGAGGAATGATTTGTTGCTCTTACCACGGTTAAACCGTCCTAGAATCGAAAACTGGTCGGTCGGTGGTCAGCTAACCGTGACTCCCTTCACCGTCGGTCGTCGGCAGACATAGGGGACGACTCAGTTTAACCGAAAACCGACCGACTGCCACCCCTATCATGAAGTCAACAAAGATATATCCAAACTCATACCCGCCCAATTAATCCATAAGATAGAGTACAATATTTTCCATATCATTATTCTCTAACTCTGATACATCTACTATAAGTAATAATTTAATAGCTTAATTTGATTAACAAGAGGGACAGTGAAGGAATGAAAGGAGAATTGAGAGAAAGAAATTATGTTTTGATTGAGGTGGCTATCACCCACTCAATTGCATTTCTACTGTTTATTTCCTTAAGTTAGTTTTACTATCATTGATAGGTTACAATTTTATCCATGTATTTTTTATATGTTAAAAAATATTTTCTTTTAAAATTGAACACCATTTACCTCTCATTATTTCACTATCCTAAAATTTTGACTCCCTCTCAGGGGCGGAGCTAGGATTTGGCGGTCAGGGGGCCGGATTTCTTACTCTATAATCGCGAGAAGACGTTAAAATTAATTAAAATAATCAGGGAAAACAGATTTGTTATATTATTATAACTACACTTTTTTAAGATGGTTAAAATAACTCCAAATAAGATCTAAAGTTCAAATTTCTAACATGATAGGTTCATTATATATTAAAATAAAAAATCAATTAGAATGTAATTCAATGTAGTGTAAGTGTGTAAAACATTTCATTTTCATTCAAAATAAGATTTACACTAATAGCATGACATGTTTAATATAAAAATTAGAAACAAACTAACAAGTTAATAATGCATTTCAAGTCAATATTATGTAACTCATTCTAATTTCATAATTTAAAAATAAATACCTAATAACTCAGTTTAATATCACAAATTACATATATTTTTAAAAGCAAACTATTTAATAGGGTTCAGTTTAATATCACAAATTACAGATTTTTTTAAAAGCAAACTATTTGTGAAGAGTAGGTTTCGAACCCAAGACTCCAAAAAAATAAGCAAACACTACATCCGCTGGACTTCCAAGTATTATTTTGTTAGTTTGGTGCACTGTAACATATTTAATTGTTCTTAAGTTTATACGAAAATCTCTAAATGCTCGGAATGTTTACACGTAGCTTACGAAATTCTCAGGACCCCCCCCCCCCCCCCGAGAGCCTACCTAGCTCCGCCCCTGCTCCCTCTGTACATTTTTCTTTCCTCCCCATCTTTCGTGGAAAAGAAGGTCGAGTCGCACCGGGCCTGTAGATATTTAGGGCAAGCTTACACCCCTAGTAGGACTACATACAATTGATTTTCCTCTTACTTTGAAAATACAAGGATCTTACACAGCTTGAGTTGATTTTCTTTTATATATATAGGGAGTTCTACGGTACCCAGGGTGAAATCCGGGGTACCGCATATCTTGAGTAAGAAAACGCTATCCAGAACTTTGAATTGACTGATCTTTCGGACATGATACTATACTCTAACCCTTAAAGATCAAAATCTAGGTCTTAATTTTTTAAATCTTATACCCCAAGATCAATTTAATTAGAAACAATAATCGACGGTTATGATTCATCCAAATATAGGCAAAAATATAAATGCACACCTTAGGGTTTATAGTTTATGATTTAGATAATTAGGACTTAGGGTTCACTCATTAAGGGTTAGAGTATAGTATCATGCCAGAAAGTTCTGCTAATTTGATGTCTAGATAGCGTTTTCATACTCAAGGTATGCGGTACCCCGGATTTCACACGGGGTACCGTAGAAGGCACAATATAAAAAATATATATATATTTTAGACTAGTGTACTACTGGAGTATACTATACTTCAGGTACTTTTAATGAGATATCTCTTTCTTGACCATGATTTTAACCGAGTTTCGGGTATGATATTATACCCTAAACTCTAATGGATAGACCATAGGCGCCGGTTCTCTAAACTCAAACCCAAAGTTCAATTTAATGGAAAATTTATAATTGACCGTTGAGATTGGTCGGAGCTCAACAAAGTACATCTAACGGCTAGATTGTTGTGGTGATTGCAAAAGAATTGAGGTGGCAAAAAAAAGCACCAATACAATTACTTTTACAATTGTATTGATGTGGATGATGTAATACCCTAGTAATTATAAAAAGAGATGATGTGCCTAGTTTTGCAGCCATATATGTATTTGATATGCAACATTTTAAAGATGAAATTGCCTTCTTATCAACATCAATAATGAAATTTGCATAATTCAATTGCATGAGCGTGTCAGATATACAATTCCACTTGAAATCCCATTAAATTGTGCCCTCACTAGGAAGTAGTAAGCTAGCAGTTTTATGAACGTACGTAGGCGTCTCTCTCAGATTCCCTGAGCCGCATAAGCAAAGGGGAATGGATAAGGTCAGTAATCTTATGGTGAGTAACCATCAATAACCCGCTCACATCAGCATCCCTCTCTCTTCTGGAAAGTCTTTAATTTTTCACTCCTTAATCTTTGACGGACGATTTCTCACTCGTTTTAAGTCGAATTTTTTTTTTGCACGGGTAGATCAGATTAATTGTGCTCTTCAAAATGATATCAACTTTGATATATTTCGAACAAAAAAATTGAGCCATTTTTTACTAGTCTATACCATATGGTATTGGCTGGTATTGAAATAAGAGCATACCTATGGTTTGAAAAGCGTACCATGGTGGTATGAACAAACCAAGACTGTAGGATGGTTGAATAGATGATAGTAGAAGTATATTAACTGTCATTTACGACTTTTATCATTGTGTACCACAAGATACCACCCCGTACCAGGGTGGTATTGTATGGTATTGTGTGGTATTTTTTGTTCATGTAATTTTTTCACCCAGAAATTTTTAGATCCAATAGATCATGATGAACTCGTCCCTTCTGTGCAAACATTTTCAAAAACGAATTAAAAACGACGAAAATACCATATGGTATGCAGTTGGTACAGAGAGGTCATAATTTTTTTTTCTAAAAAAATATTGAAAATTGATCTCATTTTGTAGAGCACGATGAACTCGTTCCATCTATGCAAAAAAAAAAATCCGAGTTAAAACGAAAAAGATATGAGCCGATTAAGAAAGCTAGGGAAAATAAAAATGGTCTTTAATTCTCCATCCTTAGATCTGGATTTTTTAAATGGAGGGTCCAGATTTGGTTATTGATGGGTACATAACCATGAGTCTAAGCAAAAGCCAAATCCGACGGACACAAATAGGAAACCGCAGTTCATCCCAAAAGAAAAAAATCCATTTAGTAGCCAAACGGTGATTAAACAAGAGGAATCCAAACATTCTTGTACACCTTAACGAGGCTGATCAAACATATTCATTGATCTTCTTCATTTTATCATGTTTAACATTGGAACATATGAACAGTATCGCAGGTCGTGATGAGATGTGCGTCCTACCTTACACCTTGATATTGTAGTAGGAACTACACATGTGTTTTCCGGCTAGTTAAAACTTGTGTTTGAACACAATGATTTGCACCTTGACTTCTTGAACAACGATTAATAACACGTGTCACTTCTCTCCGAACAATGTTCGAACGAGGGTGTTTGATGTTTTTGATGGTTTTTGGGAACAATCTAAGTTACTCTACTCCTATGGAGGTTCAGTGAGAGCTCCGAAAATCTAAAAGCTGATTTGCAGAGAAAATATAAATTTTGACATTGTGCGTCAAATGTTTGGTTGTGGAACCCTTGCTTCATCTTCTTTTCTGCTATTTATAGTCATCCCTTGTAACCGTCCTGCAACCGCCTCTTGGTAACCGCTGCTCCATTGCTTGGTGTTTGATGTAGCTTGCTTGACGCCTTGACTGTCTTGCTTGCTTGCCACTTGATAGCTAACACCTTGTGCCATGGAGGTATCTTGTTTGGTGAGTGAAGGCTTCACGCTTGGTGGTACTCGTGCTAACCACCTTGACATGATGTCATGCTCGACACCAGGGTGCTTGGGGGTTCGATGGATCCGCACTGACCCACTTGGGGTGGCGTCAATCTTGACACCCTAGGGTGTGGTATCCGGTGCTTGACCCCCTTGGACGGTTGGATCTCCATACTTAGCCGAATTTTGGCTTTCTTCACCACAATGGTCTAGGGACTCGCGTTGCGCTTCTTCCATTGCCAACATGATTGATACCCAGTAGGCGGCTAGACCCCCTTGCTTCTCGTCATACTCGACTCACCTTGGATGGTATCATGCATGACCCCCTTGGACGATGACATGCATAACCCCCCTGGTGCAAGGTAGGTAGATGGCATAGTGCTTGACCCCCCTGGGATGATGTCATGTATGACCCCCCTTGTGCTATGGGTCTCAACACTTAGCCAAATTTTGTCTCTCTTTGCCACCACAACTAGCTCGCGGTGACCCCCCTTGTGGTTGGGTCTCCACGACTTGGGTGGTTGATGTTGAAGGGTGTCAATGCTTGGCACTTGACCCCCCTTGCGTGATGGGTGGGTATTTGGTGGGTCAAGTGGTGTGTGTTGAGGAACCTGGTATGAAGCTCAAAATACCATCATTTAGGCCCAGGTTAAACCAATTTAATTAATATGGTTAAGTTGACCTTATAAATCACTACCACTCTTTGAAAATAATCAATGTGGTATTGAGTGATTTTTTAGTGGTAAACAAATGCCCCCAACTACTTAGTGTATAAGGATTATGGACTAAGTAGTTAACGTCAACTACACCACTAAAAAAAATTGCTCGTTGGTTTCAATAATAAAAACCAAAATGCACTAAACCACCCCTGCAACATATCCAACCGTAATTATCATTGGCTTTGATAATTAAAAGGCCAAAATCAATAACTGCCTCCACTATTCTATCACAACATGCCCTCCGTGTCATGCTAGCTATGCAAGCTCTGTCCACAAAGAGGGTGTCATGTCATGCCTACCATGAGGATGGTTGGTTAACTTTGAACCCGTTGATACCCCTTGCCTCAAAGAAAAAAGGACATAAGGCTTGAGATACTTGCATTGATCAACCGATCATATAGCACCCGATCCTCTTTCAATAAGTATGCATCCTTAGACATGTGGCCTGGAAGGTACATGATCCATGACGGACAGTCAGTCAGCTAGTCATGCCATGAAGTGACATGGTGTACTCAAATGAGCGTAAGGGGCTCCATAGACCCAACCATCCGATTCATTGTTTACCAGTCATGGCAAAGTCTTCACATCGCAAGTCTTACAACTCTAATTTCTTTTTTTTAGCCATGATTGGCTTTTTTCTCTTATTTTACTAGTATTTATTTATTTATTTTAATATAGCAAAGAGTGACATGCATCACTGTTCTCCATACCCTTTGGCCACCACAAACGTGCCAAAGGTGTATATCCACTACCAAGTCAATGGATTAAACCAGACAACCCATCCATAGACCACATGCTTACTCTTCTTAGAAAGAGATGGCTCCTTATCAGTTGGTTTTGAATTTCCCAACTCAACCATGGATTGTGCTCGGTCCACTTGTCTTGCCTTGGTGTCCTTGTAGGTGGTCTCACGATCCTCTGCCTTAGCCACCTTACTAGACATGTTGGGTTGATGTTGAACCTTATATGCTTGTCTCGTTTCTCGTGATACTCTAGGTATTCTTAACTCATTGGGCTCATGAAAGAGACCACGAGTTTTTATATTCTTTGGTTCACCACAACCATGCTTGTTCATCCCGTATAGCTGGGAAGAGGAATGGTTGGACTCAAGGAATCGATGACCATCCTTGTGGCCAACATGGCCCTGTTCAACCCTTACGCCATGCTGACTTCTACACGTAGCACATAATGAATTTTGGTTCTTTGTATGACCATGTTTGGTTATTGTATGCCGAGATGTCTTATTCGTGCCTTCTTGTTTGCCATTCATGTTTGGCATGCAATGGGGGGCTTTAGGCATGGACTTGCTTCCTCGTCCATCCCTTATCACCATCTCATACTTAGAAATTTTTTGAGTGGGTTGGGTGTGATGAACACTCCTAGACTTGTTCTCCACTCGTTTCTTCACTGTCGGTGACATGCCCCCCTTTCCACTGGTTGGAGACATGCCCCCCATAGCCTTGTTCATGGTTTTTGACGTGCCTCCTTTGCCAAACTCAACTACACTACCATTCTTACTACAAGCATGTGTGGCTTGGGTTTGTTGTGGCTTCTTGGGCATATGTATCTTTCTATTGTTTATGGTTGATGATATGCCCCCTTGTCGACCCTTCATGGGTGGCATGCTACAAGGGGCCTTGCCTCCTTGTGCACTCTTTGACACGTTGTCAAAGTTATGAAAATCATAGGTGGTATGGGTAGGCAACACCCACTTAGACTTGCCACTCAATCCATCCTTCATGTCTGATGACATGGCCCCCTGCCCACTGCATGGAGATGGAGATATGCCCCCCATGCCATCCTTAGGAAACAAATATGGTGTTTTGTTGGACACACCATTTTGTTCACCTTTCTTGACATCAACTTGCCCCCCAACCTGACTCTTCATCTTCAACTTGTCAGGTGGTAGGCTTCCATGCACCTCTTCCTGCCCCCCTGGTGGTTTGCATCCACCAGAACGCTTAAGCATCAATGGCAACGAGGGTAGGCAAACTTGTGGTAGCACATCCATAGCTAGTGACCCTCCACCAACTCTCATGTTCAAGAATGGTCTAGCCTCTGAGACAGTTTTTAGAATAACTGTATGCACAGGCGGCGGTTGCTTTACATGGGTGGTGAATGAGTTAGTAATATTCTTGTCATAACCGCCTTGTTGAAGAGGTGGTTGACTCATTTCCGGAGGCGGTAAGTTCCCTGACCGTGGCTGGGTAGTCCGGCCACCGGAGAGCAGGATACTTGTATACTCAGTAGCAATACTTGGTGGCGGATCTATACCATTTTTTGGTAAAGAAATTTCTCGCACCACTGGTTCTATAAAATATTTTTTAAGCTTATCCAAGCAATTTGTATTTCCTGTAGTTGCTTCAAGCAATTCATCCAAACGTCTATCTAACATAGAACTAAAAGAAGCAAGTTTTAGACTTGTCTGTTGTGAACTTCTAACAAGTCCATTCAAACTCTCTTCCATCAATCGACGGATCTCCACCATCACTTGACGGTTCTCCACCACCATCTTGCAGTTATCATCCACTATTGAGCGGAGTGACATGGCAGTGGTGGTTACATCGGCACAAGGTTCCGCCGGTGGCAATATCTCAATCATGCCATTGTTTCCGACAAAACCTTTTGCTTGTTGGCCAAGTTCAAACTTGGCGCCTAGATCCATCACAAACCTAGGTGAAAGATCACCTTCTTGTTCTCTCAGTCGTGGAGCCATCAAATCAAACACAATAGTCCCACCAGGTGTGCCAATTTGTTTTCCGGCGAGGAAAAACTTGTGTTTGAACACAATGATTTACATCTTGACTTCTTGAACAACGATTAATAACACGGTTCACTCCTCTCCGAACAATGTTTGAACGAGGGTGTTTGATGGTTTTTGGGAACAATCTAAGTTACTCTACTCCTATGGAGGTTCAATGAGAGCTCCGAAAAACTAAAAGATGATTTGCAGAGAAAAGATAAATTTTGACATTGTGCGTCAAATGTTTGGTTGTGGAACCCTTGCTTCATTTTCGTTTCTCCTATTTATAGCCATCCCTTGTAACCGTCGTGCAACCGCCTATTGGTAACCGCTGCTCCACTGCTTGGTGTTTGATGTAGCTTGCTTGACGCCTTGATTGTCTTGCGTGTTTGCCACTTGATAGCTAACCCCTTGTGCCATGGAGGTATCTTTTTTTGGTGAGTGAAGGCTTCACGCTTGGTGGTATTCGTGCTAACCACCTTGACATGACGTCATGCTCGACACCAAGGTGCTTGGGAGTTCGATGAATCCGCACTGACCCCCTAGTGTGTGGTATCCGGTGCTTGATGCCCTTGGACGGTTGGATCTCCATACTTAGCCGAATTTCTGCTTTCTTCACCACAATGGTCCAGGGACTCGCATTGTGCTTCTTCCCTTGCCAACATGATTGATAACCAGTAGGCGGCTAGACCCCATTGCGTCTCGTCATACTCGACTCACCTTGGATGGTATCATGCATGACCCCCTTGGACGATGTCATGCATGACATGACTCACCTCAAATGGTATCATGCATGACCCCCTTGGACGATGTCATGTCTGACCCCCCTTGTGGTTGGGTATTTGGTGGGTCAAGTGGTGTGTGTTGAGGTATCTGGTATGAATCCCAAAATACCATCATTTAGGCCCAGCTTAAACCAATTTAATTAATATGGTTAAGTTGGCTTTATAAATCACTACCGCTCTTTGAAAATAATCAATGTGGTATTGAGTGATTTTTTAGTGGTAAACAATATGAAATAAAAATTTTATTTCATGAATGTCGTGGAACATTGCAACGTCCCGAATCGGTTTGGTATGTAGCCGATCGAATAATGGCATGATTCCGCCCTGCAATTTTTAATCCTATTTCTTTTGTTAGAACTTCCGTCGGTAATTAAGTAAGGCATCTGTTAGCTACCCATTGTCGTCAAGGGAAACAGAATAATAGATAAGCATTTCACAGCAAAAAAAGAAGAAGAAAGGACTATATTAATGTTCCAGACTTCCAGCCATTCAACTCATAAGAAGAAAACAATAATATTCCATCCATTCTGAACGCAACCCTTCCATTTTTTTTCTTTCTTAGAGATGGAAAATCATGACATTTTCTCTCTCAGTGCTTCGTCACCGGGACAAGATCCTCCTAGGCCCGACAAAGCTCAAACGATAGTTCCATTGTCAGTCGAAGATCTGGTTCGGATTGCGGCGTCCAAGTTCGTGCAGTCCCGCTCGAACGATACGCCGCCGTTTGATCATCAGCTCTCGGAGGATGAATCCGAGAGCGTGGAGCTCGCCCACCTCCTCTTCGAAGCTGCGGATAAAGTGGGCGACCGCATATTCGACTCCTCCAGCAGTGCGATCGCATATTCGAGCAAGATTGTTGTGGCGATTGAAGGACGAGAGAGGATTATTAGAAACATGAAGGTGGATGTTTGGAGGACTTATTTCCAACGTTACGGAATGTGGGAGGCGGAGCTCAGCCGGTCATACGAAGCAGAGCTTGTGACGAAACGACTGTCAAGTTGGAGTACTTGTACGGTTGGGATGGATGTAGAGGTGACAATTGGATCAGATTCGTGGATTCGTAGATTGGATTGGTGGATCCATGGATTAAATGGATTGGATCCAATGGATTGGTGGATTCATGGATTGGTTGATTGATCCATGAATCCAAATGACATCCAAGGCTTGGACCAAAATGTAAAATTTGAAAAGTTTTGGTACTAAAATGTCATAATGAAAAATTTTAGGTACCAAAATGTAATTTTCCAATGATATTTTTCGTATAAAAATATAAATTTTAGGTACGAAAATGTAAAATATAAAAATATAGGTACCAAATCGTAATTTGTCATTTGGATCCATGGATTGATCCATGAATCCACCAATCCAATTAGATTTGGATCAAATGGATTGGATTTTGTAAGATTTGATAGCGCGGAAGAGAGAACACTTTGGTTTACGTGGTTCTTGCCGATCAGAGTGATCGACCTTACATCCACGGAGAACAGTCTCAAGTTTATTATTGGTGCAGTACGTATGGCTGCTGCTTACATACGAATGACCAAGACTCCTAGCTATTTATACCCTCCGACTTAGTACACGGGTAGGGTTTATTGTGCATAATTATAAACTAGTCACTAAACTAAGTAACTGAAAACAATACAGCCCAATAGATTTAAATGGATTGGATTAGGTGGATAATTTGGTGGATGGATTGGATTGGATTTATGGATTTGAATCCTAATTGCCACCTCTAGATGGATGGCAAGAGCTTGATTGTTGGATGGAAGGGTACGCCCATTAAATCAGTTACATTTTGGAAGTTCTAGTCGCTTGAGTTTTCTCCTTTTCTCAACGTGAAGAAAATTGCAAACCTCTTTATAAATATCTCACTCTCTTTTACCAACACACTAAGAAGTAGTCAGGTGTAAACTAAGGGAATAAACAAAAGCATTCTATTCGAATTCAATATTTGAGAAAGATCGCTCATGTAATTGTCCCCCTAACATGTAGTTAGGTTAAGTGGTAATTTCCTTTAATTCATTTTCATTGACATTTAAATTGTCAAATGTCATGAGATTGTCTGAAATCTTGACTAAACAATTCAAATCATCTTGAATAGAGTTCTTAGAGGGAGATTATCCTCAACCGGAATAAACTACCAAGGCAAATCAAATAGACTTCCACTATTGAGTTTTGAATCTAGTATAGAGCAATGAGTCGATTCACTCACGTGCAATTGATCCACTACTTGCAATTCAATTAGTCTTCATCTAACTCCGTTAATGGAGTCTCTTATGTGCTGGCGTGGCAAATAAAATCGCCTAGTCAACGCGTTTCTATTATTACAAACAAACAGTGAAATTGTCATATTATTTAAGTTTTATTTTCTATTATTACAAACAAAATTATATCATTAAACTTGTAAATATGTATGGATGGCAAGAACGTTTAGAGCTAAAAATGAAATATTTGATTTGACAAATAGTGGGTCTGTCATAATATTTAAATTTGTATATCTATTGTGACATAAGAATTTGGCCATATAAACTTGTAAATATACATGTAATAAGACAGTTTATTTTGCTACAGAGTTTTGTGCAAATTTTGATTTGATGGAACTAGTGATGGGAAACAAAAAAATCTAACATGTGACAAAATAATAGGTTTGTCACAGTATATGCTAGTTGATATTAATGTTAACAAACAATTTTGACGTATTAATTGATGAATACAATTTTAAAACGACGAAACCCTAAACCATGACAAAAACCCTACACTATGACAACTAACCTATTGGAGAAGGTGATATATATATATATATATATATATGTCAACCCATTCATAAGTTACATCCTCTTCAAGTATATTGAAGTTGGTCTCTCATACCTACTGACTTTGTTAACACACATAGTGTTAGTGGCCACACAAATCTTTGTTGCCTTTAATTTCTTACATTGTCGATTTCTCATTCCGTTATAACAACCCTATCCCTAAACTCTAAACTCAAAATCCTAAATCATGAACTATGAAAAGAATCGTAAACCTAAATTCTAAACCATTTCTTTTAATTATCTTTATTATGTTTTTTTTCCAGTTCAGTTATTATTGTTTTTATTACCTAGTTCTACCCTGAAATTCCTTTGTAAGTATATCTATCATCAATCATTTACTTGCTCAAAGAAAAATTTGTTAAAACTTAAAAGTAGTGATCCTTCCACTATTTCTTTTGAGTCAATCTAATAATTTACAAAAACATATTGTGCAGTTTTTTTATATAATCGTTATTGATCAATTTTACAGTTCTATTTGATCCAATTTTGGTCAACTTGTTGAAAAAAACAGAACTGTTTTTATCAGCAGAGTACACCCTCTAACATCTAGCCAACTACTTCTACAGTTTTATACAAAAACCAGGTGACGATGTCGCGTCTTGTCGCGGGAGGAGATGGCCTATCAGCATGTATTATGTGACCCGTTATGGTGTTTTGTTAGTATTATTAGTTTAAAATTAATTTTTTGTTAGCAGTTTTGTTAATAATATTGACTTGACAATATGATATTGAATAAGAAAAGATATATGACAGTCAACATCCAATTTCAAATATTTAAAATTTTGGGCTAATAAACTATATTTACCTAAACCCAAGTAGACCCATTGATTATGGGTAGGGTATGGGTGGCTTATATATGAGTTTGGAAGTTGAAGATGAGTTTGGGTAGGGTATGGATATTTACTTCCATAATCTAAATGTGTATGAGTTGGGTTTGGATACCCATTTATTCGAATGTGTTTTAATTACACATACAGAAATTAGAACTATTTGTAGAACTTCAAAATTTTAGGTACCAAAATGTAGTAAAAACAATTAGGTACTAAAATGTATTGTTCCATCAATATTTTGATTTTTGAGGACTTGTATGCTAAAAAAATAAATTTAGGCTATAAATCTAAGATCTATTAAGTTTAGGTACTGAACTATAATTTGCATAGTTGAGGCTTAATTCCTTTTACGGTGATGTATTTAAGATGATAATTATTTACTTTTTTTTGTAGAAAAATGGAAACTATTTATTTGATATGTGTAGGTACCTAGTCAAACATATAATTGTTGAAAATCTAGCCCGGGTGAAAAAGAAAAACTCTATAGAGAAGCAAAATGAATACAAACGGGAACTCATTAAAAATTTCACGCCTTCAAATCTCATAGTGGACAATAATGACTTTCTAATAAGTAATAGTCATATATCTTTATTTTTAATTGGACTCGACATTGAGCTAAAAAAGTTAATGGTTCATGGTTCAATTACTAATTAGGGTTAGACAAAGAAGGCAAAGAAAGAAATACAGAAAGTGTTATGATTTTTATTACTGTTGATTTTTTTAAACATTGTTCTATTAAAATGTCATACAAAAACTTAGTACAGATAGATCAATATCTTAATGTACTCGTATTGTATTTTACTAAATATGTTGTCACATCACCTAATAGAATGCTCTTTTAAAAATGATAATTATTATTTTAAATGGATATCATACATGTTTTTTTGAAGTAAAAATCTCATCAAAGACCAAAATGGTTCAATCTTCTCCTACAGTTGAGTGATACAATATCTTGTATGGTACAAACTAAATTTGTAGGTTTATGTTACAGTGGATTGGATTCATGAATTAGTGGATTGGATTTATGGATTCAAGTGAAATGTAAACATTGGACTAATATGTAAATTTTAAAAATGGCAAGTACGAAAATCTCATAAATTTTAGATACTAAAACATAATTGTTCAATGATTTTACTTTAAAATTAAATTTGGGTATCAAAATGTAAAATATACATTATAATGACTAAATTGTAATTTAATTAAATTTGGGGTATCAAAATGTAGTTATTTTGGCAACAGTAACCTCACTTCACGTTTATATATAATAATAGGGTGTGCCTACTATGACATGCATGTCATGGTGACATGCACTTTTCGGTCGACCTATTGCTGAAGGCGGTCGACCGAATCGACTAATTTGGGCAGCACGAGAAAGCTTTGTGGTCGACCTCAACGACCACCTGGTCGACCGCACTTAGTTTAAGATGTTATTTTTGGTCGACCAGAATAAAATCTGGGTCGGCCATTTCGTTGGCGTCAGAAACAACATGGTCGACCACCTAAGGTATATAGGTCGACCACTTGATGGCAGTCATTAACAAAATGGTCGACCGGATAAGGAAAGAGGTCGACCAGATAGAAGATAAGTGTTCTATCAAAGTGTCCAATTATTTGACGAAAAATGAAGATCAAGTGTTGGTTTCGCGGTCGACCTAATCCGGTACGAGGTCGACCGAATACAAGAAAGTCACCCTATGCCCCGTGTCTTTTTTGCTTATGTATGTCGATTTGTGTGGTTCTTTTAATCGTATAAATTATGTTTCAAACCATCATAATTAGTCATAAATAATTATAAGAAGGACTCATCAATTCATAGCATAACAACTAAAAATAAAATAGAAATCATAATTGTTCACACATAAAAATAAAACTAAAAAAACAATAGAATAACAATCAACAATCGTTTTGACCACTAAAACACACAATATAAAATCTCCTCTCTCCTACTCATCTCCCCCCTCTCTCTCATCCACATTTTCTTCATTGGTGGTGCTAGCATGATGGTGGTCGGATGTGGTGGGATGCATGTATCTTCCGCTGAAAGATCGCCACTCATCTCGCATCTCATTCACGGTCACCTGCATTGTGCTCATCTGGGCGGTCATTTGCCCCATGTAGTCGTGCATGCCAGTCATCTGGGTGGACATCTGGCCCATGTACTCGTACATGCCATCCATGCGCTCCACACACGCTGTAAGGTGATCGGTGGAGTTGAACTCTGTGCCTCCGCCATTGGCTCGTCTCGAGCTCCTTCATCACCCTCACCATCATCATCATCATCATCATCATCATCATCATCATCATCATCATCATCATCATCACCACCATGAGCATTGTTTACTCTGACATACTCACCATTACGCAGCTCAAAGCCCATCTTTTTCAGAGATGAAACAGTATAGAACTCCTGCCTTGAGATTCTTAACCCCACCTCTTCACTTAAATTCACTATATGTTATAAACAGCGAATACAAACAAATGCACTTTCGAAATTTAATGATATAGGGACATTGACTAGACTACCCTTCTGGCATGCACTGACATTCGGCATAAAGACCACGTCATCATTCATCAACTTGTTACGAATTTGTCTGGTCTTCATGTTAGCGCGTACCATTTTATGCACCATGTTTTAGTTGAGATGAATTGACATGGTACAATATAAATAACTAGGTTATGACAAATAATTTGACATTACAGCTCTTACCGAAAACATATTTGGCAAATACCACACATTTGGCTCTTTCACATCATGTTTTTCAGACATTGTTAGTGCCCTTGCACACATATCCACTACCTACCATCCAACAATCAAACACAAAATCATCGTAAATCGTAACATAAATAGTGCACAATTCATACGAAAGTCGTAGTAGTATAGTACTTACTGATGAGCAAACCCAGCTATTCTCGCTAATGACCGAACTCAAATAATGTCGTTGCACGTTTTCAGAAAAAAAGTCCACAACGGTCAAACTGCAAAAATCAAAATAACAGAAATGTCAATTGTAATTTGCAACGTAC